CAACAACGTTCTAGACAGCAATCGTATCACCACCCATCTCCCCCGAAAGCTCCCTTGATGTCAGCCCTCTTCTCCTGAGGTTCTTTCCAAGACCGTCGACACTGCCCTTGTGCAAATAGACCTGCAGAGCCGACTGGGCGGCCTCGAGAGCCAGCTCTGCCTGGCTCACAGCACCTTGGAGAGCCTGGGTGGCCGGGTCGTTAGGGGAGGAGACACCGTTTCCAACCTGCTTCTGCTTCTCCTCGAGCAGGTCGCGAATGTGCCCGCTAAGCCAGTAGCCCTCGAGCTGGGATGGCTTCATGTTGCCTGCGCCAGCAATGGTGCCGCGGCAGGACGGCGTGCCGCAGAGACATTCAAAGGGTTGGGACATGCTCCATTCAGTAGAAGGATAGAAGAACTTGAATTTGGGCGTTAGAATAATGGACGAACTGACTTCTCCCCTCCCCCCCCTGGGTTTTACTTACTGTCAGTTCATCTCCGGGCTCGAGGCCCCTGGGTCCCACGAGGACGTTGAAGTTGCCCGTGTCAAATATCTATAGGGCTCTGTTACTCCCTGAGGACATCAAGATTAAGATATGTGGGTTTTGACTTACAAGCGAGGGCTCGCAAGAGTGGTTGATATACAGCAGGTCGCTATTGAGGTTCAGGTGGCTGTTGCGGCCCATCTGGACAGTGGCATACGTAACTTCCGTGGCTACGGTGCAGGGAGGGAATTCCATCTTTGCAAAGACGGAGAACGGAGGTAGGGAAACCTTTGACAGGCTCTTTGTCGCGAACTCGGCCTCATTGACGATGACTTCCTGGATGTCGGGGTGCGAGGGCTGGACCCAATGGGGCTTGGTGGGAGCCATAGTTACAGTGGGTGGTGTTTAGTCTGTATGTGTGAATATGAAGTAATGCGGTCTTTGAATGCCGACGTCTAATGAGGCGATATTATGGAATTGAATATTGAGAGAGAGCACAATGGACGATGTGTGTGTATGTTTGTTTGTGTGCTAAGTGCGTGTTCCGGCCGACCGAGGGCTGTTTAAGACGACCCCGTCCTCCATTACCCATTGCCGCTCGCTTCTACCGGGCCTCTCGTCGCAAAACTACTGAAGGTCAAACCTAACCTCTCAGCCGTAGCGATTTCGAAATTGTAAGCAATGCACATGTAACCCACCCGCGTCCGAGGCTAAAGGTGGGGAGGAGGGAGTCAACATCATTGGGACCCCCCACAACGTTGTGGCCGCTAGGAACTTCCCCGCACCCAAACACGCCCCGCACCCAGGCACGACCAGCCGAAGTTTCGCGGGGCAGCGCTTTTTCCCCTCCCTCCTACACAAGCTGGCTGAGTGAAAACATGTATGGTAGCTACTTCATCTGTCAGAACTTCGTCGGAATGGGAAGAGTAAAAGGGGAGTGAAGATCGAGGAGGATGAGGACCCCTGGCCTTGTCGATTGCTCCCAGTTTGGACTCCAAACGGCCGACTGGTCAGTGGGACCCTAAGCCGAACGCCTCGGTTACTCCCCCACGCTTGCGGCAAGAAACACCTCAACGAGGATCCGCTTCTCTGAAAGGTTTCCGTCATAAGTTATCGATGGTATCCATTCTCGCCAAGAAGGCTATTGCTGATGGCTCCCTGCTTCGAGAGGCCCCATAGGGGCAAAAGGGGAGCTCTTGTCGCTCGTTGCACGACTCTCGACTTTGAGTCGGTCCTTGAACGCATGGTCGATTCACAAGTGATGTGCGGGTCGGCTCGCGCAGTGACGAGCCGTCAAAGACTTCCCTGAAACAGGACATGGAGTGCCATGTTTTAAATGCTGGAAATACCATCGTCAGTCGCACTTGTCGATACTTTCGGCGAGCCGTTCCATCTGCAGCCCGGAAGTGGTGGTTGAAAAAGTTACAATCAAGTCAGGCTCTGTACCTGGGACCTGTTTTACCCACTCGAATCTGATGTCCAGTGTTGCAATCAAAAGATGGCGGGAATATCCCATGGGGCACTGATGGCTGTCTTGATACGGAAACGGGTGTCGACTCAGGTGTTCGCCCTGAGCTCACAGCTGTTCGGCAGCTGTAGGCGGACTGTCAGTCGCCAGCAAACGCCTGGATGATGGAAAGGTCAACGCGAGAATATCTGAACCACCTGGCACGTCCGAAATCTCACACTCCTTTCCTCAGCCACTCGTGAGCATAGGATCTCCGTCCTTCTCGCTCACAAAGGCTCGTGTCGTTCGCACCATCGCTCCTTCCGCAACAGACACTCCTTCCGACGTTAGCATATCGGGTTTTGTCACTCTCCATCGTTCCTTCCCCTGACCAAATTCTCTCACCCAGTACTTCCTTACCAAACTCCCCAGATATTTTTCTCCAAGATCATAATTTCCACAAGCCTGCATCTCTCTCGTTCCATCTTGTTGCCCTTCCGACGCCTGATCATATCGAGACTGAAGTTTTCGTTGTGCAACTTGGACCTCACTAGTAAGTTAAAGACATCTTGATCGTATATGAATGCTCTTGCATTATTCTGGGAGTATTGTCACCATTCTCGACCTCGAGGGCCGCACTTTCCTACATGTTTTGTCGAATGGGCCAGGGAAGCAAATATCAAGGTAGAGTTCACTGACCAAAATATGCAGGAGCACCGCCTCTTGCTATATCAGACCTCTGAAGCTGGGCACTTCACTCTCATTCCTTTGACCCTGCCATACTCTTGTCTCTAGATTCCATCTCCAACGCCCCCTTGTTGACCCTCTTCTGAGCTACATTACTGGATCATCCTACCTCACACCAACCTCACCATCTCGCTCATCCGTGAGACGCCCAAACAGGTACATGACATTTGGCTTGTATACATACAAGTCTCTGCTTGCTTTTTCTTGGTCAGCTGTCCCTTTACCCGGCCTTTGTTCCTTTCTCTTCAGACCCAGGAAGGGCTGACACCATTGACTCTGATCCAGATTACTCGATTTTGACCCTTTTCACCCTTCGTATTACCCAAAATTGAACACCCGGAAGTCTCCACCTCTTCGGGCCTGTCGTCTGCCAAAGGAAGCTGAGCGTCTGCCTTGTTTTCCCGTTCCCGATGGATTCGCTGCCGCGGGTCTATAGACCCAAAGACCTGCTCCGCGTGCGACATACCCCCGCCGTAGACAGGCTATCCTGTCATCTTCGCACCGTTTTGCAAGAGAACAACGATTTGAGTAAGCATTGATTTCAAGCTGTGGCTGTACTCGCTCCCAATTCTGATATTCCTAGGTGAAGCTTTCCGACGGCCCAATGGAAAGGGAATGGGGAGAAAGCTCTCTCGAATTTCTGAAGAGTACCGTGAGACTTCAAGCTGCTCCAATGACTCTCTCCTCCACAAGAAGCTCGCCGCACGCCAACTTGATGGCACTGAATCTGAATGGAGATACCGTGGACGGACGGATTCAGAAGAGTCAGTACCTCAGCCAATTCCAGCCCCTGCTGGTCTAGCTTCTCAGAAAGATGAAGGTTTTCAGCGCTTTTACAAGGCGGTTGTTTCACCTACACATGTCCGTGTCACGGCAGGCGGACGAATCGTTCCCAACAACCGCGATTCCTCTCCCATTGCAAAATGGGCCAAGGACAAGACGGCTGCTGATGGCTCCTTCGTGTATCCAGTACGAAATCCGGTGGACCCTGAACAAAGCCGTCTACCATCCACGTACGGAATGCTGGGTTCTATTCCTCCGAATTATCCAGGGCTTGGCCCCGGGATGAATCATGCCTTGGCCCCTGGTTTCCATCACTACCCATTCTTCCCCTGGCAGTTTGGAATGCCCTTCAGTTCTAACCCTCCAATTCCGGGAGGCCTTGGCCATCACGTCTCCTTATGTGACCCAGGCTGGAGAAGAGTCAAGGAAGGTCCTATTGGGGAAAAGCAGACTGAGCCTAGCCTCCCTGAAGGCGCAAGGACCCGTCAGCCGCCAATCCCGGACCAGTTGGGCCCGAACAGGTCTTTCTACGATGGCCAGTGGATGATGCCGCCCGGTGGACATTTTTACCCATATGGTATTTCTGGTGCTCCTTTCCCCTTACCTCCTTCTGCTCCTTGCCCTGTCCCCTTGGATCCTCTTCCAAAAGTAGAAGGAGAGAGGCCAATCCACCAAGCAGACAATGGTATTGAAGGCTATTCCATGGATCACCCTTTTCGGCCGGCACCAGTTTTTGCGCCCTCATCGAACCCGCCTGTATCCTCCATACGCCTAAGTGAGATCACCAGGCGACACCTTGACATACTGAGGTCGCGCCTCAAGTATCTGGAGGACCAACTGAGTTACAACCGGCACCAGATCGATGAACGGGCTGTCGAAGGAGATGCACGAACTGTTCGCGAGTACATTACGCAATTCGAGGGAAACTTGCAGGCTCAGTTGTCCATTGAAGGAGGCCACCACCCCAAGCCAGATTCCAGAAGCGCACATGATGCCCCGACCTCCACCAAGACAGACGGCACCTCCAAATCCTCAAATGCTGCCGATCATCAGTCCGCGATGTCTGCACCCTTCCGTGCCAAACAAGGAAGTCAGGGTCACTACTCCATGGGTTACAAGACAGCGGATGATAAGCCACGCTCGCGTTCCAAGACCGGGATTAATTCGACGAAATCTGTTTCTGCCTTTGCAGGATGGAAGCCCCCAGGCAATGCAATCGTCGGGTCAGGTCAATTGACCGAGAAACCCACCTTGCCAACTAATGCAGCCATGGCAGCCCCATTCCGTCCCAACTCAAGAGCATCGAATTTCCAGGGCTACATGCAAGAAAATAGCAGTTCTAGAGGAGGTTCTTACATGGACCGTGACGCCGAGGGTCAGCCTCTTGGGCGCACCATGATGCCAGGATTTTCCAACACTACAATTCCATATCTTGTGGGGTATCTTCCTTTTGGGGTTCGCCCTGACCTGGCAAAGCATAGCGACTTCATGTACGGTCGGCCTCTGACCGAAGATGAGCAACGGGCCCGCCACATGTACTGGGGGAAAGCGCCTGGCCATCTACAGAAGGGGCTGCCGAAATTTGACGGCAAAGATTTCTTCCCGCCGTCCCCAACCAAAGACAGATTCACCGATGATTCTATTCCTTCCGTCCACGAAATGCCTCCTGGAAGTACCACACCCGCCCGCATTGTACCGATGACAAAAGACCCCAGTGATCCGTTTCAGGAACTGAGTTTGTGCGAAAGCTCTGGTCAAATATTGGCACGAAATGGGCCCGGAAACTCAACACAGTCAGAGTGTATCCCCAGGCCGGAACAAGAGTCCAGCGGGGGCCTTACAGTCACGACTAACCGTTCGATGCCCCAAGGCAGACGACTTGGCCGGAGCCTTGATGAGCTCAACCGAGCCTCCGAAGACACAGAGCCTACATCATCTGGAAGCGTGAAGGAGAAGTCTTCTTCGGATGAGGCTGATGAAGATGATCGTGAGCTCATCTTCACTGGTCGCCAGACAATAACTAAAATAGGGTACGTTGCAGCTGTCCATCCATTGGCAATGTCGCTAAGTTTCCAATGTTGGGTAGAAAAACCCACAACGACATCTGGACAAGCATGCTCAAGAAGGAGCCGGGGAGTGCCAATGCAGTGTTCGGAACCGTTTCACCCACGACGGTGCAAGGAGTCCTGCCGCAATACGCTAGTTACGCCACAGCTTCACTTACACCGACCATTGCCATTGCCAACAAACCGATATCGCCGAGAAGTGTGGCCTCAAAGAAGTGTGACCAAGGCGACACGAAAGCTCGGAGCCGAACAAGAGCATGGATGCGAAGCGAGAACTGTCCTCCCACTGAGATGGGGTTCTGAGTGTCAATTGCAAGACCAAATCTCTGAGTGATTGCTTTTGAGCCAGTGCCAATAGCAATAGTAAGCATATCTCTTCTCGGCATTGGCATCTGTTGTATGGATTTGGAAGCAATTGTGATACTATCATGTTTAGGTGAAACAAATAAGACTTACTGGCTTTGCGACGATGAGAAATAACAGAAATAATATGAGGGGACAGCCTAATGAATTGAGCCAATGCATTGTTAATTGGTATTTCCTTTATGGACTCATGATAAAACAGGGATACATTTATCTTCTTATTAAACAACTAGCCGCGGGGCTTCGATTGTATGTATTGAGCATGAACTTAGATGTCGCAAAAACATAGCTTTCAAAAATAACCGGAGGGTTCATGGCATGTGCCTCGACATCAAACTTCCAGTTTCACAGGTAATCCTCCTTGGAAGTCTTCAGCCGAGATGGAAAGCTGGTGATAAAAAAGCTTCCCATCTGGTTTATTATTCGCTAGACGTATACCTCGAAAACCATAGACTGATGTGGTTGACGAAGAGATATCCTAGCGGGCATGGAGTAAAAGGATTGAGAAAGCAGTCTACGTTTGACTTACCCCCATAGCGACATCTTCCTTAGATGCGACTGTGCATTGTATGTAGCCACGAACAGGCATGTCCGGCATTGGGCCGTCTACGTCCTCCTGGAAGTAGCTGGGTTATTGAGGTTAGCAAACAGACTAGGTCACGCAAACGTGAGCCCAACGAGGGAGGGTCTCTGATTGGAATGGACAGCCTCCCCAATACAGGGGAGAACAAGGGCCAAGCAAATAGGACTTCGGGAAACGCCTCCCATGGAGCACTTCACAAAGAGCTGGAGCCCTGTGAAGTGGCCATTGAGAACAATGAAATTCTCAATTGAAAGAAAGATCTACCTTGCCGCTTTTGTGCGAAGAGATTGCCGGCAATAAGAAAAAAAGATGACCCTTATGACGCCGGAATATCATGCCCATTTCCCGAAAAGAACCCCATTTTTTTTGTGTTCGTCGTCGTAGAGAAGAGATGGGTTGTGCGTGAGAGGTACACTTGACCCACATCTCCTCACTTCTCATTCATTTTTGTTGGTATTTTTTTATGTTTGGTTCGATGGTCAATTGCATTTAAGCAGTGACCTTGCCGGTGGCCTTAAGCTCACGACCGACCTTGGAGCGGGCGAGGATACTCTCACGGTCCTTGTCGAGCTTGAGCTTGTTGATGACGACGTTGGACGGGTGGATACCGAGAGGAACGGACTGGCCGGAGGCCTTGTCGCGGGTGACGCGCTCGATGTGGATGACGTACTTGGCACGGTAGACGGCGGTGATCTTGCCCTCACGACCCTTGTTGGAGCCGCGGACAATGGTGACCTCGTCGTCCTTGCGGACGGGAATGGAGCGGACCTGGTTAGAAGGGGGCGCATGTCAGTATTGTCTATTTGGCAATCAAGCGGTCACCCTGCAGATAGTAAGATACTAACGTTGTACTGCTCACGGAGCTCCTTGGAGAGAGGAGCGCTCATGATAACACGGCGCTGGTCAGAGGGAGCCTTGAAGTGAGCGGCACGGCTCTTGCGGCGAGAAGACGAGACGGCTAAGATATATGAGTTAGAATCACATGTTCTGATGTATTGACATCATGTAACATACAAGGGTTGACCTTGGCCATTTTGAATGAGTTAGTAGTGACGGTAGAAATTGTCGACGAAAAAAAAGGTTGGGCTGAGTGAAAGGAGAAAGGGAAAAGGGAAAAGAAAAAAAGAAAGAGGCCGTCGGAGAACTTTTGGAAAGCACTTTGTGTGAGGAAATTTCCTGGGCCGTTGGTGGGTGGGGTGCACGTGATTGACTTACCCTACTTGCAAGGGTTCTATTTTGCTGAGTCATTAAGAGATGTTAGAATAAATGGGTCATTCTCGAAAATCAATCACTATGTTATGGCTCAACGGCCTCTATCCATGCTATCCACAAGGAGAACATGTGCAGAAGATCTTCTTTCTTAGAGACAGAGAGAAATGGACTTGTTCAGGAAGGGTATTTGAACATGTCGTTTGAATATATCGTGTAAAAATCGACTATGGGTGGTATACTCCTTACAATACTCATACACTCAGTTCTTCAATGACCGAAAGAATTCCTCTTCCCTTTTTTTTAACCCTCGTTTTTCAGTCTATTGCAACATACTACTTATACATTCAGAAATGTTTGAGGTGGTAATATTGTACATTTTGCGTCAGGCACGACCTCTCTATCCTGAAGCAGGGGGCTGGAAGCTGCCATTGTTATCGTACCTTGCCTCTGCGGTGGTTGTCAGCAAATGAGTGCCCGAATTCAAGATACTTGCCGTCATCAAAGGGTGGCGAATTGGGGGGGGCAACAGGGGCGGGTGTTCTTACTGAAAAAGGTGTAGTTAAGAGTAACAGTCTCGACACCCTTCATGTTGAGGTCGTTGAGCAGATCCGGGTCGAGGTAGAAGAAGACGGGCATGTCGACGGTCTCGCCAGCGTTTAGGCGCTGCTCCTCAAAGCAGAAGCACTGGATCTTGCTGAAGTAGGGGGCGCACTGGGCCGGGGTGACGCTGTAGGTGGCCACGCCGATGATGTCTTTGTCGCCGAGGTTGGTAGCCTTGTAGAAGGCCAGGGCCGTCTCGCCGGGCAGGACACGCACCTCCCGCTGCTGCGGCGTGAATTTCCAGGGCAGCGTGTCAGATATCGACGCGTTGAACGTCACCTTGATGCGGTTGGCCGACTTGACGGGCACCAGGCGGCTGGCCAGGTCTCCGTCAGACGAGTCTGAGCCACCGCCGCCGTGGGCTCGAATAGGCTGGCCACCCCAACCGGTCGTTGCGCAGATCTAGATTTACCCACAACCACCTCAGTGTCAGAGCGCTTTCGGACCCCTTTCGGAGGGGGAACAGATATGGAAGAGCCTACCATCTTATACAAGGGGACCGAGCCGTAGGAAAACGCAACGGTACCGAGGATTACACTAAGCGTGTAGTACCTAGACATGGCGTGAGCCCAACGCACATACCATCCAGGAGAGGGGGAGGCACGACGCACGCAATCGTCTTGTTCTTTTGGTCGTAGTGTGCGCGCACCCTGTCCATAGTAGGCGCATAGTTCTGCGACTGAGAGTGCGTTCGCTGCTGTTGCTGTTGTCGAGCCCTTGTCGAGTTCGTCATGTTTCGGCCGAAAATCGATTGGCGCATCGTCGTCGGCGTCCACTGCTGCCGTGCACGGGAGCCGTGCTGGCACATGGAGCAGGTCCATGACGACGCCCTCGACGCCATGGTCCGTGTTGCCACCCATGTGGTGTTCATCGTATCAATCAGCGGCTGCTGCGAGCAGGTGTTTGTTGCTGCGGCGAGGTACGAGCTGTCAACTGGACATTTTGACCCGACCCGGGCAAGCTCGGGAACTCAAATCCCAGTCACCCTTTGGGTGGAGCACATTTCGTCCCGCTGTACCACTGAACTACTTAACGCCGCCAAATGGTTCACCTTACCCGTAAACATTCGATATAACTCATTGTAATCGCTCAATATATGAATTTGAGTAGGAAGATGTATATTACTAATGCAATCCACCTGAAGGTTTACTCGAAGATAGGTTAGTCCGCACAGGGGGGGGGGGGGGGGGGGGGGAAGCGCCGCTGGATCCAACAATTATACAGCATTAAGTTCTAAAGTTGCATATGCTCCTTACAATGCCTTTGCTCGAAGCTTGCCATTGACATTTGGCCTGGTCGTTTGCCTGCCCCTACCCGTTAACCACTCTAAGATCTGGACCACGAATACTTGCAAGATGAGAATGATGAGACGCAGGGTATGGTCTAGCATTCCCAGTCTTGGAGTCTTCCCCCGGCTATAAGTTGAGTCCTGGAACTGGAATGGCAGCTTAGCTCCCAGGTGCTCCTGAGCCACACGTAACCCGCTGCTGAATGCGTCCTCGTGAGAGCCGTAGTTAGTCCACGCCCCGGCGTAGCTGATTCCTCGAGTGTTTTGGATATACCGGAGGAGCTTCTGCGCGCGAAAAGACTCGATAGTGTATACTGGCTGGGTGTAGTAATATCGGCCTTGTATGAGGTCCCTGCGAGGCTGGTGGAGTGGATTCAACGTTACGAGTACGTCGCCAAAGGGGTCTCGGGGTATATTTTGAAGCCAGTTCATATTGCAGGTTAGCGACGTCTTCCCAATACCTGGTTTCCCCATGTGAGCTGACACAGTTCGGCAATTGAGGCCTGCCCAAGCCTTCCGTCGAGATGGCATATGCGATGTATCTGAATGAAGAACAGCCTCGGTTTGCGACGTCCGGAAGCAAGAAAGGATAGACCTCTCCTCCTCTGTTGCTGAGGTGTTTATAATCGACAGAGCCTGGTCTCCGTGTGTTGCTAGTACAACGTGGTCAAAGACCTCCGTTTTTCCATTCTCGAAATGCAGCCGAACACGACCGTCTGCATCGTTGGAGAGGCTCCTCACGGACGTATTTGTAAACAGGTGGTTAGGTGGGAACCCTTTCATCACAGCGTCGACGTACGACTTTGATCCATATCTTAGAGTCAGCCATTGAAGCCGCCCGAGGCTCGTCGATACGAGGTAGTGGTTCCATCTAGAGTAAGTCAGCCGATGTCCCACCCGCGGACGGGAGAAATGCAGTAGCTCTTACAGGAACCGGACGAGGGTGACCGCAGGAAAGTCCAAGAAGGACTTTTCAGGACTTGCGTTCCAGATAGTGGATATCAGAGGGAGGAGGTAATCGTTCTCGAATGAGGTGGAATATCCTTCCCTTTCTAGATATTGCCCAATCGTTTCGCTTCGGTGAGCGTTGTCGGGGCCTCCACGGGCCGACTCTATGTCCTCCTCTATGAGTATATCGATAGCGAACTGATTGAAGCGCACGATATCAAAGAGTATCCTCCACATTCGTGGTGACAACAAGTTCCTCCTCTGGGAAAATGCGGCGCGTAGGCTAGTGCTCGCCCACTCAAAAAGCCCGTGGTCTCTGGATACACCCAACGACACTTCAGTTGGCTCAGAGTCAAGGCCGAGCCTTTTTATGAACTCAACAAAATTGGCTACAAGTAGTGAGAAAGGTTGAGCTGGTAGAGCAGAGGGCTTGTCCACTCACGGTACGTTGTCGTGTTGAAAACGACGAAGCCAGTGTCCACAGCAGTGGAAAACTTGCCCTTCGTCCACTGGACAGTATTTGTCTGCCCTCCGAGACGGGAGGCCGCCTCGTATAGGTATACATCATGATATGTCCTATTCAATGCCCAGAGGGCGGCAGTGCCTGCGCAACCGCTGCCGACGACGGCTACCCTTTTCCTGGTGATGCTGTTAATCGAGCGGTCCATGGCAAGTTGTCAGGTGTAATGGGAAGAAAATAATGGGTTGAGGGACAGTAGGATTGTTCCCGTACAGCCCAGAGGGTTCGGAGAGTAATGACTCTAATGGCTATGACCGGAAACAAACTCACTGAGACACGGCCCAGAGTTTACCGTGGCTACTGCGCTAGGCAAGGGAAAAGAGAAGCAGGGCAACCAGATAGAAAGGCACAGGGAATTATGACTTTCTCAATGGAAGGCGGGGTCGAAAGCTATGGCGACGCCGGCTTCGACGGAGGGGAGTTTGGAGCTCTCGTCCGGGGAAGCTGAAAAGCACGGGCGGGACAAAGGCTATTGCTACTCACACATGCGGAGGCTGCGTCATGCTTGCTTGCTACTGCAGCGTAGCTACACAAGCGCAAAAGTCTGTGGTTCAGCCGCACTATCTTCTCCTCAAAGATGGCATTTGATCAAAAAAGGGGGTTGTGGAAGTTCAGGTCTACGAGGAGGGAGGATATTGATCATGAGACGCCCATAACGGGCTAAATGGATCCTCCAACAACCGACGTCTCCAGTCAACATTTGGGGAAGGAGGCGCCCCAGGGAGCCTGCCTAGCCCATCAACAAAATGCGCAATAATAATAATGCCGAAAAAGAGTCAGGGGCCCGCCACAAGTGGCTCATCAGATGAAGCCGAGTAAGATTGAATTGTTGCGCTGAAGGCATAGCCCCCCCAATCCCAGATTGCAGTACGCATCGTCTATACTCTGTACTCAACACTTTCAATATGTGTGCGGGCAATCCACTCTACAGAGCAGAGCAGCACATCGCCTCTACGCAACCACCCTTTATGCTCGAACAGCCAACTCGCTATAGGGGCGAGGCAACCCTGACCATTCCAGGATCTTTACTATAACATGCCCCAGAACTTCTGATAGAACACAGTTGAACTCGGTAGCATGTCGGACACTCAACGGGATCGGTAAACGGTAGGTCGAATCACCAATTCTTGAAAGCGCCGTGCGGGACAAGCCAGCATCAATCTACCCGGATATTATCAACTCTACGCCATCAAACGTGACAAGGTCACGGCGTCGAGCCTATTTTCTTCAAGCACCGGGGTTCAACTTTCATGATGAAGAGGAAGGAGAAAAGGAGAAAAGGAAAGGAATTTTTTGAGTGTAAAAGTAGTAGGCAAGGGTCCCGCCAAATCACGTGCTATTCTTCTGGGCCTCGCAATAGGCTGGGCCAGTCACAGGTGGAGAATAAAATCGAACAGCTCTACTAATATCCGGTCTTTTGCTAGTGGCGTGGCTGCTCAGTGTGTATGCAACCGTTACCATGACCTAACAACCGCCACATCCTGGTCACTAGAGGATAAGAGGAAGCAAGATTCAGTCTTAGATGAAAACACATTCCACGTTAAACGTCTGCCTTACTTCTATACTATGAACCCACGAGAAACCCATAATAGATTATCAGTTAATCAGGGCTCCGCCCACGAATGTTGGAAGATATTATTCCGATGCTACATAACGGGTGGAACACCCAATGCAATCAACAACATCCGGCGCGGGAGAGATTGGAAGAATCAAACGGATGGGACGAGAACACTAAAACTTACAACTGCTCTCCACCAGCCGTCAACGAAGTTCAAAGAGAGCAAACATCCTAACGTGATTGCCTGCTGCGACCGCTCCGCGTCACTAGACGTATCTATCCCACAGTAATCAAGTAATCCTGTCAAGTCGAGCTCGTGATCTCTGCCTGGTATTTCTCGCATCACGTACTTGCGCAATGTTCAAGTATTCCATTCATATATGCGGTATTTTACCATTGGCGAGATAGGGATGTAAAAATCAGGGGTGTATCGTGTGAACAACTGTAGACATGTTCATGAAAGAATCAGTACTTGGAGGATGGCAGTTGGAGTACATCTAGCTCATCTAAAGGTGTGGACAATGACCCAGCTCGGTGCACGTGACTGAAATTTGGAGGAATCAGAAGCTACGCCTGTGGCAGCGTCACGCATATTCCAAACCACGGAGTGTAACATTGATTCCCTCCCACCCCCCCCCCCCCCCCCCCCCCCCCCCCCCCCCCGACGACGGAAGACGTAATCAGCTCGCACAAGGCCCCAGGATAACAACAACAACAACAACACACCTACCTGCACTACGCCAACGGCTTTCCGAGAGTAATATAAGAACGCATCAACAACGACCACTTCCAAACGACTCAATAAATCACTGCTGCCAAGTTCTTGCGAACCTCGACTAGCCGCACCTAAACAACCTCACCGGTCCCACCATTCCCCGACAAGATGGCGAACCCTCTCGACACCGATGCGGGCTCCGAGCTTTTTGGCTCCTACGAGGCTGAACTCAAGCTCGTTCAGGCCGACATCGCCCAGAAGCTTGATCAGATTCCCGAGCTGTCCGGCGAGCCACGCAAGGCCGCCCTCGCTCAGGCCGAGCGTGCACTCGAAGAGGCCGATGAAATCGTAGGTTGCGGGCGAGCCATGGATAGACGATTGCCGTCGCATACGCATGTTATTAACGTGATGCTCAAAATCAAACAGCTCGGCCAGATGCGCCTCGAAAAGCAAAATATCCCCACCTCATCGCGCGGCAAGGTGAACCAGCGCTTGCGCAACTTTGAATCAGACGTCGACGCCGCGAAGCGCAAGTTAGGTAGCCTCTCGACGGACCGCTCCGCCCTCTTCGGATCCCGCTACACCGACGACCCGGCCGGATCGTCAGACCCGCACCTGGAGCAGCGCCAGCAGCTCCTGTCGGGGACTGACCGTCTCGAGCGCAGCAGCCAGCGCCTTAAGTCGACCATGGCCGTCGCCAACGAGACGGAACAGATTGGCGCCAGCGTCCTCAGCGACCTCAATCAGCAGCGTGACGTTATCAGCAATACCCACGATCGTCTGCTGGAGAGTGAGGGATACGTTGACAGGAGCATCAAGACTTTGAGGGGGATGGCTCGTAGGTACGGTCACTTTTGAAGAGCATGACGTTCTTATCACCATATTCTTTGAGATCTATACCCAATACTAATGCTCTATTCTCAGGATGGCTACAAATCGGATAATTACCGTGGCCATCATTACTGTCCTTGTGCTCCTCATCATCGCAGTCATTTACAGCAAGTTTAAGTGATTTTTCTTACTTCAATTCTTCCAGTTAGGCGTTACGGGCTTTTTCTGTCCTTTTTTTCTCTACAGCTCTTCTATTTCCTTTTGTTGGAGGTCAATGAGCACTTCTCCAGCTTTTTGGGAGCACGACACGTACACAACACTCGTTGGTTTAAAACAAGACGTGATCAGGATGCCGTGACAAACATTCAGTAGAGGATTGTTAGATCTTCATGGCGTCTCTTCCCTGTATGATAGAGCAAACGGTAGCTCTGGCGAACCTCAAATGTGGTCCAGAGAGCCTTTTTAGAGAGACTGTCAAATGTTCTTACTTGCATTTTCATTCGTGCCGTTCTCAAACCCCAAGATGCTCTCTTGTATGACAACGAGGTAAGCGACACCTATATAATGACATATCACAGTATGGTGGGTCGAAGTTGTAAAGTAGAGAAACACCAAACTATTTTCTGTATTAAAGCAACATCACTGGATGTATATCGAGCGAAAGGAATATTTCATGAAAGGAATAACTCTTCACATACTTCAAACGATGAACAGAGTGCCATTTACTTTATTTTGTCAGATGTGGCATCCATGATGGTATATGACTAAGCAGCTCCCTGGCTGCTGCCACACTCACATCTGTAGATAACTTCATAGATAGATTTATTTTCCTTTCAATAAGCAAGAACCAAGACACATACTAAATGACTCAGGTCGTCCTAGTAGGCAGAGACCACTATATTCACGTCTACCGGTCATCGTGCGTTGTTGCCAACAGGAAGCACACAGAGCGTGGCGTAGGGTAAGCGGCTTGAATTAGAGCTAACCCGTAATGGCATTCACAGCCCCCGGCTTCAAGCTTGGAGTATAGCCGGTGTTATTCCATAGTAGTGCCGGGCCACAACAACATCAATATGTTCCCAGCCTTTTTTCTCCATGAGGCCGCAAAGACTTTTACTTTTACTTCGTTCACACACACAAAACTGCCACTTTTCCTCTCCGTTACTCCACCATCACAATACCACACAGCATCCTCGGTGCCGTCCGCCCCCAACCGGCACTTCATCTTTTATTTCGTCTTTGATTCCCCTTGCATATGTTTATTTGAACTTGCGTTCACCTCGGCGGAAGCGGCGTCCTCTGAAGCTTTGCTACGTACTCCACGTAGCCACAACAGTTCCGAGATGTCTGAATTTCTAGGGTGCGCACAAGGGCGACATTGCCTCAATGCATCACCGAGACGGCGCTGACAGCCCTTGCAGCTCTCGTATTTCTCTCATTTCTAAAAGCGACATTCGGTATGTACAAGTGCTACAACGACAACGTGTCGAAAACCGCCCCGCTAATCATTTTCATCTCCTTGTAGCTACGTGGGTGTTCTGCACGAGATCAACTCGGATGAATCAACCGTGTCGCTTGAAAATGTTCGCTCCTTTGGAACAGAAGGCCGCAGAGGCCGCCCCGAAGAGGAGGTTGGGCCCTCAGATCAGGTTTACGAATACATCGTCTTCCGAGGCAGCGATGTGAAGGACTTGCGCATCGAGGACCACCCCGGTATCAAGGAGAGCAAGCCTCCTGCGATGCCTGATGACCCCGCTATCGTCGGCGTAAGTTGTTGCTGCCCTACATAATGCCCTTGTACTCTGTACCGCCACCCGTCCATGTGATGAACTATACCGGATGTAAAATTGTCACCACCGAAAGCGCAAAACCGTGTGGATATTTCCGTTGCCTTCCTTCTGATCTGGACATCTCTTCACTATTTTCAATTTACCGAACTTTGGAAGGACCTTTGCTGATTCCATTTGAAAGGCTACACGGAACCGTCCTGGACCCCAGGTTGGACCCCAGGGACCTCCGGAACCTCGGGTAGTCCCCCGGAACATTCCTCCTCCGCCAGCTTCCTTTGGGCAGCAGCCATATCCCCCCAACTTCTACGGCCCCCCTGGCCAGTGGGGACGTGGAGGTCCCGTGCCCGGTCCGGGACCCCAAGGTTTTGGCAACATGCCATACCCCCCTCCTCCTGGCTGGTTTCCCCCTGGCCAGGGCTTCCCTCCCGGACCAGGTGGCCCCGGACCTGGGCCTTGGGGCAACCAACAGTTTCCTCCGGGCCCCGGAGGACTACCCGGCCCTGAAGGTTCCAGAGCTCAACAGGGCCCGCTAAGCTCTGACCCGCCAGATGCGAAGCCTGTGACTCTCTCGCAACAGGCGCCCCTAATAGAGCCGAAGTCTCTCGCCCAGCAAGCGCGTCAGACTGCTGACGCACCTATCCCTCCTGTCGATTCGAAGCCCTCGGTAGAGGAGGTCAAGTCGGCCGCTACCCACCTCACTGAGGCCGCACCCAAGCTCCCGGAGGGTCCCAAGACAGGCCCGGCTGGTTTCAGGAACGATCGCGTGAACCCAGTAGTGCCACTTGGTGCTTCGACCAGGCCCTTTGCCCCTGCCCTGCCTCAGCAGGCTGAGAAGGCCAGCGTTGAGACGACGGTCACGACCCCGGGAAGTGTGCAAGATGCCACGACGGCAGCCAGGGCCGCTGTGGCCGTTGCTATGGCCCAGCTTGGAAACGGCAACAGCGGTAATGCTATGGACAACCTCTCGAACAAGGTGAACGAGATGCGGGTCAGTTCCGGCAGGGGTGACTACACCGCTGCGCGCGGACGAGGCCGAGGTGGCAGGCCGCCCGCGGCCAAAGTTGAGGTTCCTAAGTCGGACTTTGACTTTGCCCAATCCAACGCCAAGTTCAACAAGTCGGAAATCCTCAAGGAGACTGCCAACGAGGGAACACCTCTCACCCAAACACCCAACGGTTCGGCAGCTTCCCCCGCGGATAGTTCTGCGGGCCAGGACGGTGCCTACAACAAGACGCGTTCATTCTTTGATAACATCTCGAGCGAGGCCAAGGACCGAGCCGACAGCAGCAGCTCCAAGCCTGGCGGCCGCGAGTGGCGCGATGAGGAGCAGCGACGCAACATGGAGACTTTTGGACAAGGTAGCGTCGACGGCGGCCGCAACTATCGTGGCCGAGGACGTGGTCGTGGTCGCGGCGGTCGTGGCCGCGGCTTCGGTCGCGGCGGGCGTGGAGGTAGCCGACCCCCATACCAGACCTCTGTCGTCAACTAAAAACGATAGAACCGTGCCGATATGACATGGCGGTGATGGATATCTGATTTTTTTCCTCTCCAGTTGTGTTTCCCTTTCTCGTTTATAAGTGTATGATTATCAACAACGCGAGCTTTGCGATTCATTTGAGGAAAGTCGGTTTGCTTTACAAAGCAGAGAAGCAGGTCAATTCGTTCAGCTTCACATTTGGTCTTTATTTCCTTCTCAACAGAGGCGAGATCAAGAGGAACGTGTTCACCTTTTCGGCCGGGAACTTTTACCCAGCCTGGAGCTTTTGGAGTTTTGATTACCATGGTCGAATCACCGGGGGATTGGAGGGGGGGAGGCAGGCGCAAGATATGGGAAGCAGGTTTCTTCATGTCTTTACTTTTTTTCTTCCAGAAATGCCCGTTGTTTTTGCATTAACAAGGTAGTACGGCTTAGCAAGTGGGATATGAATGATCATGGGAAAAGCCAAGGGAGTACAAACGACATCCAGGCATGATACAAAAGCCATGAGCGGCATAAAAAAGGAAAATATGAAAAAAAAATTGAGAAAAAAAACAAACAACTGAGGCTCAATGACGATGAATTGTTAGCAGGTCCGCGCGCATGACCCGCGACGGATCCTATAATACACGGTCATCAAACCATTCCTCTTCCCCTACTATATGCGATGTAAAGTGTGATGTACTTGTAAGACTTAGATGTTTTACCTTCAGCAAGTAATGGTACGACGAGTTGGAGATACGGTCGTAGAAAGTGGAGGAAACATCCAAGCGTTGACAATTTTGGCAAGTGGAAGTTAGGGAGTGACTGCCCCACTACACGTCATGCTTTTTGGTACGACTCCTGAGCTTCGGCGACTTGAAAAAAAAAAAGCAAAGTTGGCCACTCAACATTTATAGTAAACCTCGCGCTTCATGTGACATACGTGGTTGATATCCTTGAGTTCAGGTGATGCGTCAAGGTCAATCTTCCTCTCTTCAGTAGTCAGTGGCACTATACTACGAGTAACGACAGCAGCGTCGTGTGTTCTTTTTTCTGCCCTGCAACCACACCAGCTCAGAAAGCACCCCGCACATTCACAACCGGGTGAGACGCCATGTCGAGTAGACAACTACGAAAGCTGCAGAAGCAGGGCGAGTTAGAGAAGCTCCACACAGAATCGGAGGAGTATAAATCGGAGAACGAAAGCGATGTGGACGACGCTCCGGCGCCCCTTGCAGCTAAACCGCGAGCGAGCCTGTTTGCTGCTCTTGGTGGGGAGGAGGAAGAGGAGGAGGAGGAGGAAATGCAGGACCAGACAGTGGAGACTGGGAGGGTGGGAGAAGGAGACGAAGCAGAATCATCAGCAGCGCCACCAAGCAAGAAGAAGAGCAAGAAGAATAAGAAGAAGAAGAAGAAGGCCAAGACCGCGGCGCAGGATGAGGTCAAGAGTGGTGCAGCTAAGGACGTTGAAGAGGATGAAATTGACAAGGCACTCAAGGAGCTCAAGCTGAGCACGCGACAAGGGGGAGACGGGGTTGCCACAGGAGGCGCCACAGCAAGCGCAACGCTGCGGATCAATCAGCTCCTCGGGATCAACACGTACCGTCTCAAGGCCATGAACGAGATGAGGCACCTGTTCGGCCGGGACGTGATTGAGTCCGCACATGCGGAGGAAGAGCAGCAGCAGATTGAGAACAACCGGCGACGGCGCGGACCGACACAACAGCAGGTGGACCTTGAGACTTTCCTGCGTGGCCCTCCCGGAGCTAAGAGGCTACCGGAGGTGTCACTCAGGCGTAACGTCTTCATCCAGGGGCGAGAGCATTGGCCGCGTCAGACGGCTGGAGGGTTGGGAATGAAGCAGGTTGGCAAGAGCGAGGATGGATCGTCTACCGAGTACGCATATGTTCACGACAAGGAGTATGATGCTGTGCAGACCTTCTTCTTCTCCTGTGTGCAGATGGGTGACCCGATGAGGATTGTCTACCTGCTGCAGCAAGTCCGTATGTTTGGAACCTCCCCGTGAAAGAAAAAAAAGCAAAGGTTCGTGTAACTGACGCTTTATAAATAGCTTACCACGTGTCGACACTTCTACAGGTCAGCAGTGTGGCTAAGCAGGACCAGAACATGGCCCTGTCAGCTGAGCTGTGCGAGAGGGCACTCTTCACGTTTGGTCGTGTGGCGACATCGGCTTTTCGTCAGGACCTCGAGAACGGCCGCGCGCGCCTCGACTTCCGACGGCCGGAGAACCGGCAGCTTTGGCTAGCAGGGTACCACTACCTCCGGAGTCTGATACGCAAGGGCACGTACCGGACGGCTCTGGAGTGGGCCAAGCTGCTGTTCGCGCTGGACCACGCGGACCCCTACGCCACGAGGCATTTCATACACTTCCTAGCCATACGGGCGTACGAGGCAGAGTGGCTCGTCAGCTTTCTGGATGAGCTGGAGAAGACGAGCGACAACCGCGACACCATCTACCTGCGGCAGACGGGTGTGCTGGCCAAGCTCCAGCTTAAAGATATCGAGGGCGCGCGTGCCGAGCTGGAGCAGGGCATACGGCGCCTCCCGTGGCTCTACTGCGCACTCTACCAGGAGCTCGGGATAGATGCACCCCCATCCATCTGGGGTATAAACGCCGAATCCGACCGGCGCTCTTTCTGGGTAAAGCTGTACATCTACCAGACCAAGGACCTCTGGAACAACACTGCGGCGACGTCGCTCCTCCAGGAGGTGGCCAAGTCACTGGACCGCGTCGACATCTCCTCGCTTCCCGTCGACGACTCCCCGCCTGACTTGGGCGTCACCCGCCTGGCGTACCTGGAGGGCCAGACGTCCATCATCGCCTTGGCTCCGCGCGATCTCCTAGACAGCCAGCCCAACTACGAGTTTGACCCTCTCCCGCCACGCGAGGAGGACAACATTTTCACGGGAGAAGGGTGCCGTATGCCGTGGAAGGACATGAATGCCGGATCCAGGGCAATGGAGCACCAGATTGAGGCGCAGCTGCGGAACCTCATGGAGCGCAGGCAGGCTCGGGCTCAGGCCGTTGGAGCTGGAGCTGGAGCGGCAGGTGGCATGGGGATAGCTGGTATTCCCGGAGACGACGATTTTGAGAACCCGGAACTGGATGCTCTTGACCTGAACGACCCGGAGCTCCAGAGGGATCTAGAAGAGCACGCTGCACGGGCAAATGCCCCTGGTTTAGTGCAGACGCTCATGCGCATGTTTAGGGGGGAGCCTGCGCCCGACGATGATGAGGGCGTGGATAACGAGCAGGAGGTGTTTGAGGGGTATTATAGTGATGATGATGATGTTCCTGGCGCATGGCCCGAGGATGAGAGGTAGATGGGGATGGGATGTGTAGTATATTCTTTCATAATCCTATAACAAAAGGGGGTAGTTAATGAGATAGACTGGAGTGTGATTTGATATGATTATAAAAAAAAAGAGTGACGTATTGGTTTATAACGAGGATAGGGATGCCTAATGTACCTCGAATGCTCAACATGGTCAGACAAATGTGGAGAGAGAGTAACCGCGGTAGGAAGAGGTACCAGGACGAAGAACACTGATGGCAACAATGTGATACAGTAGTGATACTATCAGTCGCAGTACTTGGGAATACTTCTTCGACTTCTGGAGGTGACGAGTTGGATGGAACGAGAAGAAAGAGGATATCTCTCTATTCCTAGTGGGGAAATGCCGAGGCCGTCTGGAAGTAAATCCTGGGGTCAACAGATGTTCCCCGCATTATGCAGGGCTCGGGACGATTCTATGCCATTATCAATTAGGCAACGTATAACTATGAGATTGTAAAGAGATCAGCGCTATTCATGATGGCGTGTATGGAAATCAAATGTTTTTAACCGAAGTGCTCACAGTCGGGGTTTGAAATCCGGCCGAGGTGGGACAAAAGCTGGTCCGCATAATTAGGTGCTGAGTACGGATATAAGATCCATCATCTGCCGAGGAACGTTCTCCCTCCCCCAAGCCATCCCCCCCATAACATATCATCTTTGTATATGTATACATATATATATATCCTTGACGTTCAACAAATTTGCTGCTCCCAGATCGTACACATCGGAATTCATAAGGATCAAACGTACTAGAATCGAAAAAAAAGAAGATGCCTCCCAAGAACAAGCAGAAGTCTGCCGCCTACATCCTGGGCGTGGGAATGACCAAGTTCATCAAGCCCCGCGGAAAGGTCGACTACACGGAGCTGGGGTTCGAGGCGGGCGTCAAGGCCCTCCTGGACGCGCAGATCAACTACGACGACGTGGAGCAGGGCGTGGCGTGCTACTGCTACGGCGACAGCACGTGCGGGCAGCGCGTCTTCTACCAGTTCGGCATGACGCAGATCCCCATCTACAACGTAAACAACAACTGCAGCACGGGGAGCACGGGGCTGGCTATGGCGCGCAACCTCGTGTCGGCGGGTGGCGCCGACTGCATCATGGTGGTGGGGTTCGAGAAGATGATGCCGGGGAGCCTCCAGAGTTTCTTCAAAGATCGGGAGAACCCCATGGGCACGACGCACCGCATGATGGCCGAGACGAGGGGCGTCACCAATGCGCCTGGGGCGGCTCAGATGTTTGGCAATGCCGGTCTCGAGTACATCGAAAAGTCTGTCACCCAGCCTTCCTCCCCCTATCCTTACGCTTCGAGTAGTACCAGCAATCGCTTCAAGTGCTATCAGTTACTGACATTGAAAAAAAAAATCAAAAATCAAAACAGGTACGGTGCCAAACCAGAGGATTTCGCCGAGATTGCTCGCATCAACCACGCCCACTCGCCCAAGAACCCGTACTCCCAGTTCCAGGACGTATACACGCTCGAGCAGGTCATGGATTCGACCAAGATCCACGGGCCGCTGACCAAGCTGCAGTGCTGCCCTACGTCGGACGGCGGGGCGGCCGCCATAGTCGTGTCGCAGGACTTCCTTGACACGCGCCCCCACCTCAGGGAGCAGGCCGTCGAGATTGCGGGGCAGTGTCTCGCCACGGACGCGCCCAGCCTCTTCTCCCGGAGCAGCATCGACCTGATGGGCTACGACATGACGGTGCGGGCGGTCAAGACGGCCATGGCCGAGGCCGGAATCTCCGCTGGCGACTGCCAGGTCGTCGAGCTGCACGACTGCTTCAGCGCCAACGAGATGGTCGTCATCGACGCCCTCGGCCTGTCGGACAGGGGCAAGGCCCACGAGCTCGTGCGCGCGGGCGACATCACCTACGGCGGGCGCTACGTCGTAAACCCGTCGGGGGGGCTCATCTCAAAGGGCCACCCGCTTGGCGCCACCGGCATCGCCCAGTGCGCAGAGCTCGTCTGGCACCTCCGCGGCTGGGCTAACAACCGCTCCGTCCCCGACACGAAGTACTGTCTACAGCAGAACCTCGGACTGGGCGGTGCTGCCGTCGTCACCGTTTACCGTCGCGCAGACGGCCGCACTGCCCCCGCCGATCTCGAATCGACCGCTATCGGCCGTAAGAATGGTCTCGGGTATAACCCTGCCGTCGAGGCGAGGGGTTTCACAAAAGAGCAGGCTGCTGCGGTTCGTAGTCGCGAGCATTCTAGTGATTGGGCACTGCAGGACACGGAGAAGAAGGTCGAGTCAAGGTTTTGAGGGAGAAAAGGGGGGGGGGGGGGGGGGGATTGTGCTAAAGATGGAAAGAAGACATTATTGTAAATGATTCGGTATGAAATGAGACCGACCACTTTGGATGCACATGACTACTTCTTGTGGTCATGTCTCCTAAGGGTTGACAACGACCCAACGAGGAGCGACGTCATCGCCTGCCTGCTAGCTAATTAGACTGCTCCCACTGAACGTGCTACACACGTCCATCTCTTCATCAACAAACGATGACACGGGTAATTTACGACCCTGACTTTTCTAATAGGAATATATACGAATTGGGGAAAAAAATGCAGCTTCATATAGCATTCTGGGTGACATATATGAGAAACACCACCACCATGCCAACCGAACCCCACACGTTTCGTCGTCTCACCATCGAGCTGCGGAATACGATCTGGCAAACGATGCTAGACGAAGACAACGAGGGCACGGTATGCGGCCAATATGATGTTAGGAGGGGACTTCGAGGTTGAGATCCCCGCCAGTCCAACACTACGTTAACGGCGACTCGCGCTCCGTGGCCTTCTCATCCATGAACCGGATCGGGGCACGGACGGTTGCAACGACGACGACGACGACGATGACGACGACGACGACGATGACAATGACAACGTAGACAGCTACTGCTAACTTGTGACTCGTGGCACGCAAAACGAGCCGGACGCGGCAGAGCCCCGGGACGTTGGGATGCCGACATGGACCAAAGAGGACATGCCGCCGTGGGGTCTCATGGTGAAGCTGGAACATTGCAATAGCATGTTATACGGCTACTCAGAGTACTGGTTGATCGGGGTGGACGACATGACGGCCGTGAAACGTCGACATAATGAAGAGGAGCGCGATGAAAGCGGCTTCGCGGAATGCTTTGTCGACTACGTTACAGGAGAAGTTGTCGAGAAGGGTACGGTGCTGAAGTGGTGATTTCCTGTGCGTGTATGTTTGTGTGTGTTGCTCGTAATTGAGCACATTTAATGGTTCATGGGGTATTATTATCTACATCATATCGCGTACGGGAGTATCGGCACGTCGTATGGGATTTTTTCGTCCATTTCCCCTGTTCTGAGAGCCAAGCTCCCCCTCCTCCAGAACGTAACAGGTTGCGTGTGATGTCGCGCTGGCCAGACTATGAGGATGGTGAGCAAGTTTCATGTGGACTTAGTTTACTTCTCCGGTAATTGTTTTAATCTATTATCAAGTAGATGTACGTCATGATGGCCCCTGGCCCCGGTACAGGTACGCTGCAAGAATGATAGGCAGTACCTGTAGATTGCTACTGTAGTGATAAATCCTGCTGCGGATGTCAGCGCTACTGTTACTACTGCTACTACAGTTTGAACCTGAATTGGACACGTCTTTTGGACGATGAAATGAAGTTTGCTATTCAGTGTGTGTTAAGTCGGCACAGAAGACGCGCCAAAATGGCGTCAGCAACCAGGAGGCATTATTAATTCAGGATTATTTGCGCCTCCTCCCGCTGCTTCATTTTCTCATCCTCGAACATTGTCCCCTTTCCCCTCCCCCCCCCCCCTAATAATAAACCCCAAAGCAGAAGAGCAGCAGAATTTGGTTTATTATATTAGAAAGCATCGAGGCACCCTGATTTTCAAAAGAATATTCTTCTCTCTCTCTCCTCTTCCTGCATCCTCATCCTCAACCTCTCTTTTTCTCCTCTCTCCACGATCCACGACAACAGCGCAAATCTTTTGCCCCGCACTACTTCTTCCACCCAATATGTCGCACACTTACGAGTTCAACGTCAGCATGAGCTGCGGCGGCTGCTCTGGCGCTATCGACCGCGTTCTCAAGAAGCTTGAAGGTAAAAGTCTCTCTCACATCTCTATCTTATCCTCTCCTCTCTTTCATATACCCCCCTCTCCTCCTCTTGTAGCTGGAACGTTCTCTGACAATTTACCCCGCAGGCGTCGATAGCTACGAGGTTTCCCTCGAGAACCAGTCGGCCAAGGTCGTCACCGACCTCCCCTACGAGACCGTCCTCGAGAAGATTGCTAAGACGGGCAAGAAGGTCAACTCGGCCAAGGCTGATGGCATCGACAAGTCGGTCGAGGTGGCGGCTGCTGCGTAGATTCGGGATGGAGGGGGAATCATGCTCTTCACCTTTCTGATCTGGAGAGTGAAATCCCTCCCCGCTTACCCCCTTTGGCGTTTCTTTGTTTTCTTCTTTTCCCCTCTTGTTCTTGAACGCAGCGAATACGTATATGGCATAGGGAGATTGTTGGAGAGATGGGTGGGAATGTAGACTGTTACCCTCTCGAGAATACTGTTGCTGCGCTTCCTGTGTTGTGCGCGTCTGTGGAGCTGCGATGATGTTTGCGGGACGAACGGGGGTATGAGTTCCTCCGTGAATCCATTTGGAATTTTTTTGATATATCTCATCTCCCTTCGTAGTCGTGTGGTGTTCCGCTGTGCTGGCTACAGTTAGGTAGGCAGTCCGACTCCGCAGCCTTGTTCCAGCTCCGAGCTTTGCTTCGGAAAAGGGTAACCTTCCCGACGATGCTGTCTGTCAGAGGTTGAGCTCGGCTGATTGTATAGAGGCTGGTTGGTCACCATGCTACCTCACACTGATCTACAATGCAACCCAGATGACAGACACCAGACAGATACGGGCAGGGCGGTGGGAGGCCGACACCACGGAATCCACATCCCCCACTCCCGACATGATGGTCTCGCGAAACGTCGAGTGGGGAGAAGTGGAAGTGGGAGAGTTGGGAGTGGCACACCACCACTCCAGCAGATAAGTTCAACTGCCTTATCGTATCCACCACGCGTACTCTGTCGCCCTCGTCTGGTAGCCCTCGAAGATTTCAAGCGGGCTCTCGGGCAGATGCAACAGGCCCCTCGTTTTGCCACGCCCGTTCTTGTTGTTGTATCTCGGGTATATGGAGTCGTAATAATACGTCGAACCCGTCTCGATAGCATAATTGCCAAAGGCGTGAGAGCTCGCGGTTACCCAATAAGCGAAATGGCGAAGCCGCGAAGCTGCAAGCGAAGTAGTCGCGAACGGCACTGTGATCGGTGCTGTATCTTTTCCAAGGCTGACGTATTTCAGAAGAGGACTAGTATAGACGAGAATCAACATAAGAGTTGTGCATTCAATACACCAGCTCTCTCTCATTCTCTCTACGTCAGCAGTCTACCGAGTCTATCAATCAATCTATCCGCACATCCTTGGATCTTCCATCCTACAGCATAAACGTCCACCATGGGCCAGCTCGAGATTCCCACCATTGACTTTTCTGGTCTGTAACACTGTCTCCCCGAGAGCTCCATACCGGCTGACGTATACTAACACCCCGCATAGGCTTCTACAGCGACGATGCCGCCAAGAAGCAGGCCGTAGTCGACCAGGTTAAGCAGAGCTGCCTGTATAACGGCTTCTTCCAGATCATCAACCACGGCGTGCCGCTGCAGCAGCAGAAGGAGGTCATGAAGTCGGCCAAGGACTTCTTCAACCTGACGCAGGAGCAAAAGGACAAGGTGTCCAAGGACAAGACGACGTGGAACCGCGGGTACGAGATGCTTCGATCCCAGATCCTCGAGGAAGGCACCCAGCCTGAGCTCAAGGAGGGCTTCTACATCGGCGATGAGCTATCAACCACCCACCCCTACTTCGTCAACAAGAAGCTCAACAGCGGGCCTAACCAGTGGCCCGAGGAGCTCGGCGGCGACGCCGGCGAGTTCAACCGCAACACCATGATCTACTACAAGTCCGCCGTGGGGCTCGCCTCCGACCTCATGAGCGTGCTCGCCCTGTCGCTCGACCTGCCCGAGGACTACTTCGCCAAGTTCCTCGACGGCGTCGTCGCCACCATGCGCCTCCTGCACTACCCAACCCAACCTAAGGATGCCGACGAGAAGCTCACGCGCGGCATCGGCGCCCACACCGACTTTGGCGCCATCACCATGCTCCTCCAGGACAGGGTGGACGGTCTGCAGGTCTGGGATCAGAAGAACAATGTCTGGATCGATGTGCGTCTCTCCATCCTCTGTCCTCTCCATTCTTGGTCGAGAACGAACATCAGTGTGTGTGGGCAGCACCTTTACTGACCGCGAATGATACAGGTCCCACCCAAGGAGGGCGCTCTCGTCGTCAACCTGGGAAACCTCATGTCCCGCTGGACAAACGAAAAGTACAAGAGCAATGTCCACCGCGTCATCAACAAGTCCGGGAAGGAGCGCTACTCTATCCCCGTTTTCGTCTCGGGCAATCCCGACTTCGTCGTCGACTGCATCCCCACGTGCAAGTCGGCGGATGCCCCGGCCAAATTCCCCCCCGCTACGGTGGAGGAGGTAGTCTCGGCCTCGTACGCCGAGTCCTACGGACGTGCGCAGATGTTCAAGCAGGGCCTTGAGAAGAAGGCTGCCGCGGTGCCGGTCCCGGCTGCTGCACCTGTTGCCGTTGCGTAGATTAGCTGTGTCCTAAAATAGTGTCTCCATCCAAGAAAATAAGGAATCCAAAGTAGCCTGACTGCCTGCTACGGAGAGATGCGACATTGTGACTAATAGTCTCGATACTTGAGAATTAGTAAATGTAGAGCTCGGAAAATCAGCAACGTCGGTGTAAGCGAGCCAGGAGGGCAAGATAGATTCGAGATGGGACGTTCGTGGCCTGATCTTTTCTTCTCTCTAATGCATGGCTATTGCAAGTAATTTTCCCGCTTTCTCAATATCGATAATACAGTGATAACTACTATCACCTTGTTCCCCTGGTTAAGCAGTGTTGGCTGTCGTTGACATCTCGCATATCAGATATGAGCGCCTATCAAGGGTGGGGGGGTGTGGTCTCACTGTCCCACGCCCGCATCACCCCGGGCGGATAGAAGATGATTCCTCGTCGTTATACCCGATGTAGAAGATTACTATGCGTCCGGAGAGGAGACCCTGGATACCCGTAGCTAATCGGAAATAGTACGTGTATATCTTCTTTCTAATAGTGTCTTGGCCCCCTCCAAAGATATCTAGAGCCATTGAAGTACCTATTCCGAGAGGCACATCGTGTACGGTAACACCACATCTACCGGGGACTCTCCTGTTTTGCTCTTTAGGAATTACCGAGACCATTATCGTCCTTACGCACCGGGACATACCCTTCGCAATGGAGAAAAAGGCCAACATCGGGGGAAGCGTATCCTCAATGAGGGATACCGAGGCCATGACCGTGGGGGCACGAGACCCCGTGGCGGAGAAGAGCTACGGTATAAGATATCATCACCAACCTCAACACTCAACGGAGGGATGCCGGAATAGGTAGAAATGCTAACTGTTGATATCTCAAGTTCGCAAGATGGATCTCTATCTTCTCCCCGCCCTGAGCATCATGTACTTTTTCAACTCTGTCGACCGCGTAGGTCTAACCGTGTACACTCCCGCAAACCCGAATCAAGAAGCTAATGCATATACTCTAAAAGAGCAACCTTGGAAATGCAGAGACGGGCGGTATGAGCAAGGATCTCAACTTTGTCGGGGAACAGTACTCCCTGCTCATCGTACTCTTCTACATCCCCAACGGCCTGTGCGATCTGCCGCTCAATATGCTCACAAAGAAGTTTTCTGGGAAGACCATGCTTCCCGCCTTGATGGTGGGATGGGGAGCAATGGCGACCATCCAGGCTGCCACCAAGAATTTTGGCGGCATGCTTGTTCTGCGCCTCTTTCTGGGGTATGTAATATGCCACCGTGCATTTGAATCATGCACATATCTTTTGACTAACATCTTTCTGTTCTTGAAACAGTGCGTTCGAGGCAGGCTTCTTCGCCGGCGTGATATTCTACCTTACACTCTTCTACACGCGCGGCGAGTTGAGTCTCCGCATTGCCATCTTCTTTGGTAGCGCCTTGCTGGCCGGAGCCTTCTCGGGCCTCATCTCGTTTGGCGTGCTCCAGATAGACGATCCGCGCGTGACTGGCTGGATGTTCCTGTTCCTGATTGAAGGGTCCATGACTGTCATCCTCGGCGTCGCGGCATTCTGGTGGCTCCCAGCCACTCCGCAGACGGCGTGGTTCCTCAACGAGACCGAGCGCCAGGTGGCCACCGAGCGCACCCTCCGCGACGGGTCGGGGACGGTCGGTGAGGAGTTCAACGTGAAGGAGTGCTTCCGGGCGTGGGGCAACTGGCAGTTCATACTGTGGTGCATCATCAGCCTCACGTATCCGGTGGCCTTTGCGACGACGGCCAACTTCCTGCCCCTCGTGCTCCGCCGTCTAGGCTACAGCGTCGTCATCACCAACCTGCTCACCGTGCCGCCCAACTTTGTCGGGTTCTTCGTCCTGCTGGCCGTGTGCTGGAGCTCGGACCGCCGGCGTGAGCGCACCTTCCACATCATCGGGTCCCTGACGATCAGCTTCGTCGGCCTGCTCATCCTCGCAACCATCGACGCCACCGCGCACGTTGGCGCCGCCTACTTTGCGTGCTTCCTGCTCGCCGGGGGCGCCTACATCCCCAGCTGCCTCGTCCACGGGTGGCACAACAACAATAACATGGGGGAGAACTCGCGCGCTGCCACGACGGGCCTGCTCGTCGGGCTGGGTAACCTGGGCGGCATCCTGTCTGCTGCTACGTTCCGCACCGAGTACGCTCCGCGTTACGCGCCTACCCTTATCGCCACGGCGGCGTGCAACGTGACTTGCATCGTATTCACGCTCTGGTTGGGCCTCTGGATGAGGCACGAGAATAAGAGGCGTAATAAGGAGCAGGGAGTCGATCTCAAGGCCGAGGATATCGACACTAGCGAACTTGTGAATGGACCAAAGGATCCTAGGTTCCGGTATTTTATTTGAACTCTTGACCCTAAGGGTCGGGTCGACCAGGGTTACTGGAGGATTCAAGATTACAGCCTTGTGTGTTCCAGCTGTAGTCCTAGCCCAACAATGTGCCTAGTGAGCGGTTCTGGTACACATTCTTTCCAACTATGGTAGCTCAAAGCCACTCCTGGTTTCCAAAGCGAGAAACAAAGGTTCCTCCATTGCCGTTGGCCACACTGGACCTGTCAATCACGGCGAGGACATGCTGCACCGCGGATTCGGGGGTGGCGGGTCCTTTGAAGTGAGGCTCTAACTCGGCAAACTTTTTGGCCATCTCCCCCATACGAGCCTGCTGCTCCTCGGTAACTGTCGCGTGCGAAGTCAGTTTAGGTTACAGAAATGAGAATAGAATGATTTCGGACTTACGACTGTCCAGCGTGCCCGTGTCGACGACTCCGGGACAGATGCTCATGAACAAGACATTCTGCTTGCTGTACTCGGCGCTGAACTTGGCCACAGCAAGGTTCATGGCAGCTTTGCTGATGGAGTAAGGCGCGGCGTTGGTGAGGGTGAATTTGGTCACGAAGTCGGGGTGACCCATGCTACTCGAGATGTATATGACCTTCTTGGTGTTGCCCTTGAGGATGAGCGGCATGAACAGGTTGAAGAGGTGGATGTTGCCGACGGTGTTGACCTTGAATGACTCGACCAGGTCAGTCGTTAGCTTGTCTGGAGAGTCACCCCTGTTTTTATTTTTGTTGTCAGTCCCGTCAATTGGACGTTACTCAGAATAGAAGTGTCCTTCCTCAGGTAGAGCTGTCATGTTACGACTTACAGAGTACTCAGCGCATCAAATCCGGAGAGAATGGATATAAAAGCCGCATTGGCGATGATGACGTCAAGCTTCCCTCCTGTGATCTGGGAGACATTGGCAACGTTCCGCTGTAGGCCAAGTAGTTGTTAATTGTATGATGCTCGGCAATGACTTTAGGGGTTCTTGGATACCTTGATAGAGTCGTAGTCCTCCATGTATGCGGTGAAAATGTGGACATTCTGTCTCTCACCCAGCTCCTTTCTGATTTTATCCTCAGTGGCCACTTTGTTGCGCACAAGGCCTATGACCGTGTTCTTTGGGTTGCTAGACAATTGTCTCAGGAATTCAAACTGCGAGAAATCTCTCGTCAGTATACTGCATAGGCACCTTTATCTGACGGGGCAAGACTTACCCCAATGCCCCGAGACACGCCAGTAATGAGGTATGAAGCCATTGCAGATAGTGCAGTGCCTATACTTGTCGTTGTGGTTGAGAGAGATGATTGATATTGTCGTTGTCACTGAAAGAGATGGTTGATGTTGTCGAATCCAGTTCAGGAGAGTCATGGAACAGGTTTATTTATGCAATATTTCCTTGTGCTTGCTTCAGCTCCACGTATAAATTGTCTACATACAAATTGATTACAAATCGTACTTGTGGATTTGGTTGATAATCATCATATGCGGCGACAACTATAACCTGAAGCTGGCAATGATCCGTTTCCTGTTGGCCCCGAACTGAAGTTTGGCCGAGCAAGGCCAGTATGGAATCCTCTCCTCGATATTATGGAGGAACGAGAACGATCGATTCACATACACTCTTGTCGCTGGTGCCTTTACTACTATATTGCCTCTGCTTCGCCATTGCTCAGCAGACCTTGTCACTTACCTCATTACCTCCTACTCCTAGTAGACTCGTCGTCTGACAAATACATATAGTTAAACGTCCACACGTGCCTCTCAGCACAAGGCTATGTCAAGATGTCATTAACGGCTGATACTAAGCTCTCACCGAGTTGCCCTGCAGATGCAATCCGAGCCCTTCCTGCACATGCCCCGTACTTTTATTCGTCTTCGGACGGACCTAGGCCTGCTTCCTCAACTCTCTGTTTTTACCACCACCCGACGCACGGTGATTTCATACATCATCCTCATGCATCTGATATTTCTTGGTTGTGGTACTGATGGAACTAGACCCCCAGCGAAAGATTGACTCGGACGACACAGACGGACCAATCTAGATTGCGATTGAAGATGGGGAAGGCGTCAAGAGGATACACTACTTAAAGGTATGTACTTTGTCAGCTATACATGCACCTTGCGTATGCAGTGCCCAGAGATACGCTCCAGACCTTGTTACGGCGGGATCCATTATATCCCGGATAGTCAGCTGCGACCGTGCCCTGCCGTCCTGTAACCGCTGCGCAAAGGCAGGTGAACCATGCGGAGGCTACGGCCTCCGTCTCTTCTGGATTAGTCAGGGCGACGACTGAAGGGCTATCGTCCGGGTACTTGATAGGAACGATTTCCCAGTACTCTCGGAATGGGTTCATTATCATGCATCAATGGCGAGCCTCGGCGTTCGACACTGGCGTGACCACCGAAGATCTGTCCGGCACTGGGGGACGCCATTACAGACCAATATCAGCCCGCTGATACCTATATACACGGTTGGCGAGGTGTGCGTGAGCCATCAAGAGATGCAGGAGAAGAGAATTTGGAGCCGCAGAGGACAGGAAGCGGATAGCGAAGCTTTACCAACTAGCCACTATGATCTATCTCGAACAGATATCCGGGAATCTTTCGAGCGACCTGGGAAAGATCGACCAATGGGTTGATCGAGGATGACAGATAACAGAAAGCCTCGTGGCCTGTCGATGGTAATTTCTCTTCTTCATTTTCAGATGCGAAGCGCGGTCGGACTAACAAAGGAAGCAAACGCCTAGCCCGGTCTCACAGAACGAAGGCACCTACAAGGCACACGGACTCGAGGCGACTAAACAGCTTGTATAATTTCACTAGACACAAGATGATCTTTCAGGTAGAGCTCAGAGCTATATAGACAAGATCGATGCTACCATAAGCATAAGCGGGATGGTACCGGTATTCGTGTGAGGGCGATAACATCCGAGACCTCTTACGCAGAGAAGGTAGCTATAGACCTACCACTCTAACAAGGGTGGAGAACCCTTTGCTGCCAAGTATCTCTCCACTTCGCTCTGCGTCGTATCCCAAAGGCCCTGTGCTTGCTTCTCACTCTGTAACAGCGGGTGACCAGGACGTACAGCTCCGATGGGCTCCATGTACTTGCCAAGGTACCTCTTTGGCTCTCGACGGATCTCCTTGGCCGTCGCTGCGAACAGGGTGTTGAAAGATCCCTTATCCGTAGGCACGAACATACGTGATAAGATGGGCCACACGTACGGCTTGAAGACTGTGTGAACGTCATCGGACCTCACGGATCCCGGGTGAATCGCCAAGACCGCAATGGGCACCCCTTGCTTGTCCAACAGCGCTTGCAGCTGCTTGGCGAACAGGGCGTTGGCGAGTTTGGAGATTCCGTAGCGGAACATGTCGACGTTGATGACGGCTGCGCGCAACAGCTTGTAAGATAGGGGCACGTACGGAAGTTTTCCGTAGAGCAGGTCCGGTTTGGTGAAGTCGAAGGGGTAGCTAGCTGGGAGCACGGCGTATTGGGCGCTGGAGGATACAACGATGATGCGGACATCGGCGTCCGGAGACAGAGCCGCCTTTCTCATGAGAGGGAGGATCCCATTTGTGAAAGCGAAATGTCCAATATGCCTTTTCTCTCTCTCTCTCGAAGTTGTTAGACCGAGTGCCTGTGAGTTGCGAAAGGCTGGATTGTACTTGCGAACTCGTCATGGATTCTTCCCACCCTCCTTCGGAGTATGATTCCTTGGATGGAGCGCCGCCGGCATTGTTGACTGAGGAAATGTGAGCGGAAAGACGTGAATATTGGGCTCTAGAGTCTCAGACGTACTCAGAAGATCGACCTTGCCTTCTCTAGATCGGATGTCTGCGGCGGCAGCAGCAGCGGCCTCGGGGAAATCAAAGTCGGCCACCACCCAGGGCAATTGGCTCGCAGACAGCCCCGGGTTCAGCTTTATTTGCTCCTCCTGTGCCATTCTTGCCTTGGCTTCCGTTCTGGCAGTCAGATATACCTTGGCACCCTTTGCAGCCAGATGCTTCACTGTCTGGAAGCCTATTCCTGATCTGGGGGACCGGCTGTCAGCTAGGCAAGAAGGAATTGAATTAGGGAAAGAGAGATAGCATACGTAGAACCAGTCACTACTGCCACCTTTCCAGCAAGGCCGGGCATGTCTTTGTAAGGGGTCCAGTCGATGGCCATTGTAGTCGATTTGATGAGTCTGGAGGGTTCACTAACGACGAAGAAGTGAAGGAAAGAGTCAACCTTTTAAGATGATCTCAAGAAGACACTTGAAGCACCGGAATTACGACGGAAAGGAGATCATGACAAGTCGTCACGAATCATCTCGCATCAGGCTTGATCATCAAACTCCTCTTACTTACGATGCCATAATCCTCCGCCTCGAGGACCAAGTCGCGGCTTACACAGGAGCTCCCGCTATACCTGATTAGGAAAATGCAATACTTGGCATCCGGCGGAATCGGCGGCTGGACGGATGCTCAACTCCGCAGAAGCTTATAAAGAAGAAACTATCCCAGAATTTTGATCTTTTTCATTTCTTCTTTTGGAAAATGTGTATCTTGGCAATCCCACTAAATCTCGTTTTCTTCTTCTTCTTCTTTTTTTGGGAGACGAAATCATGGCATCACAAGGCGGCTTTCAGTTTGTCAGCTCGACCGGCCGGGGGAATTCCAGAGCTCACAAAAGATTAGTCCGAAGTCATGCAGCCCGAGATCCACTCGCGAGGAAGAAGAAGGTGTCCGATTATCAGCGCAGAGGGAGTGACAAAGACTCATGTGAGGTTGAAGAGCTGGTCCCGTATCCGATGAACCGACGGGAGCACCCGTTCTATCTGGAGGCGGTCGCTCAGAGGAGAGGGATCAGCTCCATCACGAGCCAGGTTGGGATGCCTGCTGTGGATCCGTTCCAGAGCTTCTCGAGGCCCGTGAGCACAATCGAATGGTCTCTGATCTACCACTGTAGGTTCACAAGCTTTGGAATCGACGCCCGGCTTATGCTGATATAATCTTTAGTTGTGTCGAAATTAAGCTTGGGCACAGGATCCATCTCATTGAAGGACGAAGACGTCGCCTCGCCAGCCCTGATGCTGAGCCACTGGATGCAGATGGCCGCTGCCGACGCCGGGATGTTGGCCTGCGTCCTATTGGGAGCATGCCGAGACCTCTCGCGTTGTGGCGGCACGTTGCAGGTGCGCGTCAAGAGTGTAGCTATGGCCGCGCAGTTCAGTATCTTGGCAATAAGAAGCCTGAGACAAGATATCGAGAGCCGGGGGGAAACGGTCACTGACGTGACGATCCTCAAGGCCATGGCCATCGGCCTCGACTCAGTAAGAGGATGCCCTGCCTGGTTACATGCTGAAGATATCTGACTCTTGTTCTCAGGCTATAACCCAGGATTTCGGAGCCGTGATGGCCCATGTTGAGGCTTTGTGGAGAATGGTGGAGCTGAGAGGTGGGTTTGATGCCCTCAGAAGCGAAGGCGCCATGACGAAGATGTCAGTGTGGGCTCTCCACGACCAGACGCTGACACCTCGGAGATACCTGCCTCTGTCATGCGTCGAGAGGATGTCCCTTGAGGTCGATCAACCTGTGGGCAGCTGAGGGCAAGGTTCCAATCCAGCCGCGGCCACATACAGTGTCTGGCAGATCTTCTAATCATGGGCCGGACGAAGAATGATCGGATGAGACTAAATATATACTTTGGGCTATGTACAAGATATAATCTACCACTTTGTCACTCCACCATCGACAAGAATATCCGAGCCAGTGCAGTACTTGCTGGCATCGCTCGCCAAGAAGACGCAGGCGCCCTTGATATCGTCGGGCTGTGCCACGCGATGGTTCATTATCTCATCCTTCCAGCTGTCCAGTAGGTCAGGGAACGGCTCCGTCATGGCCGTCCGCACGTAGCCGGGACTGACCGAGTTCACACGGATACCGTATTCGTTGAGCTCCGCGGCGATGGGCGCAACCATGGCACGCACAGACCCCTTGGTGCCGCAGTATGCGGAGGAGCGCTGCGAGCGGATGGCCATGTAAGAGGCGATGCTGGCGACGAGAACTATGCTGCCGCACTTGGTGCCGTTGGCGATCATGGCCTTGGCGGCCAACTTAGCGGAGAAGTAGACGCCCTTGCAGTTGACGGAGAAGAGCCTGTCGAAGTCCTCCTCCTCAGTGTCGAGGAAGTGCACGTTCTTGTTGACGCCCGCACATGCCACCAGGATATCGAGCTTTCCGTCAAAGTCCTTGTGCACGGCGGCAAAGCCCTCCTTGAGGCTCTCGAGAGACGTCACGTCCACGACGTATGCCTTGGCACGGATACCGTTGTCTCTTATCAGGTCCTGCACACTCTCTTCGGCGGTCTCGAGGATGTCGAATATCGCAACGTCAGCACCGGCCTCAGCGAGACCCTGGGCAAAGGCATAGCCGCAGCCTCTAGAGCCTCCAGTGACAATGGCGACGCGGCCCGTGAGCGAGAACTAGAAGGGCCGGTGTCAATACGATAATTTTGCTCGTTGTCTATCCATCGGCTCTCGGGTTCCCATACCTTGGACATTGCTGAAGCTGTTATCTTCTTTCCGTTGTGATGGGTAATGTAGAATTGTACGCGCCCGAGTCAAATCCGGTGCATGAGCCTCTGAGAATATAAGCCCGGCTCACACAATGGCAGACATGTGCAACAAGGGGCCTATAACGGAGGTGACCATGATGGAGTCCACCAAGCTTTGGCGGGGCGAGGTCGTCAAACCTGGTTCCCAGCTTCATGATGCATGCAAAGCCACTTCTGCATGTGGCGACAAGCAGGGATGCATCTCGCCGCCTGACGAATAGAGTACCGGGGAATGCTTGAGTCCATGTGTCGATGGTAGGCAACAAGCAGGGGTGGGGGTGGAGATGCATTGATGGGGACACCCGAGATAAGCAATTGAAGGCAAAGCGCGGGTAACCGAGCTACAGGTTCCAAGGGTCTAGAGTGGATATCGGAGGGGTTCATCATGTCAAGCATCAGCGGGGTTGTGAAGTCATCTTTTATCTATAATCTTTCCCAGATGATGCTATCATCCATCTACACGTAAAAGCAAGCCGATTGGCCTCTGTTGACAATAATCCTCTTCTGTTTGGAAAGACACAGCACGATACTGTACACAGCAACCACTGGACTTGGGTCAAAACGAATTAGCGATAGCGACGGTATCAATTCCAGAAAGGAAGCAAAAGCACAAGACACGATGGGCAAGAAGAAGGTTCTCTGCTGGTGAGATAGTCTCCAATGGCCACTCCAGGGAACCACCGTCGTTCTGACTTGCACAGTTATGGCGTGGACATTGATGCCGTAGCTGGCTGGCTGGGATCATACGGAGGCGAGGACAGCACAAGCGACATCAGCAGAGGTCAGTCGGGAGAGGAGCCCCGGCCTACCGCACACGGCGTAGACTCAGACTGACAAACGTTCCGATCGGACCCAACAGGTCTGTGGGCTGGCTCTATCGGCACCACTCGCCTCCTCAAACTGTTCGAGAAATATAACATCAAGGCCTCGTGGTTCATCCCCGGCCACTCCCTGGAGACCTTCCCAGAGGAGTGCGCGATGGTGCGCGACGCCGGCCACGAGATTGGTCTCCACGGCTACAGTCACGAGAACCCGGTCGACATGACGCTGGAGCAGCAGCGCGATGTCCTGGACAAGACGTGGAAGATGCTCACCGAGTTCTGCGGCAAGCCTCCCCGCGGTAGCGTCGCGCCGTGGTGGGAGACTAGCGAAGAGGGCACCGAGCTGATGCTTAGCTACGGGATTGAGTACGACCACTCAATGTCCCACCACGACTGCCAGGCGTACTGGCTCCGGACCGGCGACAGCTGGACCAAGATTGACTACTCCAAGAAGGCCGAGGAGTGGATGAAGCCCTTGGTTAAGGGCAGAGAGACTGGTCTCGTCGAGATTCCGGGATCCTGGTAGTACGTTGTGCTCCCCCGAGAGACACCACCGTGCTGTCCGTGCGCTGACAGCTGTGCTATCTTAGCATTGATGACCTGCCGCCTATGATGTTCATGAAGAACTCGGCCAACTCCCACGGCTGGGTGAATCCGAGGTAAGAAGCCTCTGTAGACGAGTTCGCCGGCTATCGTAGGTTGTTTACAAAGACTGCTCCTAGGGATGTCGAGGATATCTGGCGCGACCACTTTGACTACTTTTACCGCGAATATGGTGCGTATCGCCTCTCCGCCAACGCTGCAGTGCTGATCAAGCACGACTAACATGGCGTCCTAGACGAGTTCATCTTCCCCATGACAATCCACCCGGACGTTTCGGGAAGGCCGCATGTTCTCCTGATGCATGAACGCATCATTGAGCACATCAACAAGCATGAAGGAGTCGAGTGGGTTACCATGGAGCAGATGTGCGACTATTTCAAGTCGAAGAATCCCGCGCCCGAGGGTGCCTTGATGCCGGCGAGCAGGGAGGAGGCCATGAAGAAGTATGAAGAGTGGAAGAAGACGCAGCAGTCGTAATAATCTATGCACGAATTGATGAGAGATTTGCTTTGAATCATGCCTGATGAGCCAAGAGGATTTACCTCCATGCGTGGGACGACGCCTTCTATCGTGACGCCAGATGTAGATAGTCTGTTTGCGAGAGCTGACGCTGATTGATTTATCAAGGCTATTATGCAAACACTACGCAGAACGGATGACATCATCCACAACCTTGCCAATAGCCATGAGCTTCTCCTCCTCCAGCTTGCGGCAGATGAGCTGGACGCCTACCGGGAGCTTAAGCTCGGCCATCTCCTCCTTCCTGTCCCTCCACAGACCACCGGTCCACTCGTCCTGCAGATTTCTAGCCTCGTGATCAAAGGGCTCTGAGAGATCCTGCCGGCCAACAGAGCCCCCAGGAAGAACAAGGGCTGGGTAATCGAGGAAATTCCACACCTTCGTATATCCGACCCAGCGGCAGCCCTTGTGGGGCACGGCCGGGTGGGGCATCGGAGGCATGAGGATCACGTCTGCAGGTCGGCCCGTGTTGGGGGACACGAGCGAGAGCCACTTGTCGAGGTAGCGTTGCTGGATATCGACCTTCTTCTTGTTGAGCTGCCAGTACTCGAATACGGATATGGCTTGGCCGGCGTTTATAAGCCTCTCTACGTGTGGGATAAAGGGCTCGCCGCCGGCAAGCACGGCCGAGCGCAAGTCTTCGCCGCCGTCGATTGTGTAGAACTTATCCTGTTGCCTCTGTCAGGGATGGATTGGCTGCGTCCGTGTACGGAGTTGGACTTACCATGACAGCAACACAATCAGGGTGGAGGTCGGAATTCCACTCGAAGATGTCGTGGCCGGCTCCTCTGAGGCGATCGACAGTCTCACGAAGGACTCGGGAGATGGGGGGGTGGGGCCGCACTACACCATCGTCGTGCAGTACGGCAATGGTAAGCGGCCGGTCCAGGGCCTCTGTATATTCCTCCTGCCTCCAGGGGATAGGAGCGCAGCGGGGATCGAGGTCCCAGGGACGGGCACCGACAACAGAAGACATGGCCGTCAGGATGGTTTCCAGGTCGCGCGCCAGCGGGCCCACAGACGACGGAACATGCTCCTGGCCATCCTGCGATACAGGGACCCCCCTATACGGGAGACGGGCGCTCTTTGGAGATCTTCGTTAGCCATGTTCGATGAACGGTGAGCGGAAGAGGGGACGAACACTGGGCTTCAGGCCGTACAGGCCCATCATGTGGGCAGGGATGCGGATACTCCCGCCAATATCGGTACCCCAGCCTAGCATGCTTCCCTGGCAGGAAAGCAGGGCTGATTCGCCGCCTGTCGAGCCTCCGGGAGTATAAGTCTTGCGCAAGGGGTTGGTCGTCAGACCCCAGAGAGGGTTCTCGGTTTCGCACCACTCAGATGCAGTTAGCCACTTGCAGGTCATTTCTGCGGACGCGTATGTTGCCTACCATGATGCTTTGGGGCAAGTTCGTCTTGGCGATGATGATGGCTCCCAGGGACCGGAGGATCTTGACAAGAGCCGCATCGTCAGAGGCAGGCGTGAAGCATCTCGAGACATATCCGATGGTCGTGTCAACCCCCTTGACGTCGAACTGGTCCTTCAATGTCACGGGAACTCCATGGAGGGGGCCGACAACTTTGCCGTGTGTCTTGAGATAGCCGTCCAGCTCGGCCGCACGGGTGAGGGCGTCATTGAAACAGATTTCCGTCAAGCTGATGGATGAGTTTAACTGCTGATGTACGACGCATCGGAGATGTGTGGGACCTACCAGTTTGTCTAGGATATTCAGAAACGTTAGTGTAAATACGCAGTTTGATGGAGTGGGAAGTATTATTATACAGAGACGCACATCATTGTGGATTTGAATTGCCCTATATCGTACATCGTGTAAGCCCTCCATCATACAGATCCCGGGTAAACAGGGCTGTTACCTCGTGATATACGCCTTGGCTACTTCTGTCGCAGTCGCTTCCCCCTTGCTCATCAATCCCACCAGCTGACTCGCAATGGGTGGTGACACAAGTTCTGCCAAGCGGCCAGCATCGAGGTCCTGGATCTTTTCCTGGGCCTGGGTGATGGCCTCGATCTGCTGGGCCCTTTTGCACTCCCTGACCTGTTCCCACGATTGCTTCATAACTGACCGGACCTGTTGATGCCAACTGTTTGTATCGGGTAGGATATTCCGTATGTTCAGCGGTCAAAGACTGGGAGACAGCAACGCAGCATTCACTGTGATACCCAACATTTCCGTCGCACTCGCAGCTCACACCGGCATCTTCCCCACGGCGCTCAATGCGGGGCAATGTCCGACCGTCGGCGTCGTCCGTGTTCGACTGGGGTCCGGATAGAGTGGGGGGGGGGGGGGGGGGGGGGGGGGGGGGGGGGGGGGGGGGGGGGGGGGCTGGTTCGATCTTCCACTTTCACGAGCAAGAGTGGGAGAGTGGGGAACTTGTGAGTGCCGATAACACACCCATTCATTGCTCAATATCGTATATTGGCGGGGAGTGGTGAGTGCGTCTGTGTGTGCATCATCCATCGTCGAAGGCAGGGAAGAAGAATATTTCGATGGTACGATTTGTCGTGTCATCAGAGGCGCTAGTTAATCCTGTGGTTCAATGCGGCACGTTTCCCCGAATGCTATATGCTCCGTGTAGTGCCTCAAAAACAAAGGGTTCAATATCATTGAAGACCAGGCCTTTATAGATTCACCGGAGCATCCATTATCGATCGCTGCACATCGACAGCGAAAGACATACAGTCGTCTGACACACGCTCTCTGTCTTGACGATATACTTGCCGACAACGAAGCATTCTACAGTCCAGTACACCTAAGTATGATGGAACTGGACGACAAGTACGACGTATGCGTTGTCGGTGCAGGGCCTGCCGGGCTCATGCTAGGGTACGTCATCGAATTCCCTAGATAGGAAATAAAGCATCAGTGCTGACGATAGCGGCGCGTACAGAGCTATCCTGGCTAGGCTGGGGATCCATGTACGGTTGCTGGATGAGCGGCCAGACCAGACGACGGTAGGACGCGCCGATGGTATCCAACCCAAGACCATCGAGACGCTGCAGATGATGGGACTCGGGGATGAGCTTCTGCGCAAGGGCGTCAAGGTGTACGACATCTGCATGTGGAGAGGCTCGAACGAAACCGACATGAAGCGCATGGGTCGCGAGGTCCACTACCCAGCCGACGTAGTCGACGTGCTACATCCGTTCATCCTTCTCTGCCACCAGGGCATGGTGGAGAGCATCTTTGTCGACGACCTCCGTCTCAGCGGCGTCGAGGTCAGCCGCAGCTGCAGCTTCACATCCTTCGAATCATCAACAGACGAGGCGCCCCTCACTATCGATTGCCAGATCACGGGTGACGGCAAGACGACTTTTACTGCCGACTACCTTGTCGGCTGCGACGGCGCTCGGTCCGCCGTCCGCAGCAGCATCCCTGACACATATGCCCAGGGGACACCGCACAACTCGATATGGGGTGTGCTGGACGGAGAGCTGGACACCGACTTCCCCGACATCTGGAGCAAGACGCTGGTGTACTCCGAGCAGCACGGGTCCGTGCTCATGATCCCACGCGAGCGCAACATGACGCGCTTCTACATCGAGATGAAGACGTCGACGTCGTCCAAGGACCTGGGCCAGGAGTACGTCATGGAGCAGGCGCGCAAGGTCCTGGCCCCGTACCGCGTATCGTGGGTGTCGGTCGAGTGGTTCGGCAACTACGCCGTGTCGCAGCGCGTCGCAGCTCGCTTCAGCGACCCCCGGCTGCGCGCCTTCATCGCCGGGGACGCCAGCCACACCCACAGCCCCAAGGCCGCACAGGGGATGAACACGAGCGTGCACGACTCGTGGAATCTCGGCTGGAAGCTCAACCTGGCCTCCCGAGGGCTGGCTAGTCGCGACGTCGTCCTGGGGAGCTACGAGCACGAGAGGAAGAAGATTGCCCACGACCTCATCAACTTCGACCTGGAGCACGCCAACGAGATTGCTGCCGGGAATCCGGAGAGCCTGGCTCAGAATTTCCGCACCAACACGCGCTTCATCTCCGGCGTCGGTATAGAGTACGGCGACAATGCCCTGAACATTCCCCTTTCTGGACCTGCTGCTGGGGAACTCCTGCCGGGTCGTAACCTGGTCCCAGCCAAGGCCACGCGCTATATTGACGCCAACCCTGTCGACCTGCAGCTCGATATCCCTATGCTCGGCCAGTTTCGAATCTACTGCTTTGTCCCCGATGTCAACGATTCGGCCTCTGCGGAGTTCCTCTGCCAGCTCAATGCCGGCATCACGGCTTCTGATTCCTTCATGGCACGGGTGTCAATCGCCGCCGCCCAATCTTACAAAGAGAGGCCACGTGCGAAGCGTGAGGATGATGTGTATCTCCGCCCGGAGAGGTATACGAGTGTTAGCGAGCTCTTTTCGTATTCTCTCATCAGTAGGTTTTCCCGCTCATCCGAACAGTAAGCTTTTCATCTTCGTGCTGACGACTTTCCATCATCGTCAGCCTCCTCGGACAAGAAGACGTTTGAGATCTCCGACCTGCCCTCTCTATTCGCAGGGAACAGGTGGACTGTGTACTTGGATGACTGCGCCCATCTCGATACACAGAAGCGCTCTTGCACTGACAAGTGGGTTGGAGGCCTCACCTCTGATGAAGTTGCCCTTGTCAGTGTGCGCCCTGATGGGTACGTCGGTTCGATGAAGACATGCAAGGTGACCGATGGGAAGGAGGCAGCTTCGTGGCTCAACGACTACTACTCTGCATTCCTCCAAATTCCGGGGACGGCATAGACATGGAGCTGGGCCGACGGTGGGAGTGTGTATAGAACGGGAAGCATCCCAGGTAGACAGCTTGTCTGTATACAATGCCGACCATGCATGTGAAGACCAATATATCTCTGACGCAACATGACCTTTCAAGTCTGGTCAAATCGCATATAGCCCATAGTCTTATTACGCTTGCTAGAGCATACGAGGGAAGCCTAGTGTATGTGAGTACCGTCGACAAATACACTGTCCCTTGTTATTTGCCGGCGTCCAGAACAATGAATACCCTTCATGAAGTTTATAGGTGTACAAAGATCACAGTCTGGAGTCTGGCATTACTGACGCAATAGATGATAGAACGTTATCGGTGAATGCACACTTGCTATCCACCCTCTCTTACGACCGGGATGCACATCCATCTCTTCGGCAACGCGGCAACCTAGGCTTGTCGAGATAGATATCACCCTGGAGGGTTGTTCTCTTTATCAGCATATCCTGCGGTATACCTTGCCTGCTACATGCTGCATGCGGTACATGCTCTGGTGCGGTAAGCTACGGCCAGACCCGGGGTACAGTGGGGGTGGGAGAGGCCCGCGGTCATCACTATCTGGAATCTTCGTATAGGTTGATAAGTCGCAAGCCGTTGTAGATGCCAGCCGATCCGCACCCAGAACACCGTAACTATGATTAGCTCGTCGCTGGTATCGAATCGGTCGAGACAAGGGCGCACCCCGGTATTATGCAGTGTAATGGACACTGATAGCTCGTATCATTGAAGCAATGTACACGTCCTTTATATGAGCAGATCTCTCGGCACTCTTGTCGATATTCCTGGCCGCCCAGACATGAGAAGGAGAAGACCGGCAATTTGACCCTACCCTCAATCCTCGGGTTGCACCCCTAATTCCTATAATCCCCTACCGCCAGCGGGGAATAGCCGTCTCCTCTCCTCCTCCCACTATCACCTATTGTCGTACTCTGTTCTCGTATATCTACACACACAGATAGACGGACGATGGCATCGATGCATGACGAAGAGTCTTCCTCCGTGGAGCCGGACCAGGGGAAGATGGTCAAGGCCGTCATCTCCTCTCCCACCGGTTCCATCGGCACTGGAGCAGTCGAGCCGTTTGACATCGATGATGCGGCTGCCCGAGATTTTTTTGGAAGCTCAATTTCCGACTCATACCGTCTCAAGTCGGAGTTGATTTCCTACCACCTGGCTGAGATTGGCTTCGGGAGGTACGTATACTTATGCTTGTTTCGATCTTCCGGAATCAGAGAAGACATGGTTTCTCACAAGATTTTTTGGGACAATAGATTCCAGTGGCACCTGTTCATCGTCAATGGCTTCGGCTGGATGTGTGACAACTTCTGGAGCCAGGGTGTCACGGCTATCCGACCGCCCATTGCCAACGAGTTCACCGATATTGTTCACCTCAGCTTCAGCTCCGTCGCCTACTATGTAGGCCTCATCGTCGGAGCCTGGTTCTGGGGGACGGCCGCCGATGTCATCGGACGCAAGCCCGCTTTCAACCTGACCATTCTGCTGGGCGGCATATTCGGAGCTGCCGTCGCCGGTTCCCGGGACTTTCTCACCTTTTGCGCCCTGTGGGCCGTCATCGGCACCGCTGCCGGGGGAAACGTCCCCGTGGACAGCATCGTCTTTCTCGAGTTCGTCCCCCAGACTCACCAGTGGCTCCTGGTCACGCTGTCTGGCTGGTGGAATCTCGGCCAGCTCGTCGTCTCCCTCCTCGCCTGGGTCTTTCTGGCCAACTACTCCTGTTCTGATAGCGATGCTCCTTGCCCCATCGAGGACAACATGGGCTGGTGAGTTCAGATAGTCCGTGACCTTTCCCCTTTCATTCATCTCCCGATGCTAACCGTCTTGCACGGACTAGGCGCTACGTCATGATCACGCTTGGAGCAATTGCCTTGTTCCTGGCCATGATCAGAGTGCTGGTCTTCAAGATCCCCGAGTCCCCGCGCTTCCTCATCGCCAAGGGACGCGATGCAGAGGCCGTCGAGTCGGTCAACCACATTGCCCGCTACAACGGTAAGCCCGAGACGCTTACCGTCGAGATGCTCCGAGCCATCGACGAACGGCTCGGGACCGCGCCCGCTGCGTCCGCCGGTACCAAGTCGGAGGGCGCTGCCTCCAAGCTATCCGCCATGGACAGGATCAAGGAGAGCTTCCGGGACTACAGCACCCACAACTTCCGCAAGCTGTTTGCCGGCCGCAAGATGGCGCAGCACACGTCCATCACGTTTCTCATCTGGCTGACCATTGGAGTTGCCTACCCCCTGTACTTTGCCTTCATCACGTCGTACCTCGAGAACAACACCAGCTACTCAGCCGACACGGGGTTCAACCATACATACAAGGTGTACTGCATCGTATCCGCAGTCGGTATCGTCGGCCCCATCCTGGCCGGATTTCTCGTCGAGACACGTTTCGGCCGTCGCTGGATGATGGCAATCTCTGCGGTCCTGACTGGCGTCTTTCTCTTTGCCTACACATCTGTCGATACTGAGGCCGGGAACATTGGCTTCCAAGCTGCCACGGCCATTCTAGGGAATTTCGGTAAGTCTAGGTCTGTCCGTTGATTTTTCGTCCCCCCCCCTGTCCACGCAAGACTAACTGGATCGTTTCCCCATCCTCAGAGTACGCTGTTATGTTTGCGTTCACCCCAGAGTCCTTCCCAGGAATAGTTCGCGGAACAGGGACAGGCATTGCAGCTACACTTCTTCGCCTCGGAGGACTTGCAGCGTCATTCATCTCCACATACGCCGGCTACACAGTGGTTCCTATTTATGCCAGTGCTGCGCTCTGGATTTTAGTAGGATTCTTTTGTCTGGGATTGCCATACGAGACTCACGGACACGCTTCTATCTGATCGTGTTTATCGGCCATCTCGATACACGGCAAGGCAAAAAATACATGTACTACGATTCTCTGAAGGATATTTTCATGTTTATGTACTCATATCTATTTTCAATTGTTCAAACCAGGCTGGTCTGATGAGAGGAGGGAGACATTCATTCAGAGAAAGATAATTAAGACTGAAAAACAAGACCAGCTTGGCAGCGCACCGCTTATAGTGATAGTGCAGCTTTCGTCGGCTACACCAACAGGCAGACTCGTGCAACTGTCCTCGAAGGAAAACTACTATAGACAGCTGTGCTTGAGACGACTCTGAAGACTATCCTGTAGATCTGCTACATATTCAATCGTAGGCGAGCATCTCTTGAAGAAAACAAGCTCGGCGTCATTTCTGTACAACCAAATGCAATATTAGACGAGACTACTACATGCTCTCTTCTTTACTGGCCGGCCAGTTCATACATCTTGAGATAGGACGTGTCGGAGAATGAAAGCGACCTAGCTAGGAAGACGTCCACAGCCACCTACATCTCCACAGGTAATTGGGCCATTGGATCACGAATTGGTATTCAATTAAATGACATGATGATCAATTGCAAAGCGCAATCTTGATTGCATCCCTAATCGAGTAGACTTCAGGGATTGACTTGACACGTAATACTGTGTAGTAGTTACCAGGTACACGCGACCGTTGCGACGTTGCTTCTCTGGGATAGTGGCAGACTCCGCCCCCACTCTTGATGTTCCATCCATTTCCGCGAGCTCTGATCTGCAAGCCGATCTGGATAAGGAGATGGGGGGGGGGGGGAGTGACCAGGACGATAGAGTACATCAACATGAGTGGGGTGCTTCATAATACTCCACGACGGCGCTTGGACTGTTTTCAGCTCTTGGCTTGGGAGGCTACGGGGATCAGGCAGGACATTTCTCCCAACCCCTGAATCCTTGGGGGAGAATTGACGGCGCTGAGTGGTCGACGTTTTCAAAAGAGGAAATGATGGCGGCAAGCCGTGTAAGTCAAACAGCCGTGGCATCGGTGGCAAAGGTGGATATGGACAGTTCACCCACCCGCGACCCTTGTTCCACTCTTGGAGGAGGATCTGGCTCCAGAGTTTTCATGTTGTTGCCTCCTTCTGAGGAACACACGTGTCTGCCGTGTTGTTCAACGAGGGGAGATGATCCTTTTCAAATAGTGGCCGTAAGGAGTCCCCTTCGAGGCGACCAGAATAGCATCCTCTTCTCTCTCCCATCATCACACAGATCCTTTCCATCATATCACCCAGCATGCCTGTTGCAACGACCCCTCCCCCGGCCTTTGCGGCGCTTGAGTCGACCCCTCTCTTTGCTCCCTTTAAGCTCGGCAGCCTGGCCCTCAAGCACCGCATCGTCCAGGCCCCCAACACGCGCATGAGGTGTGATGTCGACTCCCAGGGCGTCAACATTCCCGGCCCCCGCGTAGTCAAGTACTACAGTGACCGCGCTTCCGACGGTGGCCTTCAGATCACCGAGGCCACCGACATCTGCCGCAATGCCAGCGGCTACCCTCGCGTCCCCGGTGTCTTCACCGACTCTCAGCTCCAGGGTTGGCGCAAGGTAACGGACGCCGTCCACGCCAAGGGTGGCTTCATATACGTTCAGCTGTGGTACACCGGACGCGCCTCGTCTAGCGGCCTGCGTGGTGGCGAGACCCCTGTGTCTTCCAGCGACGTTCCCATGAATGGCAACTACCTCGACGGAACGGCTTGCAAGGACGGCCCCCCGCGCCCTCTGACGGTCGATGAGATCAACGACCTTACTCGCGAGTGGGGTGCCGCGTCCAAGAGGGCCGTCGAGGTTGCTGGCTTTGACGGCGTTGAGATTCACGGTAAGCTCAATTCCCAATACCCTCCCTTCGTCCTTCTTCCCCACTAACGCGCATGTCCAGGTGCCAACGGCTACCTTCTGGAGCAGTTCCTCCACGACAACATCAACAAGCGCACGGATGAGTTTGGAGGCTCTATCGAGAATAGAGCGCGCTTTGTCCTGAACGTCATCAAGTCCGTAAGCGATGCGATCGGCCCCGACCGCGTCGGCATCCGCCTCTCCCCCTACAACTACTTCCAGGACACCCGTGACAGTGATCCCAACACGCACTGGGCCTACCTCTGCAACCAGATCGCTCTCCTGGATGCCTCCCATAGGCCCGCCTATGTTCACATGTATGCCTACCTTCTGTCCTTTTCTTTACCCTCTCCCAGATATCATGCCAGATTGGCTGATACTTGAAAACTAGGATCGAGCCCCGATTCGACGAGGTTCTCGATGAGGAACAGAAGCTCGCATCGCTCGACAATGGGAAGAAGATTACCAACTCCCTCAACACCTTCCGTGACATCCTGCGTCCTTCTGGCGTTAGCTTCATAGCTTGTGGAAACTTTGACCGTGACAACGCCGTTCCTAAGCTCAAGGCTGAGGAGGCAGACCTTATCGCCTTTGGCCGCCAATTCATCTCCAACCCCGACTACGTTGAGCGTCTCAGGAATGGCTGGCCCCTCAATGCTTATGACCGCTCGACATTCTACGGTGCCGACCCGCTGGATAAGGGCTACAACGATTACCCTTTTTATGACAAGGAAGCTGCCAGCAGCACTGAATAGATGAATCGACATAAGGACTCATAGACTTGCTTGATGGGCTAGGGTCTGTGCACGTACATACAACACTCACCGTTTGGTGGATGAATAGATGAATATTTGCATGAAATGGGATTGACAAGCACGGCATATTTCAAAGCTCACGTGAAGTAGCTGATTCTTTCCTGACCGCACTCGCTCCTCATTCAAAGGTTTCACAGTACGGAACTTGAACCAAGCGACTCCCAGGTCGACGCCGCAGACGAGGGAGGGCATGTTGATGGAAGTCTCTGTCGATTGATCCATGATATATCCCTACGGCCTCGTCACGAAATATCGATACAATATGCTGACGTTTTTCAGCTGGGGGCGTTTCCAATGCAATGATGTCGGCATGTGTGCGTGTAATTTACATGCATCGTCATCCATACTACAAGTAGGTCACAGAGTCCAAGTGCATCAGTCAATCATAAGATGGGCAACAGATTAGACGGCTCTTATATACAGGTCAGTGTCACTCATCAACCTAGAGACTAGCTCGCTCAGTGATGACATTCTGGCCATCCTTCTGCTTGCTAGCCACAGAGGTCCATTTTGCTGCCACATCTTCCCACATGTCGTATGTCAAAAGCCACCTTCCGACACCGTTGTACCTCCAGGGGAACGGATCGTCGCCTGTCTCGGGGGACTTGGGGAGCGTCGCATTCTCCTGCGAAAGCCAAACTCTATCAGACTCGTTGTACTTCTTGAACCGCTCATCACGCTCCACCTGCTCCGGGCCATCGTGGAGATGGTAAATCCACTGGTTGTACGTGCCACGCTGCACCACCTTTTCCGTGCGCTCCCTGCGGCTAGCCTCATACACCTCGAGCGCCAGCTTCTTGCTGGGCACAGAGCCCTTGTTCACCTTGGCAAGGCATATGCCGAGAACGCCTGCGTCCTCGAGGGCCATGCCGGCCCCGCTGGCAAGGTATGGGAGGGTGGCGTGGACGGCATCCCCGAGCATGGTCAATGACCCGGACGGGTGGGACCACGTCGGATCGAGGCCGGGGCGGATGCACAACCGCCATTTCAGGACCGAGTCGCACATCTGCATCATCTTGCCCAGACGGGGATCCCAGTCGGCAAAGTGGTTTCGCATCTCTTCGATGTCGCCAGCGAGCGTGTTGCCCCCATCGGCGGGCATGTCGTCCGGCACGAGAAGCACCATGTTGAACAGCTCGCCACCCTTGAGAACGTAGTTGACGGCGTGCTTGTCCGGGCCGACCCAGTAGTTGACCTGGGGATCTTCGATGAAGGGCCGAAGATCCGGGTCCTTGAGCATCTCCGATGCAGGGAGGAGGAGCCTGTAGGCCAAGTCCCCTGTCAACTGCGGGGGGTCGGGCTTCTCGAGGAGTCTCTCCCGCAGCGTCGAGTTGATACCGTCTGCGCCGACGACGAGGTCCGAGTCGATCCTGGAGCCGTCAGCCATGATCAGGGAACATAGCAAGCCGTCGGCTGATACTGAATAGTCATTGACCCTGGCACCCGTGACAATCTTGGCACCGAGCTCCTTGGCACGGTCGAGGAGAACCTTGTGCAGGTTTGCCCTGTGGAAATCCCAGAACGGATATCCGCCGGCCGCGGCGGAGTAGTCGTGGTAGTCCATCTCGCCGAGCAAATTTCCCTTCCAGCCTAGGAAGTTGCACTTGCGAGGCTTTGTCGCCAACTTTTCCAGCGCTTTCTCGACGCCCCATGACTGGAGAACCCGGGCGGCATTGGGGAGGACTTGGATTCCTGCGCCGACCTCGCCGATAGCCGAGGCTGCTTCGAGCACCGTCACATTGTGGCCGGCGAGTAGGATGGCAATGGCTGCTCCAAGTCCTCCTAGCCCAGCTCCGACAATATGGACCTAATATTGTGTCAATATGTGTTCAATTCCCCTTCTTTTTTCTCGCAGACACGGGTTAGAGAAAGTTGACAATGCCGCGTCGCTTACATTCAGTCTGTCCGCAGCAGCGCGGTATATCTTTTCCTGGGGTTGAATGCTTATCATCTTGGCGATGGAATCTGGTTGCTAGTATACATAGATCCAAAGCGACCCTTTTGTTTCCCGGCGCATGTATTACCCTTATGGTCGTCAATCATACGGCATACATGCTCTTGTTTACGGACCCCATTCGTAATCGCAACACAATCTGCCAACTTGTGACACTGACATGGTCATACAACCAACTATGGATTCTGATCCAGCTTTGCTACGATAACGATGGTGGGGTTTCGGTGATACATTGCAGTGTGCCAAGTCTCAGCTGCAATACGGTACGACCGCTTTCTCCTCGAGATAAGGAGTGGGGAGGCACACCTCACCCCCTTCTCCCCCCACTCCTGTTCACGCGCTTGATACCGGCGATGGTTCCCTCGATTGCCCGGCCGAGAATAGTGGCAACCAGAAACAAGGCCGGCAGCTTCTCCGGTCGCGCACATTGTCCCATTCACGACTGCGAGGGGGGCTCCAGGTTTCTCTGAAGGCCGCCTATGCGATCTTATCCATCCCATCCGATCCCATCCCACCCCTGCTGCCACAGAAGGCCCATACCGCCAGTAACTTACACCTGTCGACTATTTTCTTTCTGCCAGCCTTGGGAACCGTGCAAAAGTGGATGCCAAGGAGATCACCATGGAGGTCCCTCAATCGTCGTCTTCTGGAGGCTCTGATAGAGCATCGCAGGATGGATCGACTGCATCGACTGCCCATCACTGCCCTCATCCAGGCTGTGGAAAGAAATTCACCCGTGCCGAGCATCTCCAGCGTCATGCCCTCAACCATACGCCAGGGGGGTTAGCATGCTCCGTCTGTAGCGCCAGCTTCAAGCGTCCTGACCTCTTGAGTAAGTCGGCGAAAGGCGTGTTGGTGACTGTCATCTGGTGTTCTTCATTCTCGTTTCTCTCTTTTCTCCTTCAAATCTACCATTTTGAAGATGCAGTGTACCTGCATACATGATTACATGCTCGTGTTACTGACATTTACTCTGATCATGCTTGTAGAGAGGCATATGGACCGCCATCGGCAAAAGGATCTCGAGGCTGGAGGTCTTGGATTTGGCGTTCTCGACACAAGAAAAAGAGCCTGGAAAGCCCCTGACGGGTCCATCGTCGACAAGCGCCCGTGTCGGAACTCTGAGGGAAACAATCGCTCTTCATCTACCGGGCGCCCCCAACGGAGGTATCAAGAGCCTTCACCAGACGCAGAATCTTCACAGGACGCTTCATCGCCGTCCCCATCTCTTTCTCAACAGGCGGTACATACGGGGCTGGAACATACCCAGCCGCAGCCCCCTGTGCTCTCTCGTAACCAGCCGCAGCAGAAGCTTGCGGCGGCTGAAAATCTCGACGCGAGTCTTGGCTTGCCTGTCTCGGCGGGCGGCTCGTATAATCCGTATATCGGCTTCACAGACACCTCTCAGCAAGGAGATACCGTCCTTGGTCCCTTTGTCGACTCCTGGTTCGATCAGTGCCAACCGACTCTGGCGGACCTCAACATCTACGGCGACTACGAGCAGATATTCCAGCCAGACACTGCCAGCTCGTTTAACATGCCTTATACGACTGCCGTGGATTACAACTGGCTATTCAACGCAAACGCTCTACCCAGACAGTTCAATCAAGATATCCACGTCACCAGCGCCGAGGAGCAGACAATTGGCATTCAGGAACCGCAGCAACGGCCACAGCATCCCATATATGCCCTCTCCCCCGAATCGATGGGCAGAACTGGGCCGTGTTCCGATATGAGTAGTGATCGCCGCCACAGTACAGTGGAGGCCGAGATGCGCCCTGACAGCATTTCTCAAGTTACTCCCGGCGCCCAAGAACCGCAGAAGAGCACTCAGATCCCAGTCTCAAGCCCATCTCCACAAGTTGGAGCACGCCGCCCGGGTGCGCGTTGGCCACTCAAATACCAACCACTACCGGTCGAAATGGAGCGGCCCCTTTCCACCATACAGGATAACATCCCGCTACCCCGTCTCAACGACAGTATCAGAGGTTCTCTCCTGTCTATCATAGAGGTCGCGAATCCTCACCTTCCCGACCCGAGGGTCCCTCTGAGGGAGGACCCCAATCTTACAACCGAATCTCTCCAAACATGGCTGGACCTCTACTTCACACGCTTCAACACAATGTATCCGCTCATTCACCTCGCCACTTTCAACCCTGAGACTGCTGAGCCGCTTCTCCTCTTATCTCTCCTCCTTCTGGGGGCAACATACTCCCACAAGGATGCACATCAACTTGCTGTCTGTATCCATGATGTTATCCGCTCAAGGATATTCTCCCACGCCGGTTTCAGTCCTCAGCCCCCGCTGTGGACGCTCCAGACCATACTCCTTGTAGAGTGTTTCGGGAAGTCCAGAGCCGGGCAGAAGCAGCACGACATGAGCCACCTCTTTCACGGACTCTTGATCAACCTCATTCGGAGGTCCGACTGTCAATCCATTAAACCTCCACCCCCACCGTCGCACCCAGTGGATAATGCGACGCTTCAGACCGCATGGGAACATTGGGCCATAGCAGAGCAGAAAAAAAGGTAGAGACCGCTCTTCAACTCCCCATATCACTTCATCCATTCAGCTGACAATCATAAAGGCTCGCCCTTCTCTGCTTCATGTGGGACACCCAACACGCCGTCCTCTTCTGCCAAAGCCTGTGCATGTCTGCGTTTGAGCTGCGGCTCGACATGCCCTCAGCTCAGACGGTGTGGGAGGCACCGAACCCAGCGGCATGGGCCTCGGCATGGAGAGCGGTCATGGCAAAGAGCCAAAATGTCTCCTTCTTGGCAGCTCTCAAGTCATACCTGGCTCCCTCGGTCCCACGCCCGGTGGCGCTCACTTCCCTATCGAGGGTGCTCATCCTACACGGTATAATGGCTACATACTGGGATATGAACCGGCGTGACCAGACATCGCTTGGAGTTGTCGAAGGCCGAAACGGGGGCTCTTCTTGGAGAAGATTGATCTCGTCGGCATACGATCTCTGGAAGGCGGACTTCGACGCTTACTGCGCTGCCACTCTAGCCCGTTATCAGAGCGGGCACTCCATGACGCCACACAACGACAGCTACCAAGCCGAGATCAATTCTTTTGGCGCAGCTTACAGGGCCCTCTATCACTCGGCTCAGATCATACTCAACATGGACTTTCTCGATGTCCAGATCTACGCCGGTGCTCGGAATATCCTCGGCCGCCCCGTACAGCAGAGGGATTACATCCACTCGGCCAATGTTGTGAAAAGATGGGCGACATCGGAGGATCGAGCTCGAAGAGAGGGCTCGCATGCCAACAGCCCCGCCTCGGATGTTCAGGATGCGTCTGCCCCGACTGGCAGGGCCGAGCAGAGTCCGAGCCTTGCGGCATTCCATGCTGCGCGCATGCTGCACAACGACCTGTCCAGCCTGACAGAGTCGGACGCCATGGCCATGTTCCACGTCCCGTGGTGCCTGTACATCGTTACCCTGACGTGTTGGGCATATAACCATGTGCGCCCGACGCGTCCACAGAAGCTGTCGCCGGGTGAAGGTGCTGATTCTGACGATTCCGACGAGATCATATGGGATCCCAGGGGCGGGATGCAGAGTCTAGTGGCAGAGATGGCGGGGCAGCCTGAGCAGAGGGGGTTCAAGGATAAGAAGAGGACCAGTGGTCTCGTGTGGACCATGGCGGAGATCTTGACAAAGGTCAGATGGGGGATCGTCCATGCCGGCGTGGTTGTACTGAAGGGACTGGTTCCTCAACGCCTGATTAATCAGTATGAAGAGCCGTCGGATTGGTGATGGAAAGGGCACACGTCCGTCTCGGAAAGATCGAATGGATGAATGACTATTTCTGATTTCACGGTGCAGTCTCTTTTCAAGCTGATTATACCTGTTTGTACAAACACCTGCAGACGCCGCATAATGGCCATTCTAGTCAGAATCTAAGCCTTGGGCCTCTAGGCAAACATCACTTACTCAGGTATATCTACGGCCTTACCCTCCCTGAGATAGATAGAAGGAATCAAGATCAATACAATAGCCGCGGCCCTTCCTTGGAAAGGGGGCTAGAGCACCTATATTATCTCTATCAACGCGCGTTTCGATGCTGCATCTGCCAGTCTACGCTTATGCGGGATGAATTGGATGTGTTTACGCGCGCGATGCAGCAGTATGCTTACCAGGCGAGCTCAGCTCGGGCAGTGCAAGCCTCGGCCTGGAGCTGTGAGCAGAACTGCTCCTCCTCAGACAGTTTTTCAGTGTCCATCTCGCCCTGGATACGGGGGGTGGCAGGCCAAATGAGCACACCGCCCTGCTCGAGTTCCCTCTCGCGATGCCTCATGACTTCTGTCCGCACGGTATCTTGAAAGTAAATGGGGCCCTGTAACGGGTCAGTATGTACATTTGATAATGCAGAGGGAGGAGAGAATAGATGAAAGGGGGGAGTAGGATTGGGTGCCAAGCCAGTCTACCTTTTCCTTGTCAGGGTGCAGTTCCCCGTTGGTGAAGACTCCAGCTTCGAGGTTGATCTGTGATCCATCGCACAGCTCCTTGTCCTCCTCCAGGACCTGCTTGTAGAAGGCGTTGACAGCGGCAAACTCCTCGTCGGTGGCGCTGAAGTGGCGGTATACTTCGTTCTCGACCCTGGTCTTGTTCTCGGAAAGCGGGATCATGCGCTGAATGTAAAAGAATTTCTGACTGTATGAAGTTAGTCCCATCCATATTATTCTCATCAGCGAGGAGGGCCTCTTTCCTCTACACTCTTTCTTCCTTGAACGGATGGAGACCAGAAGATGGAACCTACGTGACCGTGACAGAGGTAGAAGGGAAGAAAAAGGTGATGCACCGACGCATGTCGTCCCTCTCGGTCTCGGCACTCTTGTTAACAATGGTGTGCTCGAGACAGCTCCCATTGGGCTCAACACGATACTTGGGAATATCAGACACCCCGGCGATGAGAGGGTGCGAGGTAGGACAGTGGTAGCACTCGTTGTAGTTCTCCATGACAGACTTCCAGTTGGCATCGATCTCCATGTCCCAGACGTGGCTGTAGGAGAAGGCCTTGTCGTAGTCGAACTGGGTCATGCGGGGCTGCTCGTCGACCTTGGAGAACTCGACCTCCCACGACGTCTCGGGCTTGCCGTCGGGCCCGGAAACGTCGAGGTTGATCCAGATGAAGCCGACCTTGTCGACGTGGACGTGGATGGGGAGCAGGCCGTGCTGGGACTTGTCGAAGCCCTTCACCGTGTCGAAGCGCGGTGCCTTGGCCAGGTTTCCCTTGTGCCCGTAGGACCAGCCGTGGTACTTGCAGCTCAGAACGGTGGCCTTCCCGCTAGGCTTATGAACGATGGGGTAGGCGCGGTGGCGGCAGGCGTTGTGGAAGGCGTTGACGTTGCCGTCGCGGTCCATGACCAGGAAGATGGGGAAGCCCGCGTAGTTGAGCGACAGGTACTGCCCGGCCTCGGAGAAGCGCAGCTTGTGCGTCACCAGAATCCATTTCCGCGAGAAGATGGCCCGGCGCTCGAGCTGGTACAGCTCAGGGGATCGATACCAGCTGGCCGGGAGGCCACGGACGGGTGCCGGCTTGCCGTCCTCCGGGGTCTTGGACCATCCCGTCAAGCCAAGGAAGCTAAACATGATGGGTGTGTACAGTATTGATTTATATAGACTGGTGTGTGAATTCAATCTTGATTGAATCGATCAGTTGTGTGATGGTGTTGTTCAATCGGTTCGTTCCCCTGTACTCTGTCCTCTGTCCTCTTCCGTCAATCTCACACTCACTGCGACGACACTCTTTTTGATCCTTCAAGTTTCTTTGCATCTTTTTTTAAAAAAAAAGGGGGGGGGAAAGATGATTGGATCAATACAACTCAGGAGGGTGGCTTTCTCCTTTTCTTTCTCCTCTCCATTCTTTTCTTTCTCTTCATTTCGATTACCGAAATCCCTGCCTTTCCAAAGTCTAGCCGTGATGCTACCCAGGTGACCCCTCCCCCACTGATGCTGATAACGATACCCGGGCAGTGAAATAAAGCATATTGGTTGAGTTTTGCATCGGGCTTGTCATCTTTTTGCCGGTCTTGATGTAGCGAAGTCGAGAATGGGGGAGGATCGCGATGGCCGATAAGAAGGAGTGGGGGTTGATGGCGAGAAATATCGACTGCAATATACGAGTGCCTATACGTATGTGATACTAGTAAGTAATATTAGAAGGAGACATGTAACACCACAACTTTCCAATGTGGCTATTGCCTCTCCATGACACTGTTGCCTTTTGATGTCTGCGTCAATATCCCGTAACGCTACATATATCGACAGACACGTGAAGTATAAGTGCGTGAGGACGGCAAGCCAAGGGGCAGAGACTCGTACGAGTTCCCAAGAAGAGGGGAGATGCAGACTCGGAAATACAGCATCGCCCATATACGACTAGTCACTAAACTTGTACGTATCAGCTCGGTTCCATCGCAGGGTAGCTGAACAATGAAGACTACCGATGTTCTAGATTGGGTTCTACATGCACCATGAGGAGCCTCACGCAGCAAGCATGAGATCGTGGCGGTGGCGGCGACGGAGCCACTACGGAGAGATGCTCACAGGCACACACACGCAGAGATGAAGGATGAATCAGTCATCAATCGTCAAGATGAGGAAAGGGAGATTGCGAAATCTCACGGTATCGCCGAGAGGGGGAGACAATAGACAACAGATCACGAGAGCGTATATGGTATTATCACTCAATTCACACAACTACAACTGAGCTCCATTGGAGCCGGGTCTCCGGAATATCCATCTATGGCTAGTAGCTACAAGCAAGAATCAATGGAGGAATTACAAGAGGAGTCCTCTGAAGGGCAGAGGGAAGGCGAAGCGCGAAAGTGGAGAAATGAAGAATGTATATACTCGTATGCATGCCCGACGACGACGACGACGACAACGACGAGTTGACAACGGCGGCGTCGACTCACACTACTGGCACTAGTTAGGATCGTCAGTGAGGGGGGACGAGACAGAAGACGGAGAAGAAGCAAAGGAAACAATACGGTGGGCCGCACCACCTTCCTTGGCGCCCTATGCGCATACCTGTCAGGGCTGGCTGGTTCTCCTCTTTTTTTCGTACGGCCAGGATCCGAGGTCGTACGAGTATCATTAGTGCTGCTGCAAGTACCAAAAGGAGCCAACCGTACGAGCGCAAGGAGCCTCCTCCTCTCGCAGAATCTCCTGGCTAGTGACGGTCACAATATCCCGAGTCCCCGACAAGTTGAGGCGAAAGGGAAAAGTGCAAGTACACATACGAGCTACCGCAGTCTACTATGAATACTTAGCATCGATAGTACATAACATATGATGATATTACGATTTACAAGCAACAGGTGGAGCCAAGGAGCCGAATAGGGGAACTACGGTGGTGGGACAGATGCATCATACGTTTATCTGCAGCCACACCATTTACGAGGACTCGCCCAGCTCTATGGATTTCGCTGGGTTTACTAGTATCATGAGCATTACAAGCAATGATGATGATTGGGTGATACTATTACCACATATAGCAATAGCAGCATGGCATAGCTCACGGGGTCGTAGCCATGCACTGATGGTGTCGTGGTCCGTGGAACTACTTATCTGGGCTGGTGCGATGGGAACTAAAGAAGGAACGTTAGGAAACTGGGGTAATAGCAGCGACGGAAGAGTCCAAGTCATGACTTACCCTTGGAGAGAAGAGGAAGAGAAGAAGAGGAAGAAGAGCTGCTAGGCGCTTGTTACATTCCATTCATCCGCAAGTCCCGCTTCCGCTATTGCGGGAGCCGCAGTTGTGCTTCTGGAGCCGCAATTGTACAGGAAACTAGGGACGCAAACTTTTGTCCGGTGCCCCCCCCCCCCCCCCCCCCGCTCATCTCCCCTTGCAAACTTGCAAGACAAGTCAACCAGTCAACCCACGCACACAGTCACGAGTCTGCGGAAATTTGGAAGACTTGCAGTTGCTTTCCCACTTGACTGAAGAAGTTGAGGCTATCAACTACCTTTCTTGTCATTAGGTTCATCGTTTCAGTTTAGTTTAATGAAACCTACCCCATCTTCTAGCCTCTCAACCCCGCGCGGGCTTCCCCAGCCGTCATCGTCATAGTGCCTCCCCGTGCCTCCCTTTGCCCCAGATCTCCACGTATCTCCGAGGCTCTAGATACCCTTGTCTACACCCTCTCTTGAGCCCTTTGAGCCCACCACGAGTAGTAGTAGGGAAAAAGTGGATGAGATGGAGGTAGAGATTCTTGCTTTCCTACTGACTAGCATGCTTCCCCCCAACCAACCTAACAACTGCAATGCTTTGCACTACCATCTCCACAACGGGGCCGTGGTCCGTGAAGCTGAAGCTCCATACGTCTCGTGATTTCTTCGTCTCGGTCGTATGGCTGGGACCCTCTCCTCACCTCATCGCAGGAAAAAAAGCCCACGTTTTTGCCCACCATGTCGCCTCATCAGCGCTCCGACCAAGGAATAGAGCATGTCCAGACTCCTAGTAATCCGTACACTGCCTTCCTGGTCTTCCTTGCCGCCGTGGCCGCGCTTCTCGCCCCTCCCTCCTCCCTCCTAACTCCTCCTCCCTCCCCCTGCCCCTCCGAAGAGGAGAGGAGTCAGAACACACCTACGTATTCTTCCATCGTAATGTAGCCCCGTAGCTCAACAACCGTACCATCCATCCCTTCCAATTGCTTCCCGTATTCCCGTCCCCCCGCAAAAGAATAACGCCGTTTCTTTACTCCGAGCTCGAGGTCCGAAGCTTGAGAGGAGAGTAGCGATAGTAGCAGTCGTTGCCCTTTCCACCCATGTATAAAAGGTCCTGTGCCCCTCCTTCAATTCGAATTCTCTGACCCCTCATCATACAAGCCCAACGTCATACATCACGCCACTTATACATTCACACACACACACACACACACTTGTTGCCACCAAGACAAAACAACCCGACACAGACACAAGAACACATCATGTCTGCTACTATTCCCCAGGAACAGTGGGCGCAGGTTGTTGAGAAGACGGGCGGTCGTAAGTTTTTCTTCTTCCTCTTCTGCTTTGCCCCTCTCCTTTCTTCTCTGTTCCCCCTCCACCTCTCAATTAGGTACATCAGCTGACATTGGCACGACACAGCCGTCGTTTACAAGAAGATTCCCGTCCAGAAGCCCGGTCCCGATGAGATCCTGGTCAATGTCAAGTTCTCTGGCGTGTGCCACACGGACCTTCACGCCATGATGGGTGACTGGCCCCTTGACACCAAGCTACCCCTCGTCGGCGGCCACGAGGGAGCCGGCTACGTGGTTGAGCGTGGCGCCCTGGTGACAGATGACGTGGTCAAGATCGGCCAGAAGGTCGGCATCAAGTGGATCAACGGCACCTGCCTCTCGTGCCCTTACTGCCTTCGCTCGGACGAGCCCCTCTGCCCCAAGGCCGACCTCTCCGGCTACACGGTCGACGGCTCCTTCCAGCAGTACGCCATCGCCAAGGCCGCCCACGTGGCGCGCATCCCCGACGAGTGCGACCTAGAGGCCGTCGCGCCCGTGCTCTGCGCCGGTCTCACCGTGTACAAAGGCCTGAAGGAGTCCGGGGCCCGCCCCGGCCAGACCGTCGCCATCGTCGGCGCCGGCGGTGGTCTCGGCTCGCTGGCCGTCCAGTACGCCACCGCCATGGGCCTCAACATCGTCGCCATCGACGGCGGCTCTGACAAGGGAGACCTGGTCCGCCGGCTCGGCGCCAGCACCTACGTCGACTTCACCAGCACCAAAGACCTGGTCGCCGACGTCAAGGCCGCCAGCTCCGACGGCCTCGGCCCCGACGCCGTCCTCCTCCTCGCCGTCACGGAGAGGCCGTTCCAGCAAGCAACCGAGTACGTCCGCTCGCGCGGCACCGTCGTCTGCATCGGCCTGCCCGCCAACGCCAAGATTTCCGCCCCCGTCTTCGACACCGTCGTCCGCATGATCAACATCAAGGGCAGCTACGTCGGCAACCGTGCCGACACCGTCGAGGCCCTCGACTTCTTCCGCCGTGGCCTCATCAAGGTCCCCTCCAAGACGGTCGGCCTCAGCAAGCTCCAGGACGTCTTCGAGCTCATGAAGGAGGGCAAGATTGTCGGTCGCTACGTTGTCGACACCAGCAAATAAGTGGTTTGCTGATAGTTGGCCACCTACTTCCTTCAAAACAGTGGTCTCTGTGTATACTTTTCTCTTCCTTTTTTCTTGTTGTTCCCTTTGTCACGAGCAAAGTGTTAAGCGGTTTTCGGTAAGCGGTTGGGCGGGTTTGTGAGCTGGTGGGCGTTGCACTGGTGGGCGTTGAAAGTATCGGTGGTAGAGAGGCGTTGAGAGAGAGATGATGATTTGATTAAATTTTGAAATGAAAATGAAAATCTTGAGAAAACAAAACCTTTTCGCACTTAAATCACTCAAATCCTCTTCGCAATTGTTGAAAACTATGCAGTATAAATCGGTTTCAAATGTTACGATTTTTGTTTGATAAAGATTCTAGCATCTACGTCGGAAACTCTCGCTGTCTTGACCGTTGCCTTGACCGTTGCCTTGACCGTTGCCTTGACCCCTCCCCAACTCGTTCTAATTCGCACACTACAGTAGTAACAGTAGCACTGCTCATCGTCAAACCCTTTTTGGTTCATTCACATACATATATATATGTACCGTGGAACCAAAACTGCATCAAAAGCTATGCCTAATGTCATCGCCATTGTACATCTAAGAACCACCGGGTCCACCCAGAAGAGCAAACCTCCGCACGATGCTCGGTCCGTACTCTTGGTACTAAGGGCCAAAGACGTATCAGCTTCTGTATACATACGCACGTAGCCTTGCAGAAATAAAGGGGAACGTACCTCTTGCTTTGTGTGGCAGTAAGAGCGGAACTCGGGCGTCTGGCCCAAAAGACTACCGCCAAACCACGGGCCGTGACGCTGCCTCTTGTGGGTTATGACCTGCACGTCAAGACCGCCGCTCCTCGCACCGCCGCTGCGTACCTCGCTGGCGCGGATCCTCGTGTCTACCAGGTGCTTGATGTCTCGTTGTAACCTCCTGCCAAAGTCCTTGTACAGCGTGCTGCCACCCGACAGGACAATGTTCTTGTACAGTCCACGGCGCACATCAATGGGTGACTGCTGGATGACGCCGTCGACAACGGTAGGCAGGGGCGTCAAGAAGTCGGAGCTGTAGATCTCTGGGTTGAAGAAGATCTCTGGGGCAAGGAATCTCTCGTAGCCGACATCGACCGAGACCTGGCGGCCGTTGGGGTGCTTGACCACGTGCTTGGCGAAGCGGCTCCTGTCGCGGTCGTACTTGGCAAATTCCTTGACGATGTCGGGGCACACGTAGCAGTAGTCCTCCTTGATCTCCTGGGCCGTCTTGAGAGATGAGTCGGCCTCACCTCGGTCTCGGAGGAGCGACTGCACAAAGTAGGTAATGTCTCGGCCGGCAATGGGGATTGACTTGATCGAGGATCCGATAACGTAGCCCTCGGCGACGGGGATGACGTGCGTGACACCGTCACCAGAGTCGATGACGGTACCCGTGAGCGATCGGTCGGTGACCTTGGACGAGGTCCACGAAGCTGCCAGAGCCAATACAGCCTGGACGGCAATGTACATACCCGCGCAATTGAACGACTCGAAGAAGATCTCAGCCGTGTTCTCTCGGTTTTCGGGGGGGTTCAGAGGCTTCGCACATGAATCGGTCAGCACGTTCACAGACTCGATGAAGAGCAACGAGTAGCTTACCGGCTCAGTTAGAAGGAAGTAGTGATCCTCGGGCTCGACGCGGAGGTACTTGAATATCGAGTTGGACCAGAACCGTTCCATGTGGTCCTGCAGTCATGTCAGCAACAGCTCCGATCGTGGAAGCACGGCGTCTCGTCAGCACCCACCCAGTCCTCAACTTGACCATGTCGAATAGGATAATTGATCCCGTAGCCTAAGACCGTCAGCGTCCACATTGCCCTCTGACATCATGGTCGGGTTGGCAGGTATTTACCAGGTCCCTGTGCCGCGCTGATGGCCTCGTCACCAATGAAAAAGTCGAGGTCCTCAGTTCCGCGCTTGGCACTAAGGTTACCGGCACCAGTACCGCCGGTGAGGAAGGTCGGCTTGTTAGCCACGGCGGGTCGGCCAGAGCCAGAACCAGCAACAGCGCCGGCTCCGCCCTTGGTGGCGATGGCGGTCGGGAAGACGAAAGAGGGCGAGTCATTTCCGGCAAAACCTGGCAGAGGGGCTCTCGCATCAGTATCATGACAAACGGCAAAAGGGTTCGTGGAGATGGATCCGGTCCATACCGAGCTTGGAGAAGCCGGTGCCACTGCGTGTCACGAAGTCAGCTTTGGTCGGATCCCAGTAGGATGCGGGGAGAGACAAGAGGGGGAAGCTTACTTGTCCATGACAACGGCCGGAGTCTGGTTCGCCATGGCGGGCTAATCTGCCTCTGGCACGGATACAATTGAACGGCCGAAGGAGGGACGCGGAGTGATACTGATGGGGTTTCGCTAAAGGTCGGAGTGAGAGAGAGACACGGGGCGCCGACGAGTGGTCGAGCTGGCAAGAGGCTGGGTCATACGTCGACGTGCCTGGCGAAGCTCCAAAGCGGCGGCGGTGGTGGGGACACTGACGAGGTTGCCCAGTCAGTGCACACGCACCGCTCAGCCACTCGCTGACAGCCCAAAAGACCCCGCTATCCGTGGAGTCTACCGCAAGAGGCCACCGGAACTCTGAGCTGGTTCGGAATAGTTGTTATTCCGCCCACCTTCGTCATCACCGTCACCGCAGCAGGTAGCAGAGAGATCACGTCCTTCATTCTAATCTCGGCATAACAATACTCAAGAATCTTCAATCAGCGAAGCGCATGTGCTGAAGCACGGTGTGGATATATCGCACGTAAAATGTGTTCTGGACAATTTCCCAATTTCTAGATGTGACTGCACAGTGCCCTTTCATCTACTCTTCAATCCAGCTCCCCAGAAATCTCAACTTACCCCAGGCCTCGCTCTGGAAATAAAGCCAGGTGCGATCTATCAAACATCCTTCCGCACCATCAACTACAACAAACAGGCTATTGGTTCCAGACTTCAGTGGAAACTGCAATACAATGACTCCAACAACAAACACCTGACGGTTTGTCATCAAGGCTATCGTAGCTCCCTTGAGCCCTCCTGCTTCAAATCCCACTCGGCCTCCTTTTTCTTTTGCCCTCGAACTCCTCTTCTAACACTCTACTCCTCTCAGCGTTATATCCCCCACCCATCCCTACACCTCAGTCCAACCTTTGCTTCGAAGAAAGACGCAAAAAAACAAAATAGTTATTCTGTATAATTTAGAAAATCCAACCGGTCCTCTGTTTGCATGACAACCAATGGCCATGCTGAGTCCTCCCGCGCTATAATGGCAGACTCCCCGCATGGTACCGATGGTACCATTGGCAAGATTCTGCGTTTCCGGAAACCAAAGTGCACCCCGGCCATCTTCATCCATGCTGGTGCCGGGTTCCACAGTCCTCAGAACGAGCGGATCCATCTTGAAGCCTGTGCCTCGTGAGATCTACCACCATCACCCCAACTTGCCACACCTGGCTAACTTTGGCGTGCAACTTAGGGCGAGTGAAATGGGTATGCGGTTTCTGAAGGCCGGCTCGAGCGCCATCGAATCTGTTGAAGCAGCCTTGAAGGTTCTCGAGGATAAAGAGATTACAAACGCCGGCTACGGATCCAACCTGTCTATTGATGGCATTGTTGAGTGCGACGCCACTGTGGTCGACCACCTCGGACGGAGTGGCGCGTGTGGTGCTGTGCCAGGTATGCATCCTACTACCTCCATCTTCTCTCCACCCATGCCCGATATGAACTGAGATATGAAATCACTGGATTAGGCGTACGCAACCCCATATCTCTGGCCAAGACCATCCTAGACACGAGTAACAAGCCCCTCAGTCTACGTCGTGTCCCACCCAATGCCCTCGTTGGCGAAGGGGCTAAGAAGTTTGCTGAGGAGAATGGCATAGTGACATGCTCCAATGAGCAGCTGGTATCAAAAAATGCTCGAGATCGCTTCATTCGCTGGCAGATGGACTTAAACCGTGTTGAGAGCAACTCAGATCCTCGGATGCTTCCGACAGTGGATCAAGGCCACATAGCACGATCTCGACATTTGCTCGACAATGCGTCGCCCCTCCATGCTTCGGATCTACCTTTTCGCCCCGACCACAGCGCTGCAATACTTGCTGCCACATGGAATGAGGGACAGCCCGGCTCTCCCAATTGCGCTGCCCAAGAGCTATCCGCCCCAGGTGGAAGTATCACTCCTGGTGCATTACCTCAACGCACACACCCGAAGATATGGTCAAGACTTGAGATAAATGAGCCTAGCATCCCCGGGGACAACAGCATTGTGCCGTCCAGCCATAGTCTACAGAGCGGGAGTACACAATTGCCAACCTTGGAACCGATGGCAAACAGGACAACCGGCGAGGCAGATACGGCGCAACATCACCGCGCCACCTCGACGCCAGAATGCATGCGGCACAATAGCCAATGGGATAGGGCCCAAAATGGCCCTCCCTCTTTGGAGAGCCACATTCCAACTTCTCAGGGGATTAAGCGCCCTCACAGCCAAATGGGTGGCGACGAAGAGGAACCTGGCCAGCCTTCCTGGATCATAGCTCCACCTTTTCTGACCCGCGAGGACGGCGAGGACGTCATAACAGACACTATCGGTGCTATTACAGTGGATGAAAATGGCCACATCGCCGCTGGGTCATCTTCGGGTGGGATTGGGATGAAGCACAGAGGTCGCCTAGGCCCCGCTGCCCTTGTTGGCGTGGGCACGGCCGTGATACCATGTGACAAGGACGATGAGGATCAGGTTAGCGTGGCTGTTGTAACGAGCGGTACCGGAGAACACATGGTAACAACAATGGCATCACAGCGATGCGCTGAGAGGATCTACTACGGTACGCGAAAAGGACAAGACGGCGAGGATATTCGTGAGGATGACGAGGATGCCATCATGGAATCCTTTGTCGTCAATGACTTTATGAACCATCCTGGGGTCAAGAATTGCCACTCCGCCGCCGCCATTGGTGCTATGGCTGTCAAGAAGACACCCAGGGGCTACTACCTATACTTTGCTCACAATACCGACTCCTTCGCTCTAGCATCGATGAGCGGTTTCGACAAGCAGCCGGTATGTACCATGTCGCGTTTGCCCCAGGGAGGCAAGATTGCCAAAGGTGGACTCAGGATCAGCGTGGACTGAAGCTGGTCCCTGAATGCACCAGAGGCCAATTCCGTGGAGTCTGAGTGTAGAGCTGGTTTACCTTCCAAAGCTATTGGCTCGTGGATTGAAAGGCGATACAGCGTGCAATCAGTTTGAGCAGACGCTTCATAGTAGACGCTTCCATTATCCTAGAAGAGAACGTTGATAGTCCTATTGAACAATGATTTCAAATACACTCACTGATATTAGACTGCTTCTTCCGTGACTAGGAAACAATGCTCAATGTGTTTGCTGTCGTTTCCCTCAAAATAGCAATGACATGGTGCCATGCAACACCCCAAACGCCAGTGTCTTTTTCCATTTACGAATACGCATAAGTCAAATCGTCTGTAGCCCCTCGTGATTATCCTTAACCGACTCCATTACTCTATGCAGGACGTGGTGTGCTCGTGAGACTACTGGTATCCTCTCGCACGGAGCCGTTGACAATCTTCTTCTTCTTCTTCTTCTTGCGGGGCACGACGGCAGGCTTAGCACCATACGTGCCAAGGGCGAGCTTGGTTCCGCATGTAGGGCATGTCGCATCTTCGGGCAGCTCGCAGAAGATGCTGAGACAGATAGAGCAGACGAAACCGGTGTCGACGACGCGGCCGTGGCAGAAGCACGCGGCGCGGAAGTCGACTGAGTTGTGCGTCGGGGGGATAAGGGAGCGGCGGGCCTCGGTGTCGGCGACGAGGCCGAACATGAGGTATGTCAGGATACCCTGGGGGTTGGGGGCGGAGAGGAAGGTGCCCCCGGTGTTGTAGCATGCCTGCTGGAGGAACGTCGGGTCGCCCGAAAGGGACAGGGCATCGATGGCCACCTGGGCGTGGGCCGCGGCGAAGACAGCGTTCATGGTGGGTATGTACTGGGCGGGCTCGGAGTCGGAGACAGATATCACGACGATGCGGCCCTTGAGCGGCGGTGGGGGCTGGTTTGCGGCGGCGCTGACGGCCTTGGATGCGGCGTCCGTGCCGCCGCTCCCTGCGGTGGAGGCGCCGAGTGCCTGGGAGGCCTTGTTGGTGTGGCAGAGGGCTAGGGTGAGGGCGCCGGATAGCTGTGTCGTCGTGGATTCGAGGTCTTGTTTCGTCGTGCTGCCGACGAGCTGTCGCACAGAAGAGAGGACGGCGGCTTCGATGCGGGCGAACTGGGGGAACTTGTTGGCCGAGCTTGGTGTTGCCGCTGCGGTGCCGCTACTATCGTCCACCATCATGTCGACGTCGGGTTTGGAGGACGAGGCGGAGGAAGAAGAATCGGCTGGGAGAGGCCGGGGGTATAGCCATGCGGCGCGGTTGACGTGCGAGGCTACGATGGCCACTTGGTTCGCGTTACTGAACGCCAGGTGAGCGTTGACGAAGACGAGGATGTTGGCAATAGCGCGGGACATGGGCAGGGTGTCACCCAAAGCGGCCCAGGCGCGTGGATTGGTGTCGAGGATGATGGACAGGAGGGACGGCGTCTCGTCGGCCGTCGTCTCCTGGTAGTGTTCTGACTGGTCGACGGCGTCCATGGCTGCGATTCTTCTTGCTCCGCTCCTCTAGGCTTTCGTAGATTGTATCGTGTCGTATTGTATCGTACCGTATCGGCCGCCCTGCCCCTTCTTACCCGGTTCCTGACAAATGGGCCTTTCCTTGTTTCCCGCTGGGTTTTTCTTCACAGGAGCATCATAGGTTCCGGGCTCCCGCAACGTGCCCTTTTCTGCAAAAAGGACACGAGAGTCCGCTGGGGGGAGGGGAGGGGGGGACAAAAGAGTGAGAGCGGGTTCGATGTCTTTGGGGTGCGAATCGTGCTTTGCTTCCTTGATCTTTCTCCGTCACGCCAGCTTGAAACGGACAAAAGAAAAAAGAAAAGATGACGTCCTAAGCTTGGCACGCAGACAACGCCAAAGCACGTGATGAGAAGTTGTCGAGGGTGGCAGAAACCTAGAGACAAGGGCTCACCACTCAACTCACAGCATTGATTCAAGACGATACTTCTTTCGAAGGGTGAAGGTGGATCCCGTAGTTGCGTTTTTTCCCCTTCCTTCAATATCGACGTACTAGTCGACTTCGTCACTAGAACTGCATCAACGAGAGCTGTGTTATTTACATCATCACCGTCATTGAGGCCAACATGGCTTGTAATGAAGGGTGACCCCGATTTTTTGACACCCACTACCGTTTAAGATATTAGCACGATAAGTGGGGTGAAAGATGGTAGAACTCTGTAAACGTGACGCAAATCTTCTTTATTTCTGAGCTAGGAATAGAGGTTTATCTTACTTCTTCCCTGTTTCATTGTCTTTACCAATGTGCCATTGAATTTTTTACTCCCCTCTGAGCCCCCTTTGATTGCGTAGCGCCTCCTGCGTGGAACCGTCTGGGGAAAACCCCGCCGTCTGTGGACCAGACGACCAACCAGCAATCCCTCATCATCATCATCCACTTGGGGTGCCACTCCTCTTTCCCATCATAATTTCTCCCCAAGTCCTTCTTTCGCATCAGAGGAAGGGAACCCGAGAATATAACAGAAAGCATGGACACGCCAGACTTGCAAAGCGCAGTAAACGGTATCGAGATGATGCAGGATGCCACTACTCCGGCGTCTGTCCATGATCAGACGCTCATCCTGATGGCACGCCTGATGGAAGGCGGTCGCGAGGACGTTGAAACTTCCAAGGACCTCGACCAACTTACAAGGCTTCTCAACGAAGATTTCGAGGCCAAGCAAAAGGACAAGAGCCACAAGAGCATCTGCGAAGTCATCGACGATGACTGCGTCGACACGTTGCTGTGCTACCTTGACATGAGGCAGGAAGAGTCGGTGCGTGGGCATGCTATTCTCACCACGTCGGCGTACCTCAAGACAGCCGGAGACGCCGGATCAAAGTCTATGTCGGCATTCTTCTTTGACCGCGTCAAGAGGGGCACGTACGATGACTACATCGTTGCCTTCTCCGTTGCCGCCCAGACCTTCCCTATCGTCCCCGACTTGACGGCCGACCTTTTCCTTAGCGAGGGCTTCCTTTCGTCCTTGGGGCCCCTGATGGGCCGCAAGTGGAAGAGCCGCAAGGTCGAAACGGCTTGCCTCGAGATGCTCAACGCCGCCTGCATGAACGCGCGCTGCAGGGAGGCCATCCAAAAGTACTGTGTTCAGTGGCTCGAGGAGGTCATCGAGCAGGAACCCACCGAGGTGGTGCGTAGCATGAATCAAGATCCCAACCTGCATAGCGAAGGTGGCTCCATCTCCATGAGGCGCCATTCAGAGCTGGTCCAGAACCTCGCGGCCGTCATTCTAGCCAAACTGGGAGTAAGTCATCAGCTTTTCAATCCTTTGTGTGTCACCGCCACCGCACGCTCCCCCTCTGCCCCTTTCTTGTTTCTTTGTGGATGCGTGTGTGTGTATGTAATCGGATGACTGACTGACTTTTAGAACGAAGGCAGTGCCGACAAAGCCAGAGGGGAAGAGAGATCCAGGTGAACATCCGAGGGTGGGGCCTGCCGTGTCGACCATGGAGGAGCTGTCGGGGCTATTCACGAATATGGTCATGCGGGACGACGTGCATGTGCGACAGCACTCAATCGAGGGACTCGCCTATTCCTCGCTTCAGGCACCCATCAAGGAGAAAATTGCGGGCGACAAGGACCTTCTGAAGCAGCTCGTCAAAATCTTGTCCGACTCCCGCCCTCGATCAGCAATCACGTACGGAGTATTGAGCATCTTTTGCAACCTGACGAGGTTCCTGCCCGTCATGACAGAGGAACAGAAAAAGATGAATCAGCTCAAGGCGTATGCAGATGCTGCGGGAAAGCTCTCTGGTCCCAGTCCTCTCGATGATAACGAGCATGTGGCTAAGAGGTGCAAGGCCGTGTTCGACGCAGGTATCACGCCAGTGTTGGTGACGCACGGCAAGCACGATTCACCCGCGTCTCTCTCCCTCATCACTGCCATCCTGCACTCCCTAGCGGCCGATAAGAAGCTGCGGGGCCAGCTTTCTCAGCAGGGGGCCGTCCGTCTTCTCCTCGCAGCATCAGCAGGTCTACCAGAAACAGAAAGCGTTGCACGTCGCCAGGCAGCTCAAGCTCTCGCACGCATCCTCATCAGCACAAATCCTGCCCTCGTCTTCGGAGGCAACCAAGCCACATTTGCCCAGGCTGCCATCAGACCCCTCGTAGCCATTATCCCCCCTGACCCCGCGTCCGAGGTGCGAGATCTCCTCCCGACGTTTGAGAGCCTCATGGCGCTCACCAATCTAGCATCCATGGATGACGACAACGTGCGCCAGGACATTGTCCGCTTGTCCTGGCCTGACCTAGAGGAGCAACTCCTTTCGCCCAATCAGCTCGTCTCCAAGGCAGCCGTCGAGCTCGTCTGCAACCTCATGCAGTCCGGAGAGGCTATCGCCCTCTACGCTGATGGCAGCCCCAAGGCCAAGGCCCGTATCAACGTCCTCCTGGCTCTCGCCGATTCCGAGGATGAGGGCACGCGCAGTGCGGCCGGAGGCGCTCTCGGTACCCTGACGGCCTACGACGAGGTCGTCCGCAGCATCATCGACCGCGAGCGAGGGCTCAAGGTCATTCTGACCCTGTGCCTCGATGACAACGAGGATCTGCGCCACCGCGGCGTCTACAGTGTCTACAACATGGTCTCCCTCGAGGATGACATTGGCAATGAGGTCCGCGAAAAGGTCAAGGCCGAGGGAGGTCTCGAGGTCCTCAAAGAGTCTATCAAGAAGAGTCGTCGACCTGAGGTTCTCAAGGTCGCGGTTACGGCCATGAAAAAGATCATGGATTAGAGATTGGGAGGGGATAGCCAGCCCGTCATCACCATGGGACCGGAAAGAGAGAAGACCGGCTTCTAGAAGATATGGTTCTTCCTTCTTCTTTTCTCCAATTCGTTTTGTGTGTTCTATTGTCATGGGAGAAATTATTATGCACTTTTTTTTGTTCTTGATACATTTCTTGCTCGTATTACTCCTCCACCCGGTTCAAAATAGCAACGCCCTCGACATGACCGGTCTGGGGGAAGAAATCAAACCCTCGTAGACTCTCGATTACGTACCTCTTGCCCTCACCCTCACCACGAACGAGAATACCGACATCCCTCGCCTGTGTGTGCACGTTGCAGCTGACGTAAACGACGCGTTTGGGTCCAAAGTTGCGCAGCTGGGAGAGGAAGTCCTCGTCGCAGCCCTTGCGCGGGGGATCGAGCACGACGACAGTCTCGTCGGGGTTGTAGCTGACATTGCGGAAGAGCTGGCCGGCATCAGCGGCGATGAAGTTGCACCGCTGACTCTCGTCACTGTCGTCGAAGCCGAGACCATTCAGGCGGGCGTTTTTGCGGGCGCTGGCGATGGAGTCGGCGGCGATGTCGATGCCGGTGGAGCGTTGGAAGACCTTGGACAGAGTGATTGTGAAGAGTCCGGATCCTGAATACGAGTCGATGAGGTACTTGATGTTGCTGCTGTCGGAGGAGGAAGGAGGTAGGATGTGGTCGCGGATGTACGAGGTGAAGCGGGGGAGGATGGAGTTGTTGTTCTGGAAGAAGGACCCGGCGGGGTTGGTGAAGGTGTAGTCGTCAATGTACTCGGTAGTGGTGGCCTTGGAGTCAGTGACGCACGACTTGATGTCGACGAAGGAGTCCGTCTCGGTCCTGGTGGTGTAAGGGGGGTCTGCTTCGGGGGCGGGGATGGCGGCCGGGTCTGCGTCGGGGCCATTTTTGGGGTAGCGGCTCGTGTTCTCGCGCAGGAGGAGGGTGGCACCACGCTTGTAGCCGGCGTACTCGTCTCTCATGCGCGTCCTCTCCCGCTTCATGCCCAGGCGCACGGCGTCGGTGCCGATAGGGCAGTCCTCGATATCCATGACTCGGCGCTTCCCTTTGAGCATGAAGCCGATGTCTGGGCACTTGTCAAAAGTAGGGGGAGGGTTCTTCTTTTTGCGCCCGCCGGACCCGGGGGGGCCATCAAAATGGGGGGTCAGCTTGGTGCGGTACCCGTACTGCAGGGGACTCCCGATGGTGTCCTGGACGACGGGGACCAGCTCGGCGGGTAGGTTAGAGAAGTTGCGGTAGGCCTTGTCGAGGATGCGGCGCTTGAGCTTGAGCTGCTCGTCGTAATCGAGCATCTGGAACTGGCAGCCGCCACAGGCTCCGAAATACTTGCACCGCACGCGGGCGTCGTCACGAAGAGCGGACGGCTTCACCACCGACACCAGGTCGGCTATCGTGTGGCGATCCTGAAGGAGGTGCCTGAACACTTTGACCCGGACGATATCGCCGGGAACAGTGAAGGGGACGACGTAGACCTGGTCTGAGCCGGCGCGCATGCCCAGTCCCTCGCTGGTGGATGACAGGTCGAGGATCTCGACCTCCGTCTCCGTACCCTCGGCCGGCAGATCCTGCTCCACCTCTTCTGTGCAGTCCTTGGCCCGCGACTCAATCAGGGTCTCTATGTCGATCCTCATGATATCCTCTGACGAACCCTCGGCGATGTTCTTCTCCCTCTTGGTCTTTTTGGGCTTCCACTTCCCGCCGTTACCCTGACCACCCCCGGCCCTCTTCTGAGGCCGCTTCATGGCTGACGACTCATCAGTCTGTGCTTGTGCCTGTACTTGTGCGTGTGACAGTGCTTCTTGTGATTGTGCTGGTACTTCTGGAATAGGCGTAGATGCCACCGCTGGTGCCACTGCTGCCATGGCGAAGGATATGCGACTGCTGACCAGGGATCGGGCAAGAACAAAGGGTGGCTGTACTGATGAGGCTCGGTTCCTGAATGGTGAGATGGAATATGAGAGGAATCTCAAAGCCTTCATAGAGTTGATTGAACGGCAAGGAGAGATAGCAGAAAATGTAGAGATAACTGAAATATGCAAAGAAGAAAACAGTACAGACGCTTTTCAAGAAATTGGAGCTCTTTTTTTTTTTAATTTTTTAATTTTTTTTTTATCGACAGTCTGATCCAACCAAAACGACGGAACTTTTGGGGACCAAAAGGGAGAAAAAAAAGGACCGCCAATTACTCGTAGCTCTGATTTGGAATTACAGAGCCGTTGATTGGCTGTTTTCACTACCGGCGCCAACTCAAGTGAGTATGTATCTATCCGATGCTGTTGATCCTCAATATTCTTTTATTAGGGCTCTCTGTATGGCATCATTATCGCGGCTGCTGTCCGTTATCGGTCAGTCGTTCCTGACTAAGTTGATGTTTAAAAATCCATCTCTAAGGGACAAAATAGTCTGACATTCTGAGATTTTACCTATCCCCTATATAACTTCTTTTATCCCCCCCCTTCATTCTTTTGGTGACAGATCATCATCCTTCTTTCCTTACGGACCTCGGACAACAGTCATTGCTCTGGGCCCCACGTGCCCTGCCCCTCGAGAGAGCATGAGTGAGTTGAAACTTATTCATGGGCTTGACGTAGAGAGACTTCGATTGCTAAATACCGCCTTTATTTATTTAGGGGCCGCGCATATCTTTAGAACCAGCCTAGAGCTTATTCTGTCTTTATCGCTGCATCATGAGCTGGCATACGCGGGTGCCATCCCCGAAGTCGTCTTCCAGCCCGGATACATGACAGAGGGGAGGAAAGGTGGTGTCGCGAGTGAGAGTATCGAGTGCAGTCGGATTGGAAGAGATCTCCTGGCTCGGGGTGTAAGCCTCCCGCTCATTGCTTATAATCCGTATTCTCGTTTAGTGAACTGATTGTGTGTATCAGGGAAATGCTGTTGACGCTTTGGTTGGCACGACATTTTGCGTTGGCGTCATCGGCATGTATCATTCGGGTATCGGAGGTGGTGGCTTTGTCATGGTCCGCGATTCTAAGGGGAACTATGAAGCTATCGACTTCAGAGAGTCAGCGCCTGCTGCCGCATGGGAAGGCATGTACTCGGGTAACGTTGAGGGCAGCATGTTCGGTGGCCTGTCCGTCGGCGTGCCGAGCGAGGTAGCAGGGCTGGAATACACCCACCGCAAATACGGGGTATGTCGCTTTCCGACATGGCTTTATTCATTTCCACGGGTCTGACATGTTGATAGTCTCTCCCTTGGGAGATGGTGATGCATGGCGCTATACATGTGGCTAGGGACGGGTTCAGGGGTATGTATCAAGCTGCTCGTCGATTACAGGCAACATACTGACCGTTGAATGCTTGTATATAGTCTCCCCGGATCATATAAAGTACGTCAACATGACGATAAAGGACAAGCGAAACTTCTTGGTTGAGGATCCTGTCTGGGCCCAAGACTTTGCTCCAAACGGTACGTGCGCTCCATTGTGCCCCTGGTACGCTGACGATACTGACATGAATATGCAGGGACGCTGTTGGAAGTCGGCGATATCATGACACGACGCCGCTACGCAGAGTGAGTTCGAGCATCTTCATATCGTTGTGGATGTCGGGCTGTGCTAACGCGATATCAAGCACACTTGAAAAGATTGCCAAATATGGCTCCGAAGCATTCTACACTGGGGAAATTGGTGGGTATCTATCTATTCCCGTATCCGTTGCATGAAGGAAGTGCTAACAAACACAACGCAGCTGAGTCAATGATCAAGACCATCCAAGACGCCAACGGCACCATGACACTAGATGATTTGAAAAGCTACAAGGTCATCTCGAGGCCTGTAGCCAACACGTCGTACCGGGGAGTACAACTCCACGGAATGACAGCACCTGCTAGCGGCTCTGTGTGTTTCAACATCCTCAAGATCATGGAGCAGTTCCCCCTCGAGGACCGCAAGGATGTCAACCTCACCATGCATCGCTACGATGAAGCCATGCGCTTCGCATACGCGGCACGCCTTGAGATAGGCGACCCAGATTTCGTGCCGCACATGGCAGATCTCGAGGCAGATATGCTCAGCGAGGTCAACGCGAAGAAGATTCGCGATCGCATCAGGGACAATCAGACCCTCCCCGTTGAAGAGTACAATCCCAAGAAGATCTTCGCCCCCGAGGGCCATGGCACGTCACACATTTCCACGGCCGACGCCTCGGGCATGGCCACGGCGCTCACCACGACTGTCAACCTCCTATTCGGCGCGCAGATCATGGACCCTGTTTCGGGGATCATTCTGTAAGTTTCTACCCTCCCCACCCCCTCTCCCATTGCTGACATCGAGGTGAAAGAAATGACGAGATGAACGACTTCTCCATCCCAGGAGTCCGCAATGGGTTTGGCTTCGCCCCATCCCCAGCCAACTTCATCCGACCTCACAAGCGACCGCTCTCGTCTATCACGCCAGTCATCGCCGCGAGGCCGGACGGCTCGCTGCTCGCCACGGTCGGTGCCGCCGGAGGATCGCGTATCATCTCCTCCACGGCCCAGGTCCTGTGGCACACGCTCGAGCACAACATGTCGCTGGCCGACGCCCTGCGCTACCCACGTCTGCACGATCAACTCATCCCCAACCTCGTCCTCGTCGAGAACGAAATGGACCGGCCCATCGTTGACGCGCTCGAGGCAAAGGGCCATAAGATCAAGTGGACTGCCCCGATCATCAGTGCCGTACAAGCAGTCTGGAGGTTTGCAGATGGTGTGTTTGATGCGGTCGGCGAGCCGAGGCAGCTGAACAGCGCAGGCTTGACACTTTGACGACTTTTCTCTCTACTCACTACTAGCGGTTTAGAAGGGCACGGTACATGGCCCGCACGATGATGAATCAGATCCTCCCCTTGGAAGATGGCAGAACAGCGTTGAATATTTAATTATTTCTTTAAAAAGAGCATCGATTGTTTTTCCTCTCTCTCTCTCTCTCTTTTCGTCCCACTTCCTAATGCACTCGCAACAAGTTTAAGATAACACAAAAAATGCAAAGGGTATTATTTCCACCTGCCTCTTCTCTACATATTTTCTTCTTCTTCTCTCTCCTTCCCATAACGGCACCAAGATAAAATCTCTTTTTCCCAACAGGAGGTCCGTCTTACTTGGTGAGGGCTACCAACCTCTCCGCCTGGGCGAGCCATTCCCTGGCGAATTCCTCTTCTGTGAACCTCAGGGCCGACTTCCTTGCGCGGAGACGCCATGCGAGCGGATCCTTGAGGGACAGAGCCTTTTCGTAGCATTCAGCGAATTCGTCGACTGTGGTGGCGTGAAAGCCTAGAGAGGAAGGGGTTAGTAAGATAAGAGGGGAGGAGGGGGGCAGAGAAGTAGAGGAGGAGAGGAGGTAACAAAGCTCACCAGTTGGCTGTCCGTCAATTTCTACAGCAATGTCGAGTTTGGGGCCACCACTGTTGTGGACTACGCAGACGAGACCGGCAGCCTGGTACTCCACTACACCGATACCAAAGTGCTCGTTCCACATGCCGTTTACGCCGACCGACGCCCTGCGCAGCCAGTCGAGGACGTCGGGCCAGGGGGCGTCGAGGTGGAAGATGACGTGGTCCTTGATGCGCAGCTCGTTGACGAGGAGGCGGAGCTCATAGACGCGCTTGGAGTCGGCGTCGTCGCGGACGCTGCCGATGAGGACCAGCTTGGCGTCGCGAGCGGCGTCGGACTCGGTACGGACGAACTTGGCAAACGACTCGATGATGAGCTGGTGGTTCTTCTCCGGGCGGAACTGGGCAATGTACACCAGGACCTTTCCGCGCAGGGCCTCGGTCGCCTCGGACACGGGGACCTCATCTTCCAGCTCCCGCACGGCGCAGGGCGGGTACACGGCCGTGATAGGGTGGTCTTTGTCCTTGTCGCCGCGGAAGGGACCCCAGAGGGCACGGATGTGCGTGCGCGTCCAGGTCGAGTTGGCCATGACCACGTCAATCGACGAGCCGACCCATGAGTACACGCGGGCAAACAGCTTCCAGTACACCTTCTTGGCCAGGCCGCGTACGCCGACACCCTGGCCGCCGTTGACACCGCGAGTGCCGAGCTCCGAGTCAGGATCCAGAGAGTCGAGCATGTCGGTGGAGATGGTGGGGTAGTGCACGTAGGCACCGGTGGGGACGCCAGGAAAGAGAAACTTGCTGAAGCCAAGCGAAAAGGCGTAGCCCATCGTGTCGATGAAGATGTCGGGCACGAGGAGCTTGAAGGCATCCCAGGCCAGCACGATGGAGCCCAGGGACTGGCCGAGGAGAGTAAAGTGAGGCCATGTGCTGGCTAGGACCCAGTGGCGCTTGGAGAGGTAGAGGAAAGTGATGTTTGGGGCGTGCAGTTCAATGTTGAAACGGCTCTACATGGCATTAACTTCTTTTGTCTCGGGTTCTTGTATTCTTCTCTCCAGCGAGTGCGTACCTTGACGAGTGATAGAATCTGGTCCTTGGTCACATCATGGTCACCGGTGTAAACGACACATTTGGCATTGGGCCAACGGTCTTGGGTAGCGCGGATGGCAGCCCACAAGACTCGCTCGCCACCTCCCCCAGCGTTGCTATAACACAGAGTTAGCAAGTGTATAGGTGGGTGTCAACATGAGTTTCTTGGGTTCAACAATAATACCAGAAAGGGTGAAAGAAGCCGACAATACCGTCCCACAACTTGTCAGAAGGATCCTGCACATTCTGCCACTCGCCACTGGACGTGCTCTTTGTTTCCAAACCGGCAGCAGCACTCTTCTCCGAGGATGTCGCCGATGACGGCCTTGACTTTCTACTCTCCTGATCCATGATGGCCACTATGTGAGCTCTCCTCCCCTCAGTCTTCTTCTTCAAAGTCCATCCTAGAAAGAGTCCGACAGTCCGAGCCAGCCTGGGAAGGACAAAGACGAAGAGGAGTGGGGCAAACGCCACGACCAGAGTAGAGATGATGGAGGAGATCGGTATTGTCATTTTTGTTGTATGTATGTTTCTCCCCTGATAACTCGTTGCGTTGTACGTATGGTCTCGGGTGCCCGAGATGGCGGGGGTGAGTGAGAGTGATCTCAAGTGAGAAGGGAGCGAAGGAGAGAAGGCCACGATGCTTTAGCTAGTAATAGTACAGTGGAGAAGGTGGTGGTGTGAGAAGATAGGCCTGCCCTTGAAATGAGGTTCACGGTGTTTTTGATATAGTGGCTTCTTTTATGATGGATTTTTTTAAACACTGGAATGTTAAGAAAAGAAGAGAGGAAGAAGGAGAACAGGTTAGCATAGACAGAATAGAGATGAAAAAAAGAAGAAAAGAGAGAAGTCAAGGTGAGGCCAAGATGCTCGTATCTGTCTGCCCTGAACCGCAGTGAACAACACAAACAACAACAACCCCACCTGTAACACAAAGAGAATACAGGCACTAAAAATCCCCTGTAGCGCAAGAAAGGGGACCTGAAACCTCGTCTCACCTCCGATGAGCAAATTGCTCACACAACCACAGCAAACATGTCACATGGAAGCCATCCGTTCATCACCTGCCCTACCTCCTTGCTTTCTCTCTGTCTCTCTCTCTCTTCTCTCTCGTGAGAGAACAACCAACAGATGTCGACATCTTTCCTTATTAGGAGAACGGCTGCTGCGTCTGCTGCGTCTGCTGCGTCTGCTGCACCTCTCCGGCTAGCCCGTCATGTGATCCCAGGACAGCAGCAACCACAGCAGCGACACTTCTCCCTAGGCGCAGCCTTTGCCGCCGCCTCAACCACGACAGCAGAGAGCATCACCTTCATCCACCACTGCGGTCTGCCGTGGTACGTGACCATACCGCTGGTGGCCGCCACCGTCAACTTCACCTGTCGTCTACCCGTCTACTGGTACGTGCGGGTGCTGCAGAACCGGCGCACCCGGATCCTGCCACTCTACCAGGCCTGGACGTCGACGCACGCCCAGGAGGCTGCCGGCCTCGTTGCTGGCGGACCATCCAGCGCCGTCAGCCAGGAGAATGTGGCGGCCAAGCGGAAGCGCGACTCGCAGACGTTCAAGCTGATTCGCAGGTCCCGCCAACGCCTGTACCGCCAGTTCAGCTGCCAGACGTGGAAGAGCTTCACCCCGCTGCTGTCCATGGGGCCCTTTATCATGGTGACGGATGCGCTGCGACGTCTGGTGGGCACCTCGACCCTCGCAGGCGATGGCTCCGCTGCCGTCACGGGGCACGGGCTTGTGGAGCAGTCCATCACCGAGGGCGGGCTGGCTTGGTTCACGGACCTGTCCCTGCAGGACCCGTACATGGTCCTGCCCCTCGTGTGCTCAGTCGCCATGGCCAGTTCCGCCTGGAGGGGCATGGACGCCAAGACGCTCCTCGAGAGGCTAACCGGCAAGGCTGGCGCCCCCAACGGGCTGCAGTTCCTGTCGGGCGTCATGGGCCGCGTAGCTGTGCTCATCCCCGTCATCCCGCTCCTGCTGTACTCGCAGCCCGCTGCCATCTTCCTTTACTGGATCACCACCTTCAGCCTCAACCACGCCAACTCGGCTATATACGACCGCTTTCTGCCGGTACCCAAGCCCGAGTTGAAACCATCACCGCCTCAGGTCAGCAAGGAGAAGCCACACGTGTCTCTGCCGTGGCTGCACTCTGGTGAGATGCAGATAAACGCCAAGACGACGAGCACATAAACCCTCTTGTTACAACCACACAAACGCACTCTAGATTTCTGTTTTTTTGTATCACATATGTATACTGTTTGTTGATTCTCATCACATGTATACTTGGAATTCAAATGCCGTACTATACACGCGATGAGGCAGGTCCCCGAATGAAAACAACCTAAAGAAGAAGAAATCGACTACGCTTAACGCCCATATAACGGATGGAGTGGGTAGAACATCAGAGAGAAGAGGGTGGTGGGGGTATTCAGAAAAGAGCGAATAAGAAAAAAAGCAAGAGATCTGGGGCAAAATCAGCCCACGACAATGGCCAAGATGACAATGGTTAGAATGACAGCCATGATAAGCAGCAGACAGCACCCCTTGTTCCGCGCGGCCTTTTGGTAACGCGCAGCCTGCCTGTTCTCCACGTCGGCCTGCCTCGTGTCGTCGCGCACATTGTAGACGTTGTCCTCGATGCTGGTGAGCTGCTCGCCCTGCTCGTTGACGATCTGCGCCACCTGGCGGAAGAGCACGTTGAGGTCACCCACGCCCTGCTCGATGTTGCGGATTTCCTCCTCGCGTTCGATGATGAGGGACTCCTGGAAGTCGACTTCATCCTGGGCCGCCATGGCAGACGGGGCCATCTCCTGCCTCTGGAGGAGCTGCTCCTGCTGGCCGCTACTACCACCGCCGGTGGGCGTGAGCTCCTCGCCTAGGTCAGCTCCGGTCGAGGCGCGGGCGGCATTGATCGAGGCCTTCTCCTTATCGAGGGCGCGGCGCTGGAGGGCCTGGAACTCTTGCAGGGCGGCCTGGAAGTCGCTTGACACCTTGGTCTGCTCGTATCGCTGTTGCTTCTATATCGTGGGGCGCGCACACACTCGTTCAGTCTTCTGCGATGCTCTTCCTTGGCCTGAAATATCTCCCGTGAAAACTTACCGAAAGCTCCTCCCATGTCTGCAGCTTCTTGACTCCTTCGCCAATCTCTTGACAGACACTACGGTTCTTGACCATGGTATTATGCACGCGCTCCCGCAGACGAGGAGTGTCCTTCTTCGTCCCCAGAACATTGACATCGCTGGCCAGCTTGCGGTTGTTGCTGAGCAGTGACTGTAGCTTGCCCTTGAGATCGTACTGTAGGTCGCGGAATGCTGGGTCATCCGAGTAACCGCCACCACCACCTCCTCCGCTACGACCAGCGCCATCGCCGTCGCCGGACTCGAGGTTCGATAGTTGATCGTATCCTGCCATTTTCGTTATCCTTTTGTTTGTACGTATGCGCTCGGTATGGGAAGAAGCCAGGACCGATATGTTGAATGGCAAGGGTTGGTAAATGCGGGTTTATCTCTAAATGTAGGACGAACCAGGTGGCTGAGGCTCTTCCTGGCCTCTGACGACGTAACTGATGCACATGTGGGGCCACCTCTTGCGATAACCAATCAACACCTACTGTACATACCGGTGCCTAGCCTCGCTAATCACCACGTGATGCGCTGCTCGATAAGAGGTCCCCCGGAGTTTGGCAGAGCGCGTTCGTTGTTGGTGGTGCATTGACCTACAAGCCAGAAGGCGGCCGATTTTATTTATTATTTACTTGGCCCAGATCCCAACCCCAGGGCCCAGTTCACCACCACACATCTCTCACCAACCCCCAGATTATGCCCAGTGATCATGGCGGGCATACCTGTGCGGAGGGCTCCTTATAAGGATTTCCTGCAGCCTGCTCTGCAGCGACGATTCGCCTCGACGGCCGCAGTTCTCGTGGCCGTTTCCTACCTCGAGGCTCTCCTACTGGGCCGATGGGATTCTCGTGAGTTTACCATTCATCTGCGTTGCTGCTTCTTCTTCTTCTTCTTATCTTCGACCCCTCCCCCATTGCTGACATATCGCTCTCCCGTTCCTTCAGTTCTCTGGTCATGGTTCCCCCTGGGCCCCGCCGGCTTCCGAACGGCCCTCATCTTCACCTGCGGTCTGTCCCTCCTCGTCCTGCGCATCGCCCTGTATCACGTCGGCCTGCGAACGACGGGCTCGGGCATGCAGACCCTGGTCGCCAACCTGTCTAGCCCGTCGACCTACGAAACGGCCTTTTGGTACTTCTTCTCCAGCTTCCTCTTCTGCCCCATCTTCCTGTGGTCCATGCCTGAGTCCGCCAACCTTAGCTGGGTTAAGTACCTGAGCGGCGACCGCGCCAAGGCCAACGAGCGCACCATATTCCTCGCCTGCTACCTGGGCATCTGCGCCCTCAAGCAGAGCGTTGAACATTTCGTCAAGGACGTCGACCGCCTCAACCTCGGGCTCACCACAATGAGCGGTGGCGCTGCCGGTGGCGCATCCTCGCTCAAGGGCGTCGTACTGCGTCTACCCGCTGTCCTGGGTGGCGCCTTTCACGACTCCCTCGTGTCCTTTGGCATAGTCACCGTCGTCTACATGGGCCTCATCCGGCCATTTGCCTACAGGTGGACGCTCATGGTGCTCCGTCCCTTTTACAACATCCCCAAGTCAAACTTACTACCCACGTCATGGCCCCTGGACCTGTGGCTGGCCGGCCGGTGCATGCTGGCTGGTACGCTGCTCTTTGTGGTTTGGGGGGCTGGAAACACGGCCTTTTCTGTCTTCATGGCCAAGGAGCCGCTCAAGAATGGCCAGCCTCTGACTTCCGAGTCAAAGGACCCCAACGGCAGCCTTCTCAGTGGACTGAAGAGCAAGAAGCCGTCGATCAAGGTGGGATATTGCTCACTTCCTAACTTCTCTTCTCCTCTCTGTCCTGTCTAGACGAAGCGTAGACTAGTGCTAATGATGTGTTGCAGTGCTTTGCTATGTGGGAGCTCGCCCTCATAGCGCAAAAGTTTGAGGCGCGTCGCAAGGCCATATATGCCGACATTGACCGCAAGGATGGTCCCATGTGGGCGCAGGTGTACGCTGTGTGCATGGATGCCATAAAGAGCATCGAGGTGCGAGTGGACAACTACGGCAAGCCCCCTGCTCCTGTACAGGCACCAAGCCAGACTGAGGAGCCCAGACAACGATTCTCGGCCCCCTTGCGCACCGACCCCGTCTTTTCCCCCAGCAAGGCCAGGTCAGGCGCAGGGTCTAAGGCCAAAGAGGTTGTCAAGATCTTGACGAGCGGATCGGACCAGTCGTCGTCACCCCTGGCTGAGCTGAGCCCTCTGGCCAGGAAGACGTGGAGCAGTACAAAGGACCACATGCTCACCAGGCAGCAGCAGGAGGCCATGTCGTCACAGAACGTGCTGGGCCAGCTGGAGAAGCTGGTCCTATCGGCTATGAGCTTCGGCTGGGTGCGCGCTTTGTTGCAGCAAGAGTTCCGCACCGAGCTAGCCGGCGCTGTTCTCGGGTCCCCTCACGCCGAGGCGATACTCTATGTCAGCGCGACCAACGCGCTCTGCCAGTTGGCCGTGCACAGCTTGGGCGAGGATCAGTTTGGCAACGTCCACCGCGACGTGCCCAGCATCATCCGCACACTGACGTCAGTCATCCGCAAGGTTGAGGACTTCAAGCACCGCTTCCCCGTACACTGGACCGACGCCAGCAACTCCAGGGCCAGCCCCGAGGTTGATCAGGTACTCGAAGCCATGCGCACAGGTCTGAGAGAGGTAGTGGCCTCCTTTGAGCCGTTCTGCCACGACCTGCGTCTGACGCCCGGCGACCTACGCCACGCTAAAGAAGCAGCTGCTCCCAAACCCAATGAGATGGAGGAGAGGCCGAAGGAGAAGGAGCCTCCAGCAGCATCAAAGCCTAGGAGGGAAGAGGTAGTAGCTGAGAAGAGGCCAGAGCCTAGACAGCGTCGGCAAAGTAGACCGGAAATGGAGCGGGCCCGATGAAGGGGATGATGAGGATGTAGGTAAATGGTAAGACAAGGGGGGGACACGATATCACGGGAACAAAAAGCATGGTGTCTGGGCAAATGTGCCTAATGTATGGATTCATTAGACATGGAAAGGAGTAAACGTGCTGTTCATAAAAAAACCATAATTGTCAAAGCCGGTATTACGTTTCGAGATTCATTCATGGTGGGTTTTGTCTTGTCTGCATAGATAGTAGTGGGCATCCTGCACGGTAAATAAGCTTGGGGGGGTACGTACCTCCTTTCATCTACCCCATCACTGCTATCCTGTTCTCCAATCTCCAACTCTCTCTCTCCTCCACACACAGAAGACGAACACAAGGTGATCTCTAGAACAATGGCGTGAGCCGCCATGCGACTCCAAACAACGGATGCCCACCGGCCATTCGAAGCCGCCAAACTGACATCCGACCTGGAGCGCCTCAGGGCACACGCCTAGCAGCGCAAACGACCACCTACGAGCCCCTCCTGCCCACCATGGCGCAGCAATCCGGCCGACTGGCCCGCTTCGCCTACACGTCGCTCTACTTCATACTGCTAATGATGCTCGCGGGGCTGACACTCATCACGCCGGGAAACATCATCGAGCGGTCGATCGTCAGCCGACAAGTCTACAACATCTGGATCCTTCTGGGGTCGTACGCCGTCACCATCGTGCTAGTGGCCGTCTTCTACTCGACGCGGCTGTACGTCAACAAGACGGTGCTGGCGGGGATACCCAAGCCGTGGGTGCCCATCCAGGCGGGTGACGTCAACAAGACCGTTCACCTGGAGATAGTGAGCGGGCTAGACCGGAGCGCGGCCATAGCGTACGAGTCGCGGCCGCGGGTTACCGTCGCCACCGTCGGCGACGGCGGCGACAATGACAACGACGACGGCATGGCCCCCCTCGCACGGGACCTGGGCGTCTCCCCCAAGATCCAGAGCGCCATGTGGTCCTCCATCGAGCACGAGGGCTGGGCGTCCCCCGCGTCGGCTGACTTCCCCTCCCTGCAGTACATGACCGTCCTGGCCGAGCTGCCCAACCTGATCGAGGCCAAGGCCCTGACCCTCGCGCCGCCCGCCTCGGCAGCCACCGACGCCTCTGTCGCCGCCACGGCGGCGCACTTCCTCCAGCGGCCCATCCACCTCAGCCTGCGCGGCTACCTAGACCACCTGTGCAGCCTAGGCGTCGTGGCCGAGCACCACTCGCCCGCTGAGTTCCTCGAGCAGTACGAGTACGCGCGCTTCTCCACGCGACCCATATCCAGCACGCGCTTCAGGCGTCTGATGCACCTCCTCGCCGAGCTGCTGGGTGCTATGCAGCCGCTCGACCTGGCCGCTCTGGAGGGGAGCGACGCCCACAGCACTACCACCGGCACCAGGAGCACTCTCTCGCGCACATCGACAACGTCGTCGTCATCTTCGTCTATCCTACAGAGACCGCCTCCCTCGCTGCACGCCACATCATGGGCCACGGCACCTAGTACGCCGCGTGGACGGCGACCCGCCAGGAACGGCAGTATAGACAGCAGTGGGGGCAATACTATTGCCTTTCCCGCCCAGGGACAGGCGCACCATCTCTATTCTCATCAGGGAACCCATCAGGGTCTGGCAAAGCAGCAGCAGCAGCAGCAGTATGCTTCCAGTTCGAGCTCTTCGAGTACAAGGTCTGCTGCGCGGTCGCAGATGTCCGTCATCCGTCTAGCCACGGTGGATGACGATGAGAGGTTACCGTACGTGTTGAATCTGGAAAGATCGTCCGACTGATCTCGTCTGTGTTTTTTTCTTCCTCTTTCTCTACAAGGCATTCCATGTCTGATACTCTCGCTTTCTCTCTGTTTGTCTTGCCTTACTGGCCACACACACACACACTCTCTCTCTATTTCCTTCTGTACGACGGCACTCTCTCTGTGTTCTTTTGTAATAATAATGATGTACATGGCTGGCGTTGGGTTTAAAGAAAAGTAATTGTAGTTCTTAATATGGTGTATATACAAAACAAGCATTCATTAATACAAGGATTAATTGATACAAAGAGTTCCTCACAATTGGAAAAATAAAAGGATAAGAAAAGTACAAGGACCTGAGTGCTAATGCAAATCGACGTCACTGGCTCCAGGAAAAGAACATGTAATCTAGTGTCACAGGAAACAAAAAAAACAAAAAAAAAAATTCCACCCCCCCCCCCCCCCCCCCCCTCTTATCATCCAACATCACCAACCACACCACCCTTCGAAAAAGATCTTATCCTCCCACCCAGACGAAACGAAATGCCGTCGTCGAAAGAACAGAGCGGGCCGATCCCCCGCTCCGTCTCAACAGAACACAACAACCGTCTCTCCNTAAGAAAAGTACAAGGACCTGAGTGCTAATGCAAATCGACGTCACTGGCTCCAGGAAAAGAACATGTAATCTAGTGTCACAGGAAACAAAAAAAAAAAAAAAAAAAATTCCCCCCCCCCCCCCCCCCCCCAAATCTTATCATCCAACATCACCAACCAAACCACCCTTCGAAAAAGATCTTCTCCTCCCACCCAGACGAAACGAAATGCCGTCGTCGAAAGAACAGAGCGGGCCGATCCCCCGCTCCGTCTCAACAGAACACAACAACCGTCTCTCCCTCCTCTTCAGCACAAGCCAGCCTGCCCTCCTGCAGAGCATGAACATGCTCGGTAGCAATGCGCCGCGACGAACACGAACACGACCACTACCACAATCGTCGGCCACTACAAAGCCAGCGGCGGCAAGACAGGATAGGGACAAAGGCAACGACGACGATGACAACGAAGACGACGACGACGACGACGACGACTACGACGGCGGTGGCGGCGGCTTTCAGGAGAACAGAGGTGTAGGATACGTCCGTCAACCGAAGGAGAAGAAGGAGAGTGCAGACGACGAACTGCTACGGAGAAGAATACTAGGTCGACATGCCGTCAGGGGAAAGGGAAATGGGAAAGGGAATTCTGGGAACATCAAGAAGCTGTATGCTCTCGATAATGAGGACTCGGATGATGATGACGATGGTGAGGGTGGGCGCGGTGCTCTGGGCAGGAGAAAGGTTGTCAAGAGACCGAGGGAAGATGACGACGACCAAGACAAAGTGGTACCCATCTTACCCCCAACTACCGGCAGCAAGAAGCAGAAGCAGAAGAAGAAGCAAAAGACGGCGTGATCGTGATACACAACCACAAACACATAAACACACAGATGCCAAGGAAAAGACCGGCAGTCTTAGTCGTATTCGCCATGACACACTACCCTATCCGTCTCATACCCCGGCCCCCACCCAATATATACAGTGTAATTATGGGCTCTATCTAACACCAGTGCCTCTTGCACCCACCCCTATTCTGAAACCTAACAAAGGCCTCTACCGTGATATCATAGAAAGAAGAACAAAAGAGCAAATAAGGAGTGAGAATAAAAAGTAGAGAGCAAAGACAAGAGTATAAAACACCAGATCACCTACATATGTACAGTGCAAGACATGATGCTCCATGGTATATTTCCCTCCCGCCTATTGCACTCGCTTTCGTTTCCTGTCGTCCTCGCCACGCGGATCCTCGTCCTCATCTGACCTCTCAGCGGTATCGCTAGGGTTCAGGATATGCGCCATGCTGCCTCTCCTGGTGGGCGGTCCCGACGAATCCTTGAGAACCCTGCTTGCCGCAGCCGAGCCCCACGACCAGTTGCCAAACGTGTCTGCGCCATTGCCGCCGCCGCCGCCGCCGCCGCCGCTGCCGCTGCCACTCCCGGCATTCCCTATGGCACTGGGCGGCGGCGGCGGCGTCGTCGGTCGGGAAGTAGGCTGCCCCTGCTGGTGAGACGCCGCATGCAGCGAGTACGCCGATAGCGATTCGCGGATGCGCTGGTCCTCGGGGGGTGCGCGGGTGGGTGATGACGGGTAGCCTGTGGACGTATTGGTCGAGTATGGGGACGGGCCCGCATGCCAGCCGTGGGCGCGTATGTCGGCCGAGGTGTGTCTCCTCCCCAGACTCGCGGGATGGGGTTCGACATTCGCCAGAGGGTGGGGGGGTCCTGGCGGCGGTGCAGCGACAGGGTTGGTGATGTTCCGCGAGGGCGATGGCTGGGCTGTGCCCGCCCCTCCGATTGACCCGTACGGTCTCCTGGCGACTACAGAGAGGTTCGAGGGCACAGGCGGTCGGTAGAAGTTCTGGCGTTGAGGTACTGTCAGGTTGCGTCGCGAGTCGTCCGACGGTATCTGTCTCGGTGATACCGGCGCGTTCTCTATGCCGCTGAGATACTGCTGTCTGCTTAGGAAAGGCATCTCAGCCGATGTTTCTTCCATGCTCCTGATCATGTCGGCCTGCCTCGCCATCTCATTCTGCAGCGCGGCAACTGAATGAACATGCATGTTAGCGGAGATGCGACGGTGTGTGAGGTCAGGGGGTGCGCAGGTATCGAGCGCAGCTGTCGACGTACAGTCTCGGAGCGCAGGGTCCTCTGGGGATGCGAGGGACTGCACGGTCCTCGCGAGCTCCTGGTTGAAGTAGAGGAGTCGGCTCATGGTCTCCACAGCAGCCTGGTTCCTCGCCTGCATATAGTGCACGCTGTCCTCGCTCCTCTGCAGGCGGACACTCAGGTCGTAGAGGGAGTGTTCCATGCTGGCCAGACGATCCACGCCGTCGTGGTCCATGTGAATCGAGTCGGTCGGGGTAGGTGGTTGCGGGGGCGTCGCTTTCGAGTACGCGCTCTCTCTGTGCACGAGGGCATGTCGGCTGGCGCGTCTCTTGATCTCGCGCAATCCGACGAGGTCTCCGCGCTTGAAGTTTCCGCCACCATGCTTGAATTCCCAGAGGGTACTCTCCGGGTTTCCCGTGTGGAATACATCTCGCTCTGCGCGGGTGCGTTAGTCAGGGCTGCAAGTCGCAACTAGAGTAGGTTGCCGGGAAGGTGCGGAGAGTGTCCGCAGCAAGGGCTATGGATGGGCTACAGATGGCCAGTGTGAGACGTACCCTTGTGAAAGCCGTACATGTTCAGCTGTCGGACGAAGGATGAGATATTGGTGTGCTTAAAGTATTGCCTAGAACCGATGGTGAGCACGCTGCTAGATACCGAGATGCCCCTGCACGGGACGGATCAGAGCCGGGGCGAGATCGAGGCAAGACGTACGATAACACCTTGGAAAAGTCTGGGGTTGGGGCCATGACGAAACTGTCGGCACTCGATGACCACGAGATCAGGTGTTGTATATTCCGGTCTTCTAGCATGCTGAGGGGAGATGGACAGGAGATGTCAGCATTGTCGCGTGTCGCAAGAAAGACGGGCCTGGGGAGGCAGGTCCCAGAGGTGGAGATTTCTGTCTCACTTGTATAGCTTGTGGATAAAGGCCGTCTGGACAATCTTGGGCTGATGTAGGGCGGCGGCAGCGGGGGGGGGCGCCGTCATGGAGGAGGAGTTCCTGGTGGAGGCATTGCCCGTGTCGGGGGGCGAGGCGTTCTTGGAGCCGTCGGCAGATCGGGCGTCGGGGTCGGCCGGGTCATGGCCATGGTTGCCGCTCAAGGACTCGGAGCCTCTCATTGACGTATCCATGGGCTCGGGGGCGTGGGTGGTGATGTGCGGCACGTCGAAGGCGGTGGTGGAGCTGGCAGAGGCGGCCGTCGATGTGTGCGGCGCTGGGCGAGTTGCGAGCGAAGACGACATGGGGTGGTCGCGGCCGTCGAGGGCTAGGATCGGTCGTTGGTGATGTTCAGTTGCCGCTGCCATCTGACCTAGACGGAGACAGCATGTCATGGGTCAGTAAGGAGGGCATTCGTTTGCCATGAAAACAATGTCAGGGTCGTCGCGGGAGGTGGTGGCTCATGATGTCAAGAGGGTCTGGGAGGGGGCGGCTTTCGACAGGGGGGACGGAGGGTAGGAGGGAGTAAGAGGCCCAGTGGTAGACGGGCCAAAAGCAAAGCACAAACCGCCAGACAATGTAACTCGGTAGTGATTGGAGAGGCAGCGGCGGAGATGTTTCCTGTAAAGGGAAAAGCTGCACTTTTTTTTCTCGCCCTCTGGTCTGGAGGTTGGCGTGCGGGCCAAGCTTAGGACGGCACCAACTCTATTGCGACGCCGAGGACCGAAACGGGGGGACGGAGGGAACGTGACAGGAGCATGGTTGACGGGAGACGATGACGATTCCTTCCTAAAGATCCCAACGTACCTTCATTTCCACCGGCGCACCCGTTTACAGCGCCGGACTAGACCGTTATGATCTGAGTGGTTCCGGAGGCCGGATGGTGACTCTCATTCGGCGTCCAAGGACGGGTTTGAAACGGGTAATAGGAGGGGGGTGTCTGTTGAACGTGCGCGCCGTGCAGTTGGGACAAGCGTAAGGGACATGCAAACGTCAGGAATAGCGGAGAAGGGTGGTCTCACAGGTGGCAATGGCATGCGCATGCGCCGTGGTCGAATGAGGCGAACAGGAAGAAGAGAGAGGGAGAGAAAGGATAGATTGAAAGAATGAGACGACAGGGAGAGAGGGAGAGAGAGAGAGAGAGAGAGAGAGAGAGAGCGGAGAAAAAAGCAGCAATGTCGTGGGTGTGTGGTGGACAAGGACGCGCCAATTGACGTTGATGCTAGTCAGGAGCAGGGGGTGCCGTAGGGGGTGGAGGTATAGGTATTATTACTGCTCGGCACGCCCGTCTCGTGGGTGCATTGGTGTGAATAATGGGAGATACGATGCGAGAAGTGGTGCTGCTAGCTTTCGGCTCACGATGCGAGTGGGAGATGGGGAGAGGAAATGTATTTTATGGGTGCAACAGACAGGCGAAAGTCAGAGGAGAAGCGATAAGAGGCAGCAAGAGAAGAAGGAAAAAAGAAAGAAGGAACGAAGTATGTGCTTCTAGAAGAACGGGCGAGGAAGGTTCCAAACAAGGTCCAAGGAGAAGCTGTTGGTGGTCGTGATCCTTGCTCGGCCCCTCACGGAAAAGAGAGACGGGTGGTATGGACCGTATGGTTGGTCGGAGGAGTAGTATAGTAGTCGAGTTAGCACAGCGTACTGTGGTGTGCGTGCACCCGTAGTGTGTGCTTCGTAGAGTGTACTCATGTACTCGTGGTGATGTGTACAAGAGTATGCCGTACTCTATACATAGACTGGGATGTGGATTTGTCGGGGATTAGTCTGTAGGCTGCATGCAGATGGACCTTTTTTTTTTTTTCACCCCCAAGCGTGACAGCGGCAGAGCCTGAGACTGGAACACTTTTTTGTTTCCGTTTGTTGTCGGTTTGGTTTAGGTAAAAGGCTGGATACCGGAGGAACGTCAGTGTCAGTTCAATGTGATGGCGATGTAGATATCGATGTCGATGTCGAGGAATGAAAGAGGAAGAAGAAGAAGAAGAAGAAGAAAGTAAAAGGAGAATAAGAGGAGAAGTTGGTGGAAATGTACTGAGCGCTATGGGTGGGCCGATGATGGGAAAGAGGGGAAGAGGAATAGGGAGGGAAGGAGCGAAGGAGGACAGACCGAGATGGGGACAGAGTTACTCTCCTCTCTCTAGCAGTTGTACTAGAAGTTGAGCATTGACAGAAACTGTAGCGTCTCTCCTCGAATCGATGATAATTTGGTTCAGAGGCATGGAGCACAGCATAGTGCAGTAAATAGAGATGTATCGATCTCGATTACCTTCTTCTTCTTCTTCCTCGCTATTCTTTCTTATTCTCCTTTGTTAGGTCCACCAGTCCTTTCTTCTATCTTCTCACTCTTGAAAGAAGTCTCCTTTCCTTCTTCCAGTCTCCCTTTCGTGAAGGAGAGAGGTGATAGAGATTCTCTCTCTCTCTCTCTCTCTCTCTCTATATATATATATATATATATATATATATATATATATGTGTGTGTGTGTGTGTGTGTGTGTGCGTGTGTGTGCGTGTCTGCGTGTCTGCGTGTGCGTGTATGTGTGTGTTTGTGTATGGTGGTGTGTGTGCGTGTATAAGATATGTGTGTATTCTTTCTATGTATTCTTTCTAGCCCTTTTCTATTTCTTCATCCTGCTCTTCTATCGAGTACATCATTGAATGAATTAAATGATTGCGTACATAATCACTGCCATCGTCCAGCTCTACCACTACCAACTACTACCGGTACTGGCACATTACTACTCATTCAAGACATCATCTTGATAAGACGAATCAGATATGAACTAGTACCGGTAGTATATACATCATCCCTACGTCGTACACCGGTCCGTCGTACAATAATACCCGTCCTCTGTTATTACTCGTACATCGATATCACGATTCGTACAAGTCCCGACTAGGCCCCCACTGGATCACGATACCCCTGGTTCATGTCCCCCTCCTCCCCCCCCCCGGGGGAACCGGAAGGCGACGAGATGAGGTCGTGGCAGTCGCAGCATCAAGGAGTGTGCTGAAGTAGGTGCCTGCGTGTCTTCGGCGCGCTTTGCATTCAGCACATCGGTATCGGCAACGGTTCCTCTACTCTAGGCAGTCGTCGCAGTTGCCAATTGGTGAGCATGGTATTCTGTCCATATCTACAGAATATGTACGCAGTACGGAGTACATGATGCTATTATAGTACAGGTAACCTGTACACAGCTCCGTATCACTGCTAATAGCCTAATACCGCATTATCCGCCCCGGTAACAGCTAATAATACTGTACAGATTACAGATTAGTACATACCAGAAACACGTCGCCGAAAGAGAGAGACGTCCCTCTTCGCGCTTGACAATATCATCTGAGCACACGTAGCTAGACCTTCACCACCTCCCAAGACCCTACGAGTAATATCAGTCTAGTCTGTACACAATCTGTACTCGTACTTGTATTAATGGCTTAGAGTGGAAACGGCTCGTGCTCGCAAGTGGGGAATCCTGACCCAGCTCCGAGGCTCCTTTTCGTGGCTTTCGTTTAGCCTCCTCCCGTTATACTCCATAATACGAGTAGTTGTGATCGTAGCTGTGGCTTCCTCCTGGGTTACGCTCGCCATCTATCTCTCCCCAATTGTTGCCCTAAAACAGACCGCAGGTATGGATGCTGGTGATGCAATAGCAACACACTCTAGTTTCAGTTCTAGCTTCTCCATGTCAGGGTGACTCTATCTCTTCATCAGAGTATCCGCATCAGTAGCTATCGTGCATACCAACTATCTATCATACCGGACTTGTACGCTCATCCATCGACAACTATTATATATGAGTAGGTCTCTCCCCTCTACTCGTAGCTACAAGTCGCCAACTCGCTTCCAGAACGTCTTCACTTTCACTTTCACTTCTGCCAAGCTCTGCGCCCGTACCACCGACAGATATGACACACACACACACACATATCTACCGTCTCGTCGTGAATGACCATGTCTCACCCACCCCTCCCTCCCTCCCGTTCATCCGCCCATTCCGCCCCTCGCTCGAATGCCACGGGGAGGTTTTACCGTCGTCTCATGATGTAACGACGAGACCGACCTAGAAGACGAGACATATTTCCATGTTTCTTCTTTACCGTCAATCCTCACCTCGCTCTCAACACGTGGCCATTGTTCGAATACAGGATATGGTTCCATCTCTGTACTCCATGTTACCTCATCGCGTGCAACAAGCTTTCTTCATACTCGGATCGGATGGGTTGGTCTCATCCTTGCAGTCAGAGACGTACTATTGCCAGTTTCAATGCATTCCATGCAACGCACAGGCATACGAGTATACGAATGTCAGCGTAGATAGAGATACTCACATAATAACAAACGCACGTGCAACCTGTACGAACGCCTTGAGAATCGACACCGATAATTACCTGAACCGGTTTTAATCCGCGTCGCTCTTTTTTTCTACCTTGTGGGCTCGGGCTCAGATATCAGCCGTCTTCCTCTTCACTGTAGGGTTCTCGTTATATATTACTCGTAGGCATCTTGACCCAGTCCTCTATCCCGCGGCATTATAGATCTGGTCTCTTTGCTACAGCCTTGCCGAACCTATCCGTCATTTGGTATATTATCAGTCATAGCAGTACAGCTAATAGGGGTTAGGCTTGCGAAGAATGGATGTTGCATATGCGAAACCTCGCAGGACATCAACATGACCTAGCAAACAAATTCGCTACCCAACATTCATTCGTCTGTTTATCGGAAAAAGTGTACAGGTCCTCCTATAGAACAGGGTGTCAAGAAACGGAACGGTGCTGAAGAAAAGAAGAATAAAGTCATATCCTCATACCTCCGACAACACTCTCCTAGAATTCGTCATCGTCATCCATGCCGCCAACTCTCTTCTCGCCAACCTCACGAATCTTCTCCCCGAGTATACTCCTCCCATACCTCTCCGCCACCTTCCCAGCAGCCTCGTACATGCGGCCCGTGCGATCGCGCATGAGCTGCACCATCTCCAGGGCACGCATCCCTCTCTCCTCGCCCTCGCGGCACTCGACTGCCAGCAGCTGCAGGAGCGTCTTGTCAATCTCCACCTCTAGCCGAGACAGCAGCATGCGGTGAGTGTGCGCGCCTGATGTAGAGTCGACTAGGTCCCGCATCTGGGCCGCCTGGATACCCTTGAGTAGGAAGGCCTGTTCGAGGGGTTTTGTCTCCGAGTTTTCCTGGCCGGACTCATCATTGTCGTTATCGGTATCGTCCTCCTCCGAGTCAGCACCGTCGGCCATGTCGTCGTCCGAGCCGATGTTCCTGCTCTTCTTCTTCTTATTATTCTTCTTCTTGCCCTTCTTGGAGCTGGCGTCCCTGGGAGCCGAAGAGATGGGAACGGAGAAGTCAAATTCGGACAGGAGGGGTCGCGGGAAGTAGGGGTATTGATCACCACCCTTGAGGATGATGCAGTGGAACTTGTTGTCCGCTACTGCCACCGGATAGTACGTCTCGCTCTTGCGCCCGGATGCCAGTCGGGGCAGGAGCTTGGTGTCGAGCAGGGGAACCCAGGATGCCCGGGAGGGTTGACGCCAATGGATGAGCGTCAAAAGCGTACCTGTTGAGTCGTATATGCAGGGGTCCTGTATTTGTCAATACATGTGAGATGTAGGGATGAGTGCGCGGGTGCTAGGGGGGAGAAGGGACATGTGAGAAGGGAGTGCGAGCTTGTGAGGGGGAAGTGACATATGAGAAGGAAGTGCGAGCATGCGAGGATTGAGGGGGGGAAAAGGGCGCTTACACCATTGTCGGAGAAGAAAACGCTCTTCACCGTAGCGCCCTCGGGCAAAGCAACAGTATCCTCATTCTGGCAAATCTCATCCCTCTTGACATTCTCGATGGTATACAAGAGGCGCGTGGACCCATCCGGGCCGACGGCGCCATTGCCCATGGTGAGGACATAGTCCCTGTAGCTAGCGCAGGTGACCATGGGGTTGCTCTTTGGGCGGTAGACGCGGTAGGGCATGCCGAACAGGGTGAAGACGCGGACGTATCCGGCCGTGGTGACGACGGTGACGAACGAGTCGCTGAGGGACATGGCCGTCACGGCCTCCCCGCGGGGCAGCTCGGTGCGCCAGTCCATGCGCTGGGTCCAGGTCTCGTGGGGACGGTAGAAGATTGTGGCCGGGGCGCTGTCGGCGGCGGTGGCGCCCTCCCGGGGGGGGCAGGAGAACAGGGTGCCGTGCTCGTTGAGGCAGGCCTTGTCATAGAGGAAGGTGTCGGTGAAGTGGAAGTCGCGCTGGAAGTCGTGGTCGTAGAACTCGACCGTGACCGTGTGGTGCGAGTCCTGGTCTATGGTCCACACGAAGCCGATGAGGTTCAGGCAGAGATACTTGCGATTCCCCCTCCAGGGCGTCGACCCGGGTTGAAAGGCCTCGTGGTACTGGGACTCGAGGTGACGGCGCTTGCGCGACAGGTCGTCGGCGTCGCCACCGTCCCATCCCCTCTTGTTTGCCCCCCCGGCGGCCCCACCGAGGGTGTATCCGGCGCCGTCGTCATCGACGACGAAGTCGTCGCCTTCATCGTCCTCTGCCCCACCCAGGAAGGATGCGAGACTACCAAGGGACTCCCTCCTCGGGCGTGAGGGCATCTCGCTCGTCTTGTAACCGCCACCATTGGCCTGCGGCGCCTGCGGCCTCCTGTTGTTGCCTGTAATCTCGGAGAGGGGGTCGTGGATGAAGGGGGCGGGCTGGCGGGGCAGCTTAAGCAGCGGGGCGAACTGGTCTGAGAGGAAGTCCGGATAGATGTAGACCTCGCCGTCGGTGGTGGTGAAGGAAACGATGTTCTTGGTGGGGTGCCAGGCCAGGTCGACGACATTAGAGTAGTCGTAGCGAGCAATGACGCTCTGGGTCTTGGTCTCCCAGACGAGCACCTTGCCGTCCTTGCCGGCCGAGGCGAGCATGGCGCCGTTGGGGGACCAAGCGATGGCGGTGATGTCGGAGAGGTGGCCGTTGGGGAAGGAACGTTGCTTCTCCCAGTCGTTCTTGGAGATAACCTGAATGTCGCGGGTCGGGGTGGCGACGGCAAAGGCCCTGCCGTCCGGGTGCCAGACGGCGCGGGTGGACAGGTCCGAGTCGCCGTCGAGAGCGGCGATGACGCCGTCGACCTTGCGGATGAGCTCTGGCTGCTCGGCCGTGAGCGAGTAGACGTACACGATACCGTCGATGCCCGACAGCGTCACCAGCCGGCCCTGCGGGTCGAAGCTGACGTGCCGCGTGGGGCGGTTGTGCTCGCGCAGGTACCGAACCTGCGAGATGTCGGCCGTGTTGACCACCTTGGCCGTCTGCTCGTCGCTAGCGATGGCGCACCAGCGGTAGTCCGAGGACAGCGCCACGTCCCGAGGCGGTAGCGTCGTCCGCGTCAAGAATTTGTCAAACGACGCCGTCTCGATCGAGTACAGGCTCACCGTGCCGTCTTCGGCCCCCACGACAAACATGTCCTTGCCCGCCGCCAGCGCCACATTCTGCTCCTGGCAGTCATCGATGTTTTCCGGCTCACCGTCCGACCCCGTCCTGTACATCCGGATCAGGTTGTTAGATCCGACCGTCACCAGACGGCTGCCGTCGGCCGTGTACCCGCATCGCGTCACGCCCTGCGTGTGGGCTGGCCGAGCCTGTGGTCGTGTCGATATCGTCGAGTCCATGGTGGGTAGGCCAAGCTGCAATTTGAATGAAGGAGGAAAAACTTGGCTCAAGGATGCCGCCACCATGCGATGAGTGGCCTTGTTCTATCGGTGGGCTGGCTGTTTGGTGGGCTTTGACGGTGAGAATGGAGGGATGAATCAACCGTCACGAAACGACGCGTCAAGGAACGCGTCTTGCTTAATGAGTTTTGGGTCCATTAGCGGCAGGCGGTCAAGGCCCTTGGGCCCCCCCCTAGCTACAGCCCGTAGCTCACAATGTACAGTGGACTCTGCACTCGTTAGGCTACCCGTAGATTGCCCCGCGCCCTCTGCGCCAAAGAGACGAATACCCTGTACTGCATTATGATGAAACTGTGCGCATAGAAGTCGCTTAAGTGTGCGATGCTCGATGTTGATACACAGGTATCAAGCGATTGCGATAATACATTTTGAAGCACATATATGGCAATTAACCGCACATACGTTTGTTGTACATCCTGAGCTGTAGTAGCATGGAATGTTCTGGTGCCTGGACATCATATGTGGGGGGGTAGCTTTTTGCCCCTCTAAACATCACTTCAAGAAGCTCTCATAGAGAAAGTCCTGTTCACATCTACATCTACATCTACAACTAGATCCTTACACCTTTAAGATACTTGATTGACCTCGGTACACCACTCGTTACGATGCAGTCAGCTAACGCTGACAACTTCTTCCATAGCGAGTGAGTCTCATCTTATATGCACACACACTCTAAGCATAGCCCTCTGACTCTGGAACCAACAGGGCAGCCCAGGAGAACCAGGCCAGAAAGGCAGCCAAGGCGGACAACAAGAATGGAGACCCCTTGGTTCTCAAGTCCAAGATCCTGGCGGCGATATCAGACCCAGCATCACCGTCTACATCGATATTCATTGCCGAGTCAGCCGGCTTCGTACGTCGCGTGAGCCTCGATGTGAGTGGACGCACACACACGCATGTACCTGTGTCAACTATTACCGTGTCCCCCCCTTTCTCACAGATTTTACACAGCCCTCAGATGCCAAGGTGATGACGACGTACCGCGGCCCAAACGCCCCCGTGACGTGTGTGGCGGTAAGCAGCGACGGCAAGACTCTCTACGCCGGCTCGTGGGACAAGGACATATGGACGTGGGACGTGGCGACGGCGACGGCGGGCCCCAAGCTCAGCGGGCACGACGACTTTGTCAAGACGGTCGTGTGCGCGCGCCTGGGCGGCAAGGACGTCCTGCTAAGCGGCGGCGCAGACAAGAAGATTATCGTGTGGAACGCCCAGACCGGGCGACGGCTGCACACCCTGCAGGACCCGACGACAAGCATGATGGCCGTGCAGCACCTGGCCGTCGACCCCGTACTGAGCACTGAGTCAGAGCTGGTGTTTGCCAGCGCCGGCAGCGACAAGCACATCCGGCGATGGAGGGTGACGAGCGCAGGAGGGTACGAGCAGCTGCCCGAGGCGTTCAGCGACAGGCCGGAGACGGAGCGTCTTACCATCGAGGAGCACGAGACGAGTGTCTACAAGCTCCTGTACGATGTTTCCAGCGCCGAGGACGGCGAGGACGGCGTGGACCTCTGGACGGCCAGCGCTGACGGCACGGCCAAGTGCCTCTCCCGCTCGAGGGGTTTCGTGGCCGACGACGTCTACGAGCACGGCGACTACGTGCGCGGCGTGATCGTCACGGACAACTGGGTCGTCACGGCGGGGCGTAGCGAGGACGTCAAGGTGTGGGATCGGTCGTCTGGAAAGCTGTACTGTACCCTCGAGGGGCATTTCGAGGAGGTGACGGACCTGGTGCTTCTGCCTGCCGGTGCGCACTCCCCCATGCGTGTGTGCAGCGTCGCCATCGATGGTACGATTCGTACCTGGCCGCTTGCCAGGAAGGACCTTGACCGCGTCGTCGAGGACATGCGTGTCGCCGCTACCAAGCCCAAGGATGAGGGTGCGGCGGCTGGCGAGGGCCTGTTGACGGCCGAGGAGGAGGCCGAGCTGGCCGAGCTCATGGATGACTAGACTAGTCGAGGCTACACTGATTAGGGGTAATTGCAGTCATGTGCTCTTCTCACGCCTGGGAGTGTAATAGTAGGTTACAGAGTACGCCATAATGTGGCCAATCTTATAACATCTACTATTCGGGGGCCCCGTTCAACATTCTATCCCCTGGGACATCTGATAGTCTTGTTGACTAGCATGCAGCATCGAAATGACAATGACGTTGAACAAACAATCGAGGCTGACGTTGATCAAAGAGGGACAGGTAGGCATCTCCGTTACCACAACCGCTCAAGTCGTAGGCCGAGGGTCCCGTGTAAAGAGGCCGTCGAACAGATGATCAAACAGGACATGGGAGGGGCCGACGGTATGACCAGGATAGCGGGATCCGACCTAGCCTCTAGGACTCATCCCTAGGTCGTAGAGGCTCCCGTTTTCGTGTACCAGTCTAGATATTTACTCAGTGTACATGTAGTAGCGTACGTCGTATTGCCCGGTGAGCGGGTTTGAGGAGGAAGAATGATATCGCGAGACTGTCAACCTGTAATTCAATAGCATAAGATAACAGGGGGGGTGCCGTTGGTCAGCGCCTCATTCTTGACCCCTTCCTCTATACAGGCATGAACAGACCGAGTATTGATACTACTCTACAACTACGGAGTACAGTCCCGGGGAGGTTAGGCTGAGGCTCGCTTGGACGCCGAAGTTCTGTCTTCCCTTGTCACCGCCCCGTTCGAAGTGAGAAATGACGTATATCACATCGGCAATGGATAATATTTGCAACGACCAGCATGTTGAGACTCTCTGTAACAGACCGGGGGATATTGGTTGAGAATCTCTTCCAGAACGAGGGGGGAAGATGATCGCCCACGAGAATGAATGTACATGTAATATATGCACGTATTCATTCTCTTCCTGTCGTACGAGTATGAAGGACCCCCCTGACGAGTTGTGCTTCGCAAAGCACACGTTCTTCCAGTTGTTCGCCAAGAGATGGTGATCAAATATCATCCTCCCTACCCCTGAGAGTAACCCTTGTACAAGAAAGAGGTCGGAGTTAACAACACGATGGGGATGGTCTGTATTATATGCAGGAATCGTATTTGAAAACAAAGTATATTAAACAAAAAAACTCCCGTAATTACTCGCGCATCACATCACACACTCATGCTTGCTTGCGTGCGTGCATGTCTTGTCCTGACCCTGGAAAATGGGAGTAGGCGCGGATGGTCAAGGCGTCGACTCGAGGCTGGTAGACGACGGTAGGGTAATACTATAAACTATTCCCATCGAGTCTGCTCTTGTTGCTGGCTTTCCTTTTCCTTCTATCCATCAGGAGAGGCGGGAGAGACTGGCACAGACGGGACTCAGCTACACGGCTGACGGAGACCCCCTGCCTGTTACATGGGGTGATATTATTATACTCGTACAAGTATTAATACTCGTATCGTACGTATCACAGAGATTCTTTGCTTCTTGCTTGATAATGCAGATACGAACGGATACACACATCACGGCATATCACATCATAATTTGCACTGCCGCGGCGTATAATGTAGCTGGACTTTGGTACAACTATGCTTTGCCCCCTCTATCCGCCATGTCGGCACGAAATGCATATGAACAGCATGAATCCAATAATACTCACTTGCTTATTACTATCTCCCCTTTTCTGGTTGTTTGGTCTTCCTACCTTGGGAAGGCCATCTTTTGGCGTGATTCGGGCCATTGGCAATCAATATCGCTTTCCTTGCTTTCTAATACTTGGACATCTGCTTTTCGCCAGAGGCGTGTTATGTGCATCTCAGCCTTGTCAGATTTCAATCCCATGAGATAATCATTTTCTATCGACAAGATACTTATTAGCAGTAGTAATACTAGTAATGGCTGATACATATCAAAAGACGTACGTAGCTATATTGTTACATATATATGCATAGCGGGTGATTCTCTTCTTCAACCTTTCGCCTCGGCTTTGCTTTTTCTCTCCTTCGGGCCCCGGAAGTGCATTTGCAGCTACATCTACATCATACCCATACATTAATAATATGGACGATTAATACTGCATTCATCGCAGACTCAGCGTTGATGCTGGTAAGCAAGACCAATATCGTAGTCTGAATGCTGATCAACCCAGTATGCCATCTTCTTTCTCTTCTGCCCCACGGCCTGTTCCCCCCTTCCTTTCTGCCCCACAAGCATCGTCCTCGTCCTCTCCGTCTAGTTTCTCGACTTGAAAAGTAAGCATGAGAGGAGGAGCATGGGTACACCGTAATACTCGTAGTCGGTACGGAGTATTACAGCTACATACTCATATACAGTAGTTTCTATACAAGCGGTTAGACCGCAGCAGACCCCAATTTCCTGACCAGCTCAGCCGCGCGGCGCGGGGAAAGTCTTGGTATACCGGGTAATAGTAATACTAATAGTAGTTAGATGTACGGGAGTATCGCTACCTCAATCAGCAGAAGACGGTATTATTATCACTATTTCCCATCAGCTTTGTCCCCTCTATATGTACATACATGCAGGGCCTCAAAGAAGCTACTAATATTATGGCTGAAATTTGAAAGGTGCAGGCCTTCCGGAGTGTTTTTTTGGGACGGCGTGTATCAGAAGTTGACAGGGGTCATGAAATGACGGGCGTATTGTCCCAATCATTGCCACTTTAGATCCACTTGGTTCAGTTTCCTTCTTCTTCTCTCTCTCTCTCTTCCTTTGAATGATATTATATTATTCAGTCTTTGACTCATTTTCCCCCCCTTTTGCAATGTATGAGTCTATATTACCATGCTCATCCCGGTGCTCTATGCGGAATAGTACGAAATACTAATAAACTCCGTAATACTTGTAATACTATGGGACCATACAGAGCGGGGGAGAAGAGAACAAGAAGAAGAAAGATGAAAGAAAAGAGAGCCCAATGTTGAGCCCTGTCGTAGATACACCGAAGCGGCTCTCCGCATGCATGTACGTACATGTACACGCGCGTGGTCCACCAGCCTGCCTCGACTAATACATGTGCGACGAGGCAGGTAAGTGGGTAATGACTGAGAAAAGGATGTCAAGAATATATATCATTGGGCAACAGAGAACCACGCGTCTTGTCCCACTCCTCCTTCTCCAACCAGACCAGCTGGCCTGTGTCAAAGGACACACAAAGAATCCTGGAAACGCCACTTCGTTGCTTGCACACCTGTTACCCAAGACAAAGGAACGTGCGGGCACCGACAAGCCGTGCAAGCAAGTACGAAGGTCTGTGAGTTTTGTGAGCTACCGGTAGTATCTGTATAAGTACCTGGTCAATGGCCGCGTGCCTCACATTAGACTATCAACGCTAGCTAACGAGAACGCAGTTCACGATAACCGTGAGGGACGGAAGGGGACGTCATGGACGCGTCAAGGGAAGGGAGAAAAGCCCGTGCACGAGAGGGGAAACAGGACATGCCGACGACCTAACTCTTGATGTCGTATGCTCTGTGCTTTTACTACTCCATTGGCTCCATACCCGTACCGGTACGCTATGAACAAACCCCAATGAAGACTTGTATTGATGTCTGTCCCCCACGCCATGAATAGCACTAAGATACTGATGTGCTCGAACTAATATAATAGTACGAGTACAAGTAGTAATAGCACTCCTGAAGAACGGAACGAGAAGAATGGAACTAGTCTGCCATGTCACGAGGCCTTCCGCCCCGCGTACGCACGTTGCCGTTCGTTTCAACTAGATGACGAGGGTGGTAGTCTCTGAACCAATGGCAAAGATGGCGGAGTACAATATCTGGTCTCTATGTAATCGCTCTATATGTGCGCTGTGTGTGTCTTCCTTCCCTTCATTCCTCCCACCCTCCCTCCTCCAGGAGGAGGGGCAAAAGAAGAAGAAGAGAGGGGTAGTAGGAGGAAAGAAAGCAAGACTGCTGTGCAGTTGCGATTGCGGCGCAGACGGGACTCTGAAGTACGATGGAGAGATTTGAGCGACTCTGCATGATATTTGCGTACGCGTATTATATGCAAGCAAGGACCAACGTGGCGTTAAGAACAACAAAGCCGAGATGGCTTCACGGGAGTTAGAGCTGATGTTTCCATGGACGATGCAATTGTACAGAGATTGTAGATACTCGTAAAGACATGAAAGGCAAAGAGAGGGCTCGAGGAGACAGAGAGGAAGAATTGTTGTTGTTGTTGTTGTTGTTGTTGTTGTTGTTGTTGTTGTTGTTTGGGGGGGGGGGGGGGGGGGGAGGCAGACAGTGATACCGTTATACGAGTAATCTGTACGGATTAGTATTATTATACTAACATGTTTGATATGGAACATGTTTGGTATGGCCCCTATGGGCTATAGGACAGCTGTCAGCTGGTCAGCTATGCAGGATCGAGTCCTGACTCCTAGGGGGGAAGGGAGGAAATGTCAAACAAGCAAGCTCCAGCCCCAAGCTACACGAATGTGTAGGTCATGTGTGTGCCGAGATAACATAAATGTACACAACGAAAATATCATGGAAGGATGGAAGGATACATGCAAACTACGAGTACGAGTAGATACACCATCCGTCCTACTCCGCACCCAAGCAGTGTTCCATCATCCTGTGTAGAAGGCGCTCAAGCCAGCCAAACAATACCCTGCCCCCCTCCTCGTTGCATCTCGGGTTACGCAGAAACCGGCTTGATGCCTCTCTTGGGCAGAGGTCGGCGGCGAAGGGACACATGGACGTTGCTGGTCGTTGGTCTCGAGCATTCTCCTTCTTCTCTCGCTTTCTCTCCGTATGTCTGCATCCACGACTCTTCGCATGCATCTGTATGCACCACTGCAACTTGAATACTCCCGTGTGCACTCGTACTTGTATGCAGCAGACCCCTGACCGGATGGGTGATGGGCCGTGTAGAGGGGGGGAGGGTGAGGGCGAATCACGGTTGAGGGCACTTGCAGTTGCCGCCGTCATCTGTTTAGTCGCTCGTCCATCAGGGCGTACATACATGTGTAACAGGTGGACAAGGTAATATCCTCACTTCGTATGGACAGCTCTGCCGTCATTGACGCTGTCGTGAGCTCGAGATGACCAACGACATTGACGGTCCCCAACACACAGCCATCAATGCAACGACAACGACAAACTTGTGTGTGTGTGTGTGTGTGTGTGGAGGAAGCCCGAAGGAGGTTAAAGCAACTCGGGATGATGCTCCGTCGTAAGCAATATGTAGATGCACCCAATGCAGCCCTCGTCTACGTAGCTTTCAAGAGAAAACGTGCTCATAATCGCTGCTCTGAGTGCTACTTCTTTTGTCAATGTGGGCCCCCCATACTACCAAATATACACATATCCCTGTCTTGAGCCCACGCCAAGGGTCAAGAGTGTTGATAATTTGAGTGGACGATGGGGGACCCCTCTTGAATGCTCGATTGTGAGGAGCATTGCAGCGGGACTAGCTTGGGCTCGAATTGGAAAAGAAATCAAAGAAAAATAAATAAGACAGGACGTAATAGAGTGCGAATTCTTTCTCTTCAATCGAATGCGTCCGGGTATAGTTGCACTCTCACGGTCCGGTGTCCAGGCCAGTGCCTAATACTGGTGGACTGTACAGATTGCATGTAGTTAGCTCCCACCTCCTAACCCCTGAAAATAGATGCATCGCCATTATTCTACACGTTGTCTCTGACTCAACTGCTGCTATTGTGAGGGATAAGGTACGATGATGAGAAGACATTTAGAGAGAAGGATAGGCAAAATAGTAATAACACTAGGAGATAAAAAGGAAGAAGTAAAAAGAAAAAGTATGAAAAAAAAAAAAAGGTCAAACAAAGTCGTCTCCCCCACCCCAGCGTGTGGAACCCATCTAGGCTACCCACCTTGCCAGCAAATCAAACGACGCGGGTGCCTTGTTCGGGTGGTGGGAATCTCGACAATTTGATTAGGGCGATGTAGTCCTTTTTTACTGGTAAATTATCATAAAATACCCGTAGCCGTAGGGGAACAACGAAAGAGAGGAGAGCAGTCTATGAGTATCATGCACTCGTACTCGTACAGACCACACAATGTATTAGACTCGTAGTTGCTGGTGATGATGGTGACATGTCGTCATGATGACTTATGTACCTGTGATAAGTATTGCATCACCATCGAAAGAAACAGAAAACAGAGAAAAAGAGGAAGGAACAAGCCAACCCTTGATACTTACGTACTGGTAGAAAAAAGGGGCAGGTACGCTTTGCGCATACATATGTAGTCTGTAATAATTCTCGCACAACTGGGCGTCCGTTGTCGACGTGTATCGTACTGCAAGCCACCAGACAGTACTCCGTACATGTAATATTAATACAACTTGTACATGTATTAATACAACCTTCTCCGGGCACGATTCCCAAAACCCCCCTACCCGTACTACAATCGGTAATCTCGGTACATACATATTATTATGTACACAAAGCTACGGAGCTATAGCACAGATTGTGTACGAATACGGGTACATATACGGAGTACAGTACTGTGCTATCACTAGCTCCGTACCTCGTAGGCTGGCAGATGGCAGGGGTTCTTGTTCGGCCGGTGTCCACTGTGCCCATTGCTTCTTGCCGGCATTACGGTCCTTGTTGGCCCTCTGCGCCGTTCCTTTTCTTCTCACCCGTAATACCGAATCCATAGTCCCATCCGTCATACAGAGTACGGTACTTGCAGCTGTATTACGACTAGGACTCTTGCTGTGCTCTTCCACTCGTTCAGATACTCGCACCGTCTACTGTACTCGTACCTGTACAGGCCCAAGCTCTTGGCTCTTGGCTCTTGGCTCCTGCTCTCTACGAGTATTACCAACCGCCCGTTGCTCCTGCCCCAGCTTGCACCTGCCCCAGCTTGCACCTGCCCCAGCTTGCACTCACACTCACAGACGCGCCTTCCATCTGTAACACGTTTGGGCTCTTGCTCCTTCCTTGTCCGTTCCCAGTCTGCGGATCGATCAACAGGTCCCTCTCCACGGTGTACTTTTCCATCTTTCCCATCTTTCTCTTTACAATACTATCACTCGTACCACTAGTCGGTACTACATCTACTAATCATACGTGTAGTACGGCCAAGTATTGCTTTCTCACCAGCTCTTCCTCCTCTCATACGAGATTGGGCACCGAGTACAGCAGCAGCAATACTGCTAACCATTGCTGTCTTCACTTATATTACTACCACTATTACCTCCACCTCTGCTTTGCTCTTCCTTAATGCTTCTCACGCTAGTGTTCTCGTCCCCATTATCCTCTGGCTCTCTCTCCATTCTCTGTTCTCTATACGAGCGGGGAGTAGTAATACGACTGCTGCTGCCACCATCACTCCTCGTACCATTTTGACTCTCCTTCGTTTCCTTTACTTTCCGAAAACACCAAGCCCTCCTCTGCCAACTCTCTGCTTCATATTGGCTGGCCCTTTTTTACATATCTCTGCTCATTCATTCTTCATTGTCATATTCCTATTCTACTCCTCATCTTCACCATTACTTCTTTTATTTATTAGTGTTTCAGCGAGCCGCCTCTGTTTCTCACCATCCCTCATCGTTTCTCGACCACCCTCGACCACCCTCGACCCTCCTCGACCCCACCAGGAGCATACATACATCTTCCCCTCTCACACGCGCACGCATCTTGTTCCCTTGATTATTACGACAAGAGAGAAATCGCCCTTCGCAAGCTGCGCCCTCTCAATATCGGTCATGTACTGAGACGTCCGCACTGCTTTGCCCAGTCTGCGAGCCTGCCATCTCACAACTCCCCGACGCCCCAGGCATCGCGCCCGCTTCTACAGTGCCACGCGACCCTGCCTGTCCGATTGTTTTCACACACCCCAAACCACAATGTCCGACGCGCGCGCCGATTCGAGCCTCGGGAGCATTGTCGCTTTCGAGGGGCACCCCGAGACCATCTCCACACACTTGCGCTTGCTTCCGACCTCACCACAGATCCTCATCCTACCCAACATTCGATGCTACCTTCCCACCCCGGACCAAGATGGAAAGATCGAGGTCCATGACTTCATTCGGAGAGCGCACGATGCTGTCAAGGCTCGCAATGAGATAGCCCGCTCCTTCTTGCAGTCGGCCACGGCCGCAAACAAGCGCCTCGTCTTCATGGATGGCGGAACCCCTAGCGCCCAATGCCTGTGCATTAGGCACATTATGAAGTACGAGACTGAGGGCGATGACTCCGAGGCTGAGGCTATGTTTAACTTTCTTGTCAAGGATGGCTTAGCGGGGCTCGAGGCGCAATCAAACAAGTGGTACGGAAAGACACCCTCTCTCACGGACAAAGAAAAGGAGGACCCCTCCGAGCCGGCCAACACCCGTGGGCACACAGAGCCCGCATCGCCCAATACACTCCGGAGGCATAGGTCCAGTGTGCCGCTGCAGCGCAGGCTACCCCCTGTTCAGTCCCACGAGGATCCCATCACGAGGGCCATGCGGGCCGCCGAGGCCTTGGACCGCCAAACAGAGAACCTGCAGCCCTCGAACGACCTCGATCTGACCACCGCCTCCCGCCGACGCAGCGTGAGCCTGCCCATGTGCTATGCAGACAACTTTGGCGATAATGCGCCCTTCTACGTCTTTGGTGGCCGCTCTGCAGCGGACGCCAGGATTTCTACAGATGGTTCACTTCAAGATGAGGAACAGTCTGAGCTTACCTCCTCTCTCAGATTCTCCGTCGCCCAACACGAAAATGAGTCAAGCCTAAACCTGCCTCCCCTCACTGCCTTTGGCGAGCGGAACCGCTCGCCCAGCTGCGTCGGGGAGAGTTATTTTCCCACGTTCCTCCACCATGGCTCCATCGATGCTGATGCCCCGTCCATATCCGAGTCGGTCGACTTGCGCTCGTCTGCCGGTGTCGTCTTTGGCGAGGCGTCTCTGGTAGACATGCGACCCGCCAAGAGCCCGATCACGCGCGTGAAGTCGCTAGACAGGATTTACACATCACTCTCTGCGCTTGACGATCTTGAACTTTCTCCAAAGTCCAATGAGCCAGAGTCGGCATCCGTTAGAATCCAATCCTCTCAGATGGTAGCGGATGGCGAGTTTGGTCCCGCAACAACGCGCCTGGACCTCGATGTCAGCCCCCGCACAGTTGTCGTTCAAGAGCAGGGGAGCGGCATCGTAAATCTGGCTCCCGTGCCGGCCATCTATAAGCGCAAAACAAAATCATTCTACGTGGACCGCGGAACCGACGCTGAAGCTGAGGCCAAGAAGCTGCAGGCGCCCTTCCTGCCGGTTCTGCCGATGACAGAGGACCTGGTCGTCCACCTTAGGGAGGAGGTTCCCGACGCTCTCCTGGATAGGATCTTCAACAGCTTCCGCGAAGGAAATTACCCGGTGCTCTCAAGCTCGTCCTCGCCAGACGGCTCCGAAGCCGAGACGGCCAGCGGCCATCTGCCCAGTACACCCGACTCGAATTCGAGCCGGACTACCACCGGTGATGATGACGTATCCCGCTCGCATTCCAACCAAGCTGAGCTTGCCGTGGCATCGCCAGCAATGGACGCCGACGAATATGATCCGTTTGCCTATATGCAGAAGCAGCCGACGCCGCTCAACCCGGCCGCCCTGGCCATGAAGGTCAGGCGCCCACCCACACCTGACAAAACGCCTGCACCCTCAGTCCTGGAAACAAGTGATGGCAAGTTTCACGAGTTCAAGATTGCCAGCGACCAGACGCCCGTTGCTGCCCAGAACTCGCTTCGATCCACCCTCAAAACTTACTTCCCCCCGGAAGCCCACGGCTACCACCAGTTCAGGTTTGCCCTGCTGCCTGAGCTGGAGGGTCTGTGGAAGCCCATCTTTCGCGAGGCCGAGTCCGGCAGCCCCAGGGCCAACGACAGGCGCATGGACCAGATTGTCGCCATTGGCTCCCAGAAGGGCGTCAGAAGGGAGTTCTCCTCTTCCATCACTGGCTTGCTGGATAAGCTCGGTTCCAAGCCCAGTGGCGTGAGCCGCAGTGGCAGGCTGGATTTTAGGTATGTTTTCTTCACCTCCTTCCTCTTTGTATGAAAAGCTCCTTCTCTTTCTGCATCACATCTCGCGCCATGTCCTGTTCGACATCACACTGACCACGAATAGGTATCTCCTGGCCAATGCCATTCAGGCTTTTACGTCGCAGCCACTGGCGAACCAGGCCTCGGATAACCCCTTCAACAACCCACACCTTCTTGCCACCCTCATCGTCCCCCATATGGAGACGTACTTGGCGCTTCACTCCGAGGTTAGGTACCTCTTGCTGGAATACCCGCCCGAGCACCTCTCCACAGTTCTCGCCTTGCAGAGGCTTGTTGGCGTTGACTTGATGAAGGTAGCCCAGATTGTCGACTCTAAGAACACCGACCTCGGCCCCTTTACTCACATAAGGGATGCGTCTGTCAGCAGCGAGGGCAAGTCATCGGAGCGCCCGTTGGGCAGGCCCGCGGGCGTCTCAGCCAACGGTACCTCACTTGACGCCGACGTGTCCAAGGCCAACTTCCTCCTGACATCAGAAGCCAGCGAGACGGGCATCTCTAACTTCATTGCCACGATCGGCGATATCCTCATGAGCGTGTCACAGTTCTACATGCCCGATGAGGTTGTGCGTGTGACTCCCGCAGCATCGCCCGAGCCTAGCAGCAGGGAATCTGATGGTGCTAACAGGGCCACGAGGGCGCCCGTCCTGTCGAGCCGCTTCTCTCACTACGGAAAGCTCAACGGGACCATCACTGCGGCCGCGATTACCGCCTCGGCAGCCGCCTCCCCTGCAGCGAAACCGTCTAGTCGCGTGGCGTCTCCTGCGATGCCCTCGCGATCCGCGTCGATATCCGAGACGGTGCGGACGCAAAGGACTTCACGCACGGCGCGTAGCACCAAGACAATGTCGAGGCACCTGTTGCGTCCGACGACGGCCGACGGCGCCGAGTCCTTCATGACGTTTGACCCTGCCGATGACAGCGACTATGACATGGAGGAGCGCAGGCTCATGCCCATCTTTATGCAGAAGCCGTCCAGGAAGCCCAAGCCTAATACACGCAAGGCGCTAAAGTTCCTTGGGCTAGCATAATTCACTCTTCACATTCTTTATTGATTCTTTGTTTTCCCCTCTTGCCCGCCAATATCTTTTGTCTTCTACATCTGTTTTATCTATACCATTTGCTTTGTTTCGTTTTCTTTACTCAGTTCCTTCCTGGCGAAGTACCATATCTTTCATGCTATGTCATATTTTTCTCTTTCTTGTTTAGCTTGTTGTTAGGGACCGGGGGGTTTTTTTTTATCAAGTTCCGTTTGGTATGAATGTGGGATGTATAAGAAGAAAAAAATCTCAAAAGGGAGAGAAAAAAGGGCCACGAGGCCTAGGCTGTGGGATCATGTTGGGTACGGTGTTTTTCCATAATGTCGGGTTTTCCTTTTTTTTATATAATTTTCTTCCATTTTTAGATGACTGTCCCGGGACGACTGGGTCGCGGTGTCTGGTGATGTTAATGCGAAAAGTTTACACTCTCCCCTTCCCTACTCTGCGGTGCTTTCTATGTCAAGTTTGTCATGTGCATGTTTGTCAGGTGTTACATGGAAACAGAGGTGGAGTAAAGAAGGCAAAAAAAGATTTCTGGATTAATACTGACGTAAACAAGAATCACCGGGTAGAACTTCCCACTTTTCAACTCGGCAAAGCTACAGAATACCGCGCGCGTACTCGTACTAGGTGATACTGCTCCTTGTCCCTGCCACCGCATCTCGTGATCATTCCGTTACGCTTCCTTGTACTTCAACGGAAAACCAGAAAAAAACGAGAGGAAGAGAGAGAAAAAATAACATATCTAGTCATCCCACCTATTCCGGCACTCCCCCACCCTCACTCTCAGTCAACAGACACATGGTAGAGAGGGAGAGCAAGGGAGGGAGTGAGATACCAGAGAGGGTCAATATCGAGGAAAATTCAAGCGAGTTCAATCAAAGATAAAAAGAGTAAGCAAAGATCCAAGTTGAACATGATTCGTTCTATGCGCGGCCACCAAGAAAGATGAGTTAAGAAAACAACGAAGAGTAATAAAAAACAAGGACATCAAGAGAGGTGAGGAGGGTGGGGAAGGATCAGAACGGGGGGAGGGGAAGACAACCAAAGGGGTTTTCGTAATAGGAAAAAGGGAGGAAGAGAGAAACAGCTCCAAACCCTTCTTAGGCTGGTGTCTTTTTTATTTCCCTCGTGGTTCCCTCCCGTGGTGAAAAGAATAAATCCATCATCCGTCCTCTTTCCTCCTTCCGTCTTGGCCAAACCTCCAAAAATTCAACCTGCTACAACCGTGATAAAAGGGAAGAGTATAAAAACGTTCGTCAAAGGCGAGGGGGTTGGGTTTTAAGAAACATGGGGCAAATATTGAAAAAGAGAATGGTGCGTTTAGCAGCAGCTGTTGTTGTTGTTGTTGCCGACGCCCTGGCCCTGGCCGACCTGAACGCTGGGCTTGGTATTGTTGGCTGTTGTGGTGCCCATGCGCTCCTTAATCTGGCGGGCCATGGTCAGGAAGGCCTGCTCGACGTTGCTGGCGTTCTTGGCAGACGTCTCGAGGAAGGGGATGCCCAGGGAGTCGGCGAATTCCTGTAGTGGTCAAGTCAGCATTGTTGTCGGGGGGGAGGGCAGGTATCCAGTCGTGTGATTGGGGGTGTTCCCATGACCGCCGCCAGTCGAGGTAGACGGTCGAGGATGGGGCGCAGGGAGCATACCTTTGCGACGGTGTACTCAACCACCTTCTTGTCCGTCATATCGCTCTTGTTGCCGACGAGCAGCTTGTTAACACCCTCAGTGGCGTAGCGGTCAATCTCCTGGAGCCATTGCTTGACGTTGTTGAACGAGTCCATGTCGGTGACGTCGTAGACAACGCAGATGCCGTGGGCACCACGGTAGTAGGACGAGGTGATGGTACGGAAGCGCTCCTGGCCGGCAGTATCCCACTGTGTGTTGACGTTAGTAGCGGTTCTTCGGATGGCTAAGGGTGGATTTGTCCAGTGACTTACAATCTGAAGCTTTACGGTCTTTCCATCGAGCTCAATGGTGCGGATTTTCTAGAGGCAAGCAAAGTTAGCATATGCAGAAAAGCAAGGGGAAACACAGTACATAAGGGGAGAGCGTACAAAGTCGACACCGATGGTGGAGATGTAGGACTCGGTGTAGGTGTCGTCGGCGAAACGCAGCAGCAGGCAAGACTTTCCAACACCGGAATCACCGATGAGGAGGAGCTTGAAGAGGTAGTCATATCTGCGGCAGTGTTAGACCCGAGACGAGGAGGGGAGAGGGGAGAGATAGTTCGGGAAGGCATCGAGATGATGACGTTAGTCGCCCGGGGGGGTGGGAGGTATCGAGACTCTGTTGAGGATGACTGTCAGCACAAGTCTGTATCAGGGGGAAGACAGGGAGAAAGGGAGAGAGGCATGTGTGTTTAGGCCATCACGAAAGGAGAAGGGCAGAAAGAGACGGAGATAGAAGTAAAATTGGGGGGGGGGGGTCAGGCGCATACCACTCAGGGTTCATGATGGCGACAGGTTGGCAGAGAGGTTGCTAAAGGAGGTCGGAGACAGAAGATGTTGTTTGTTGTTGAAAGTCCAGGCGGGGAGCAGAGAGAGACGGGATGCGGGGCGGACGATGATGGTGATTGAAAGTCGGCGATGGGGAGAGAGATGAGGCCAAGTCGGGTATGTCGATGGAGAAGGATCAAAGAGGGTCGAGAAGTGGATGGTGGGCCGGGGCGGGTAAGTAGCAGCACTCGTAATAACGACAGCGCACCAGTGGCAGGTCAGTAATACTAGCAGTAGTAGCACCAGGCAGGGAGAGATAGGGAGGGACTCAGAGGGTGGAACGAAGTACGGAGAAGGTCAGGCAGGAAAAGGAATAGGGCGTTATTACGAGTACGAGAAAGTACATGCACGTACCTAGACGCTGATTCAGGCGGTGGAGGCCAATATCACGTGATGCAATTTTGGCTGATACATACAGTAAATACAAATAGCCAGCGCCTAGTCAGCGCCTAGCTTGGCAGCACCCAGCGCCCTGGGATTACAGCCTTGTAGTGGACCGGGAGTCCGCGCTTCAGGCACCTGCAGCGAGTCTCAGTCCGGGTACTTTGGGTACCGTAGTGATGGACGGGTCACTTAGTGGACGTCATTCCTCCTGTGACCGCCGTGACCGCCGTGAACCTATGACCACTAGCCAGTGACCACTGTCCATGACCACTGTAACGTCGATGAAGTATCGTATTCAGTGATTACGGTGCTCCCTCCTTTTTTTCCCTTCTAATGTTTTCTATTTCCTAAAAAGAAAAATCGACACTTGTTCTGCTGGTACTTCTACTGCTACTGCTATTACCGCAATCAGTGCTCAGGTATGAATGCATGGACTATTAGCACTGGCCAGTGGTGAATCGTCACGTACACTTGGTGATATCATCGCATTACTTACTGTAGCAGCACCTATAGACTACTCGTACATAAACAGGGACTAACGGTGCACCGGAGTCAGTGACGTCCATCACTGCGAGTCTCTACTGTCAGTCTCTGGGCACCTCTACAGTCTTACTGTACTCAGCACGTGTAATTTCACGGTCATACAAACACAGGACGTAACACTCTTCAAACACGAGCAAATCATCTATACACACAAGAATGAGAGAAAGGAAGAAGAGGAAGAAAAGCGAAGAGAGAAAAGAAACAAAAAAGGGAAACCATATTCCCCCAGAGTCCCCCCAGACCTGACCTAGGCCGGCCCCACCAACCACCGAATGAGGTACCATTCCAATCCTGGTCCTCCCAATTCTCATCTTCGACTTCGACTTCCTTCTCTAACAGCTCGCAACATTTATTCCTGATCTCCGCTGAACTAGCCATAACGCCACCATGGCAGCGCCCATGCGCAATGCCCTCAGAGGCACCACCGCCAACATCTACTCAGCATCATCACCAGCAACACTCCGTCGCCTGACAGTCGGCACTCCAGCGCGAGCGCAGCAACAGGCCGTCATCGCCGACAATCTTGCTGGTCCTCTCCCTCCTCCTCCTCCTCCTCCATCGCAACAACGACAGGAACAGCAGCATTCGACGTCATCAGACCTCGAGATACCACCATCTAAATTGGAGCCCGTCCCTTCCCTGTCATCGTCGTCAAAGGCCTTCTTCGACTCTACCGGTATCCTGTGGGTTGGTGTCGGTAACGGTGACAATCAACCATCGGATCCCAACAAGGCAAAACTAGGCAAGAGTACGACTCCTCCCCTCACCCGAACCAGACCCACCGAAAGATACAGGAAGAAGCAAGAATCTGACAAGTGCAAAACAAAACAGCGCTTCGAATCCTCCAAGAACGACTCCCCACGCTCCTCCAATCCCCCCTCCCGCAAGACATTCTCTCCCCAACCATATCCCTCCACCTCTTCCCCTCGACGCACCCTCACCTGCCCACCGTCTCGGGCCGGGTGGCCTACAACGCGGCACTGTGGACGTCCCCCATCGCGTGGAACCGCGTGCCCATCATCGGCAACGTGAGGCTCGAGATCCTGGCCGAGCGCATGACCACCGAGCCGCTCACCTTCCTGCCACGCAGACCAGGCGCCATGCCCGAGCAGCTCGTCGTGCGGTGGACCGAGAAGTGCAGGGCCCGTCACTCCCCCAGGATAACCACCACCTCTCACCTTGCCACCGTCGGCGGTCGCCTCGGCGGTGGTGTCGACCCCAACGAGGCCTTCACCGGCCTCTTCATCTTCGATTTCGATCGCGAAGGCCGCATCCTCAGCCACACCATCGAGACGGCGCAGGAGGGCGGTGACTGGGAGAAGGGCATGGGCGCCAAGTTTGTCGGTCTGACCGACTGGCTTCTCGGTGGCATCCGAGATCCCGGTAATACGCCAGCCCCTATATTCGAACGCCTTGGGAGGCGGTGATAGTCACCCCGATCCCCGACCATGGTTTCACACGAGCTACTTCACACGAGCTACGAAAAGAAAAGCGACAGAGGGAGAAGAAAAAAACGCAGGCGTTGTTGATTTCGCAAAAACAATATTCTTGTATCATATGTTCTAGTAGCCATGCTAGACACCTGTATCAATTGTTCATGTATCCTTCTTTTGTTTACTGAATAAGGCTTCTGAGCCAGCAGTTGTAATAAATAAACCCCACTTGTATCAAGTAATCCTCCCTCTGCTCCGATCTTGATGCCTTGATCTTGAACTTGATGCATGACGTCCAGAGCATGTAGTATCATCAGGGTCTGGACGGGGGAAGCTCTATGCACCAGTTGTTACAAGAAAAGAAAAGGCTGCCCGTTTCCCACTGCCCTGGCCATGGAAATTGATAAGAGTAAAAAGAGAAAGGGCATTTCACAATATTCTGCCCTCCATGACCGACCCTGTCTCGTTCTTGAATATCAACGGGTGCTTTTCTCTCTCTCCTTTTTTTTTTCAACGAGCCTCTCGCTCCAAAATAATAGGATGGGAAAGAAGAAGAAATTTTTGACAAGATGACCCGCCTACAAGGCCATATCCCCGGGATTCTCACCTTCGAACCCTATCCTCGTCAACTTCGCCAGCCTAGCTTTCTCCCTCGTCCTGTCCTCCGCCTTCTTCTCCTCAGCCAGCCTCTTGACCTCCTTGACATCGGCGCGCTCGTAACCGGGCGGCGCGTCGTCGTCCCGGTCAAGGTCAATCTCCCCCAGGAGAAGGACGTTCTCGCCCCTTACGAGGAACACGCCGTGCGGGATGTCGGCAAAGTACCCAAGGGGTAGACCGTCGCTGGGGTCGGGGTTGGGTCGAGGGACAAATATGCGTTCTGTTGTTGATTGGAGGACGAGGTTTGCTGTGCTTTCGTGTCAGTCCAGTCATTTGATATACCCTTTCCCCGCCATCGTCTGTCAGAGGTATATATATAAGAAAGAAAACCCACCGAACTGATCCCAGCTTCGAAGTACGCCAATCAATTTCCTCCCGTCGCGAAGAGAAAGCATCAGCTTTTCTATTTGGTTCGTGTGTCTTCCAGTCAGTTATCTATCCTCTCTTCGACTATGCCTCCCACCCCCCCACCCCCCCTTCCTTCTTTGCTAGGAAGAGCCACCCACTATCTGTCAGATCAAGCAACTGCGCTGCCGTGGTAAACATTTGCGGGGGGAGCTGCGCCGGCGGACCCCCCGCGTCTAAGCTCGGATTTTCCATTTTCTCCTTCTTTTTCTTCTTGTGTGTGCCTCTTTCGATCCTTCTTTCGATACTTGGTTTCTCGATAACCGTTTCTGTCAAATACGCGCTTCCTTCTCCGCGGCCGTCCCGTCGTCGTCGTGTCGTGCGTGTCGTGTGGGATGACGGACGGATCGCCAAGCGTCCCGTTTACAGAAGAGTACGAAAGTACAGAGGGTACGGGCTTATCGATAATACTGCTATGCACGTGATTTACTATCGCCTTGCCTTTTTCTGTTGTAATACGGAGTACAAGTCTCGAGTATGAGGGGGAGAAGTGGTAGCGTCAGTGACCGGGATGTGGGGCGGTCAATCCCAAGGGACAGGGACCCAGCATGCCAGTACGAAACGATGGAGAAGAGGGGGAGGAAAAAAAAAGGAAAAAAAAAGAAGAAAAAAAGGGCTCTCTGATAGAGGGGCATTTCGAGGCGGGGCATCAACACGACGCAGTCCTTCAACTTTAATTTCACTTGGAGTCCATAGTGTTTCTACTCGTATAAATTCCTGGAATTGTTTACTATTGCGATCATGCTCGTAACTGTTCGTTTCTCAGTCCTTGATTGTTGGATGGCTACGACTACGTTCTGTCCTGTTGAGCATGTGATATCTGACGCCGTCATATCTCGACGCTTGACAGAAACCGGCCATACATGTTCAACTGGACAGATAGATCGCCTACAGCCGACCTTGCAATATCGCATTAGTTCGGGACAAATGCATCAACCCTGTCCTTTTTATTCTTCCTCCCCGGGCTATACCATGGTGTTTGAAAGCCCTTAGTAACAAGTTCATCGAGCAATGTCCCAACCCAAGATTCTTCCGATGCTTCTAGAATAGAAAAAGAAAAGAAGATGAACAAAAACACAATGATGAACCCTCTCTATCAATGTTTGTTGCCGCCTAGTAACGCCTCGTGTAGATGCAAAGGGTATTGTACCCCAGTCAACTTTTGAAGAGTATAGGAAGGGTGAAATGAAGCATTCTGCTTCCAGTGACCGTCCCACCATGTGACCTTCTCCCAGCGCTGTACCTGAAGACGGTAATTAAATCATAGCAGAAACGTTGAGTCTCGAGCCGAAGTCACGCCAGGCGCATAGGCGGGAAAGTCATCTTCCTTTTCTTCTTTTTTTCTTCCCGCTCCTCCTCCTTATTTTGGGCTTCTTGGGAAAAGGGGGGAAGGTAGATTGTTGTGATAGGAGGCAGCCAGAGACGTGGTAGACAAGAGGTGTGGCACAAGGTGGAAAATCACTAGCACCGTCATAGACGGTTGAGTGTAGACCTCTCGAGTGCTTCTTGGAGCTCGGGCCGAGACTCTAGAGCCTGGACGGCCTCGGAGTAGGTAAACCACTTGCGCTCACGCTTATGCCTCTCAGGCCATTCACTGAACTCTTCCAGTACTGTGGCCTGGTAGAAGTAGTATCTGGCCCGTTCCTTGCTGCTCTTGGGAGGACGCTTCTCCTCAATTTCATCGAGGGTGTAGTCGATTTTGATCGTGATGCCACCCTCCTCCCAGGCTTCCCGGGTGGCGGCACCCTCGCATGTCTCATCCGTCTCCCACCCACCCTTGGGAAGGACCCAGCCCTTGCGGCGAGTCGATTGGATCAGGAGGACGTAGTTGAGGTCGGGGGTTACGGGGACGACTCCGGCGACGAGACGTTCGCCAGCTTTGTTGTAACCTGCAATGCAGAAAGAAAGACAGGGCAGAAGAACCAGGTTAGTTTTCCTCTAACGATTTGCCGGGGGTCTCATTGATATTTCTCCAAGCTCGGTTTATTTCTTCCCCTGCCGTGGGTAGATGAGTGTATGAGGTAGGCGTCTTGTACAAGCGCAACAAGAAGAACGAGGCCGAGTGCGCGATGTAGAGACAGGGATATGGAGAACCAGGTAAAGCAATAGGCCAAGGCGCATGTGTCAAAACTCACGTTGATTGCTCCGTCCAGTCCTGGAGGTCATGGAACGACTGCTCGAGCCATTGTCCTTTGACCCAGACATGATAAGGCGGTCAGAGGGGCCAACTGGGCAGTGTCGTGTGCCACCTTTGCAACGTGGAAGACTGCCGGAACCTCGGGGTGTGCCTTTCGTTCTCCTGTCACACAGACAAGTGCTGCCAGCCGGGCGTGATGGATCCGACAGCGCTGGCTCAAGAAGCCGAAGACGGTGTATGGTTGCTTCTGCGGGCGCAGCAAATTTTAGCGGGAGACAAGATCGAGTTTCTTCTCAAAGCCGGAAGGTTGCGACGCGGGGCGGCGGCGTGCTAGGATCGATCAGAGTGCCATAGCGACGAGAAAATTGGGGGGGGGGGAGGGGGAACGTCAAGACCGAATATGGGAGAAGAGGGTGAAATGATGAAAAATAAAAAGTGCAAAGAAGGTTTTCAAGCCAGTCTTTCCTTCCTTCTTTGATTTCTGCTGGGCGACAACAGAAGCCCAGGCGCGCAATGGCAGCCTCACGAGGAGGGGAGAAGAAAAAGAATGGACGGGACGTTTTTCCAGGGTGAGGACCGAGAGGTTTTGCGGCAGCCACAAGCTTTGGCTTCGGGGGCTGCCGGAGGGGAATAGAGAGAGGGACAGGGAGGGGTGCTCCGACTTGTTCACAGAGTAGAAAGGCAAGGGCAGGAGCGGGACCAAATGGCCCTAGAGTCCAAGAGGCGATCGGAGAAAGAGTAATATGGCCGACGAGAGAGAAGGGGGGGCGTGTATTGTAGAGTAGGTATGAGTACTCGTACAGACTATTACCACTCAAGAGTATATGTGCATGTGTGTGCGGGTGTACTTGTCGGTGGAGATGGGAGCAAAGGTGGGAGAGCGATTTGGAATTCTGGGTCCGCGCCGCCCGGCGCAGCGGATACGCTCACAATCTGACAGGGATAAAAGGGTAAAAGAAAAGGAAAGGAGAGGTTATGTGGTCCGTGGATGCCAGATTTGTTGTTAGATCCGTCTTGCTGATTACCTGATGCTATTACCCACGAGTGCTAAGTGAAGGTCTGCTCTGGAGGGTGAGAGCACCTCCAAGCCAACTTTTTTTCTCTAATAAAAAAGTGAGGAAAAAAAGCATATGCACCGTGAACACACTTGGAGGGGTCCTGGGGAGGGGCAAATCGACGTAATACTACCGAATATACGAGTACTAGCAGTCGATAAATAGCTTGGTCATAGTAGTGAAGGTGGGGCGTCACCAGGAGAGAGTCACTATCATACTGCTGCTAATACTCTGTGCTCCGTACTCACGAAGTATCAGCACTCAAACTCAGCACACACTAATAAGAGTTTGGGAGCAAAACGCCGCAGTAACAAGGTACGTCTAATGAGCACTGTAATGGTCAAAACTCTGTTAGCCAAACAAAATAGAAAGGTGTTCACGCGATCAGTTTAACCGCTGCTTGAATCAAGGCTTTGCCTTGCTCGGGCACGAGGAGTACCGGTGTTTGCGGCCACTCGTACGAGTACTCGTACGTCACAATGGTATTCTGCCGTCGGCGAGCACTGGTATTCTGAAATATGGCTAGAGTCGAGAACTGATGCTTTCGAAGGGTGGGGACGGGTGTGTGGCCAGGGTCCAGCCGAGGGGTCGCATGCTCAAGGAAAAGCATCAATATTGTCATTTTTTTGTTCTCTGCTCTCTGTTCACTATTCTGGACGTGGTGCTGGAGCAAGCGATCAGGCCATTCCGCATTGGCCGCATTGTGAGGAAGCATCGAGTCACGAATAGTGACAGCGTCCGAGCAGGCCGGATTGCTACTGATCTTGCAGGGACCAGTACTCTCGTACCCAAGAGACTATGGCGATCTGTGGGTGTTGCTCTGCATTGGGAAGAGGGGGCCAGGAAGCTGCTACTGACCCGTCCGCCCCAATATTCCGTGGCGACGAGCCCGTTCTGTCTGCTCTGCCTGCGCTCCTTGGTGTAGTGATGCCTTGGCCAACACCCACAGCCAGGCTTTTCTTCTTTGCTGCGTAGAGTCCAAGCTCTGGGCTCAACTGTAGCACGTACTAGACGAGACGGGCTGCCATCGCTGCAACTCAGTAGGACCAGTGGTAGGTGGATGCTCGTAGAAGATGCACAGCGTCATGCCAGATGGCCAAAGGAAACTTGTAAAGCAGTAATTTACCGTGGTAATAGTTTGCATATCCATCTCGGAATAGACTGAGTTCAGGGAGGAGGCGCATCCTCGGTGAGATGACTACCACAGACAGTTCTGCTACTATGATAGGAAAGAGAATACAGCGAGTACGTGATGATGCATCGTCTCCAGTGCCTCTCAGACAACCCCGTAGGTGAGATAAGCATCTGAGGAAGGCACATTACGATGCGCCTTCCAAATAACACACGAAACGATAGTCTGTTTTCTACGGATTTTGGCAGGTGGCAAGGCGAGACTAGAGCTTGCCATTCGTGGCTGCTTAGTTGGTCCCGCACAATGATGGCAGATGCAAGCCTGTGACGTCGCCCAGGTCACCTAGCACGACTCTGGTAAGGAAGGAAAGAGCACATGTGAAGACGTTGTTATCGCCCGATACTCCATACCCTAGGCTCCAGGCTCCAGGCTCTCTCCTCTCTACGTCTCGCCGTCATCATCCACGCCACTGTGGATCGTAAGTAGGAACCATCACATCGGAGCTTCAAATTCGCCATGATTGTTGCCTTTCTTGTCCTTGTCCTCGCCATCGCTTATCATCAACGGCGGGGCAACTAATACAGTTATGGCTATTACCACCCACCGCCAGTGAATACTAAGAACTGCCAGTCAACTGCCTAATAAATCCTGCAAATCCCTGTCCTGCCCTGCCCTGCGTCTTACCTGTGCATTGCTTTACTTGTACTTGTTGGGCCACAACCCTCCTACGCGGCTACGCCCAAGGCCTAGAAGCTGGCACCAGCTGGTTCTTAGCGGTCATTTTGTTTTTCATCTTTCTTCATTCCTTTTGCAGCTCTAAACAGTAGATCTTTCTTACCATCCTACCTTGATACTACCGCCTACCATAGCGTACGAGGAAGAGCTCTTTCATCGAGGGCGGCGCCCCGCTTGCTCCCTCACCATCAACTGACTTCAAAAAAAAAAAAAAGACAGCCAAATCCATACAGATCCAAAACTCTCCACTGCATACTGACTACCGCCTCTTTCGTTACCGTCTGGCTCGCCTTGGTCCCTCATACCTCCAACCCTTTCTCATTCTTACTCCGCCGTCCAGCCCCAAGCCTCTGGGGTTCTCCCTTGACCGCAAAAGACGTGCAAAAGGAGGATATAGAGCTCAGTCAGAAAGCCAAAAGAAGACATCAGTCCTACCATGGATCCCCACGGCACACAACAGATTGTTGGCTCCGTTGCCGACTACGAATATATTTCCCCGATAGGTAAGCCGGTTTCTCCAACTTGTTTTCATGATACTCGCAAATCCAGACTATCAAAACACAATGTCCCATCGGCCCAGGTCATTTCCTGAGCCACCCCCCCCCCCCCCCCCCCTCTCGGCCAACAAGGCCAACACAACACCTTTCTAGACCAAGCCCACCTCGCTGCCCCTCCTCTTCTCTAGGACTCTTTCCCTCTCTTTGAAACTTGTTGTACCCCTCCCCTCCCCTCCCTCCTCTTCGAATTCCCCACCACACACTTTCTCCGGTCTCTGCCTCTCGCACGTGTCTTGGAGATATCCTGCCGTTGGCTGAAGTTCCATCATTCGACTGTCCTACACCACATCTTGTTAGGACACTCGTTTTATATCTCTTCATCTTTTTTACTCGCAATCCTTCCCTGTCTGTCCCACCGTAATCCCTACCTCATTTCAAACTAGTTTACCACCTCCTACACACCCACCTATCATGACAGCAGGAATACATACCACTGTCGAAACCACATACTCCTACATACTTCCACACAAAACATCCCTGGGATGTACGGATCGGTCCATCAAGCGGGCTGTCCATGTAGATGGGAACCCGTGACGATGCTGTGTCATTATATCCATCCATCAAAGCCTCTGCCACTAAAACTACTTTCGTCTCAGAGTGTGGGATGCTTGCACAGCCCCGGGGGACATGCCCACGTTGGCTGATCATGGCATATCTATGCCTTTTCTTCTGTCATGCTTCCTGCCATATTGCCTGCCGACGCGACTATCGTAGAATGGATACCTGATGCTGACCATTCCCCTTTCCCAGGTTATTCGAATTCATCTAAATGTGGCTACTGCGGTGCTCGAGGGAACAGTCAGTCAAAACGTATATTACCTCTGACACAGCATCTCTCTCCCTCTTTCTCCCCACCCCTGCCCTGCTCATTCCCCCCTTTGACCCTGTTTAATTCATATACGGGGCGGAGTTGACGGAAAAGAGCGTCATCCTCTTTCGTCGCCTCGCACAAGACGTCCTGCGATCTTCATCACACATGATTGTCAGCCGATACGTGCTGCCATTTCTTTTCGACGTAAGACTAACAGCTCGCCGCGTATGGGGGTCCAGGCTTTTCGTATTACGCGAGTGCAACCTCTCTGAGTCCCAAGTTCTATCAGCAGCTACTCGACCGTTGCTGGAGGCGCTCGGGCAAGCTTCTCTACCGGCCGGACCAGAGGAGGTCATGCTGCCCCCACTACACGATCCGGCTTGATTCATACGAGTTCAAGCCTTCGAGGACGCAGCGTCAGACGGCCAACCGCTTCAACAAGTTTGTCATCGGACAAGACTACGCTAGCGAGGCTGCGCGCCTCCATCCCAGGACCAAGGAAGAGTCGAGGAAGCGCAATAATGACTTTGTCCTTTCCGAACGCATCCACGAGGCCGAATACTCGAATCTAAAGACTCCTCCCGAGCCCGCCCATAAACTAGTCATTACGCTCGAGGAGGACAACTTTACCGAAGAAAAGTTCCAGGTCTACGACAACTACCAAGCTCGAGTCCACCATGAGGCACCCGAGGATAGGTCTCGGCGGTCCTTTAGTCGCTTCCTCTGTAGCTCCCCCCTGAGGCGCCAGACCATGATCGGACCGGATGGCAAGCAGCGTCGTCTTGGCTCGTACCACCAGTGCTACCGCCTCGACGGTAAGCTAGCTGCCGTTGGAGTCCTCGACCTACTCCCCGATTGTGTAAGCTCTGTCTACTTCTTCTACGACGAGAGCATCCATGCATACATGCCGGGAAAGCTCGGGGCTCTGCACGAGATCTCGCTGGCGTACGAGGACGGCTACCGTTGGTGGTACCCAGGCTTCTACATCCACAACTGCCCCAAGATGAGGTACAAGATTGACTATGCCCCGCAGTACATCCTGGACCCAGAGACCTTGCACTGGGACCCCTTGGACCAAGCTGTTCTCAACCTCCTGGATGAAAAGCCCTTCGTCAGCCTATACATCGAGAGGCATAAGACGCTGGCCAATGAAGCAGCGGGAGGGCACCCCTCAACTAGCAAGACTGCCAAATTGAACGGTTCGGGCGACGAGGTCTCGACGGATGGACAGTCTGTACCCCCTGATAGCAGCAACACTAAGGGAGACAACAAGGAAGACGAAGACGGCGACGACGACGACGATCACTCGCTTTTCCGCTCCAAGATGCCCGGGCTCCCTTCTATGAGCTACATGCAGAGCCTTGATCTCAACCACATTGCCCTGAAGAGAATGAGGACCGGTCCGTTGTACGAGACTTCGAACCTCGTGGGCTGGGACTCGAGCTCCATTAGCAAGTGGCCGAGTATCAAGGCTGGTGTGGCTGAGTTGGTTGCTGCTCTGGGGACTGACTGTGTGGATGTTCTGTGTCTTGACTTGACCCGTGGAGGAGACTGAGGCTGGGTATGATATGTTGCTAGAATCGATGTAATCAGCGCATTGGCTCATCTGCGATTTTTTTGGATGTTAGTTGATAAATGTGCGGTCTCATAATGACATGAGTATGAGTGATGGTCGTGATGGTGATATGTTACAGATATTCTGACACGACAGCGCTATAACATTAAATGCTGAGTAGAACTCTGGAGCCATTTTTCTCTGCCAAGACGTACAGCTCTAAATGATAAATGCCGTATCGCCGGAAAGAGAGAGAGAGAGAGAAAGAGCAGCGTAGACGCTGAAAGGTTGTGAAGACCGAGATGCAGGGTATTTTTTTCTCCTGTGTTCTCCGGCATATTTCTGAGCTCGGAGTGCCCCACGCAATGGACCCCACATTGAATTGAGACTTGCCAGAAATCTGCAAACCTCACATCGCCAGTGCAAGCATCTACCGTCAACATTTTGAAACGAAGAATCCACGAGCGTCGACACTCATACATGCCCCAAAAGATACAGCTGTCGCGTAATCTTACCCGAAAACTCCGATCGAAAGCTCCCCGAGGGGGCAAGACCAAATCAAGGGGACTCTTGCAAAGAATGACTCAAGGCCGAGAAAGCAAATAATAGAAGAACAGAAAAAGAAGAAGAGAAAAAACCGTCACAATGTCACAACAAACCCTCCTCTCCCCAGCAGAGTTATCCTACCTCCACTCCTCCCTCTCTCTACAGCCCCCGATCCGACCTGATGGGCGATCATCAACGCAGTTCCGCCCCCTGACGGCCGAGACGGGTATCCTCCCGGGTACAAACGGTAGCGCGAGGGTGTGCTTCTCGGACGGGACCGAAGCGATTGTCGGAGTCAAAGCGGAGATTGAGCGCACCACGCAGGTGGCTGCTGCTGGGGAGGATTATAAGGAGAAGGAAGGCCAAGGAGAGAAGAGCAACGGACCCCGGAGCAACTGGGTGGAAATGGCAATTGAGATTCCTGGGCTGAGAGACGACGATGCCGGGACGGTGTTTCTCGGCGAAATGCTGAGGGAGGCGCTGCTTGGTGATGGGGAGTTTGGCAGACGGCTCGAGATCAATTCGAGGTTCCACTGGCGTTTATACCTTGACGTGAGTTTTCGTCCCTCTTGTTCTCGCTCCGATCGTGGGTGTCCTGCCCGACAAAAAAAAGACTGGTACAGAAAGGAAGATGAAAGATAGGAAGCTAACTGGGAGATTAAAAAAAAAAACAGATCCTCCTCATCTCCCCACCCCTCTCATACCCCCTACCCCTCCTCTCCCTAACAACACATCTCGCCCTCCTCGCGACACGACTCCCCCGCCTCAAGTCCGAGGGTGACGAGGATCCCATGTTCGACGACGACTGGGAGTCCTCGGTGTTCCTGTGCTCGCGTGACGGGGTGTCGCGCCCGCCCATCACGCTTCTCGTGATTGCCGTACGAGACAATATAATATTCGACCCGTCGGCCGAGGAGTTGGCTGTTGCCGAGTCTGCTCTTGCCGTTTCTGTCGCCGAGGTTGCCAAGCCCGAGCATAGGCAGCAGAGCGACATGGACGTGGATAGCAGCATCAGCAGCAGCAGCAGGAGACAGCTTCGTCTTGTGTCGATCAGGATGATTGACCCTCCCTCCAGGTTGACACCGCCGGGCGTGCCCAACGCTACGAACACGGCTACTACGGGGGGGGCTCAGCAGGGCCAGAGCTGCATAGAGGGAGTGTGGAAGGCGCCGCTCGGTGGGACCAAGTTCGCCGTCATGGACGGGATAATACAAGCTGTTCTGGAGAAGGGTGGTGTGGCGGATGAGGTGCTAGATGGACTGGAAGGGGTTGAGCTGTCGTGATGTGTGGAGACAAGTACATGATATAAAAAAAAAGAGGATATCCATGAGCCTTTGAAGTTGAATCATTTTACAGTAGTTTTAATATGCGTCTCTATATGATACATGAGGGCGGGGCCTTGAGAGTAATAGCAGTACATCTTAGAAGATGCCCAAAATCTTGTTGCGCTTCTTGGGCTCCTCCTTGGGCTCCTCCTTGGTTGAGAAGGACTCTGGCACTTGTCGACCCAGCACCTCGGCCTCGACCTGCTCCACTGTCTTGCCGTCGTCACCCTTTCCAAAGACCATGGTGACGGGATCTTTTGTCTCAATGCCGTGGACTTTCATGTAGTACCTCCTCTTGGCGACATCGTTCTGCTGCGCGAGGCGGTGCTCGTAGGCCTTGATGCCCTTGTCCTGTTCGTGCAGGATGATGACCTTTTTCCACGCGGCGAGGAACTCGAGCGGGTGGCTCCACAGGCTCGATATTGGGGGTAAGAGGTCCTTGAAGGGCGAATTGGAGGCGTAGTTCATGAAAAAGGTGAAGATGCTAAGGGAGAAGAGGGTGCCCTGTGTGTGCGTCAGAAACGATTCGGTTTCCCCTGTTTCGTTCTTTCTTTCTTTCCATTCGTCATACCATTGTTATGCAGACGTGTAGGAGACGGCTGTGCCAGAAGAAATGCTGCCACGTGCCTTCTGGCGCCATAAGACCGGGATAGTTTCGTTGCTTTTGAGCTGCCAGCTCCTCCGGCGACAGCTCAGCGGCGTAGTGTCGAGGTATGGTCTTGCGCTTGAGACGCGACCCGTGAGACGGGGGGTTGAACCTTGTCGGCTTCTCGAGGACGATCGGTCTGCTTTCACCGCCGCCGCTGCTGCTCGAAGCAAATCGGAGGGCTAGGAGCTGCTTGCGTCCTCGTCCGTGCTGGGGAGTCGTCGCCAGGCCACGGACAGCTGCCCCCCGCCACAGAGAAGTCTGTAGGGGGAGGAGGAAGCGGGGAATGACGATCTGAGTGGCCATCTCGTGTGTGGTTGGTACAATCTTTTGGGAATTGGTCTGGGCGAATAGTCATGGGATGGCGGGTCAAACACCACGCATCATGGCCAGCATTATCGACATCATCAATAATTCATCGTCACGCGTGGCCGAATGCTTTGCGTATTGTGACTGTCGGGGTTGGCTGATACATTACATAATCCGACGGTCGAGCGGATGAGTAATACCGACCTTTCACCGACGAGGCCCCGGAATCAGCCAGTCTGGCGAGCGGGAGCAATCCGAATTCTCCCGTGGCTAACGGGGCAAAAAGTTTTCTGTAATGCTCGGCACCTGATTGGCCAAGAGGCGCGGTTCAGCCACCTTGTGGCTGTGGACAAAGGGGAGTTTGAGCCTCGACCCATGCGGTCATGATTTTCCTTATTTTGCTCGGGTTCGTTCGCTTTTTTCCCTCCCTATTTCTTTCCTTCCTTCCTCTCCTTCCAACACACACTTCTTTTCTCTTCCCAACCAAAACAATCAATTATCCTAATATATCCAAAAAGGACTTCTCTTTCCTTTTTTGGATCTCCTTCCGCTTCAAGCACACCTTTAATTCTTTTTTCAATACCTCTCTCTCTCACAAACCCCCGACACAATGGCTGGTAAGTTGTCCTTGCTGACATCCCTGCCCGGTGACCACCTTACGCGCGCCACAACATTCTTTCTCCCTCCCCCCGAGCTTGATGAGAGCCGACATTCTTGATATCCCTCGAGAGCACCGTCTGTGGCCTTGCGCAAATCGGCCGGTGCGGATTTCCTTCCCCCATTCACGACGTATGCAATTGGCGATGACCCTGCGGCCAAGTTCCATTGGCTGGGGGGTGGCCTGCGTGATTTTCGATTCGTAAACATGTCCGTTTCGAAACTTGTCAATCACGGCATCGTCGGGGCATGCTCAGTACACTCAAGTCAAATGCACCTAAGACACAAGCTATTCAGCTCTCTCAATGCTCGAAAAGGGGAGGACGGAAAAAAACGAAAGACAATTGCGCCTTTTCGCAAGACAGCCTCAACCTCTTGAGAAGACGAATCCTGTTGCTGACCAAAACATCAAACGATAGGCGGCGACGTTAAGAAGGGTGCCAACCTCTTCAAGACCCGCTGTGCTCAGTGCCACACCCTCGAGAAGGGCGGCCCTCACAAGATTGGCCCCAACCTGTACGGCCTCTTCGGCCGCAAGACAGGTTCCGCCGAGGGCTACGCCTACACCGACGCCAACAAGCAGGCCGGCATCACCTGGGACGACGACACCCTCTTCGCCTACCTCGAGAACCCCAAGAAGTACCTCCCCGGTACCAAGATGGCTTTCGGTGGTCTCAAGAAGGCTAAGGACAGGACGGACCTGATTGCGTATGTCTACCTCTTTGTTTTTTTCCGCTCTTCCCCTTTCTTTGTCATCTGTTCAACCTCACTTCTGCATCCTCTTGCTGACCCAATTCCTGTTGCAGCCACCTCAAGAGCGCTACCAAATAAACGCTCATCGCGGCTTTTCTTGTAACGATTATATTACTCATGTCACAACCAAGACTCCACCACACCACCACCACCACCACCACTTAAAAAATGTTTTCGATAGACGGGGGGATTATGGGCGAATTCTTCACTGTACTTTTATAGACGACGGTTTATTGTTTTTATGACTTTCGCCGTGCCCTTGTAATACATTTTCTACACCACTCACATTTGTCTTAATGATACCAATTGTTTCCACACTTATTTCTCTGCCTCATTCGCGGCATATGCGTCGTACGCCGCGAAAGAGTAGGAAAAAAATGACGACTCTCCATAAAAGATAATGCAATGGCATCATGCAATTTGATTGGCCAGTCACATCAGCCTTCGTCTTCAGTATGAGGCGAGAGCAGCAATGGAAGACATCATAGACGTAGAAACTCCCACAGGATCCAAACATTTTTTTTTGCTTTTTCTCTTTCTTTTTGCTCCTCTCTTCCTATATGACCATATCGCTCGTAGTACGATGTGATCGAATTCCCCCCCTTCTGCCCGCCTGACCGCTCACAAATGAGTAAAGACCACAATACTATTGGCGACGCCGGGTTTGGTGGGCGGTCTATGGAAATTCTGGGCCCATCGGGGGCAACCAGAGAGAGAAGCCCTTTTGTCATTTCACGCATCAACTACGGAGTGTTTCATTTATTGCTACTACGTATTGCGGCTCCCGTACTCGTCGTATTCCGTATTTACTAGTAGCGAGGTGGGCCACCAAAGCACAGACGAAAAACCCCTCAGAGGTCAGGTCACAGGAGGTGAAAGGGATGCCGGTTATTATAAAATATTAGTCAGTATGTAGACTGCATGAAGAATCTCTTGATACTAATCATACAAATGATTTTCCTCACAAACACTCAAAAAAAAAAAAAACGTCTCAGTGCTCATAGCGCCGAGGATGCGACATCCCCAATCGTTCTCTTTGGGGATGTTCGTCCCCCACTGACTAGTAGAGGAGGGCCTCTGCCACGCTTGTAATAAGAGCTCTACTAGTATTTCATGTATTATGAATGATAACCTCAAGAGCAACCGTAACAGCCACATACTACCAAAAAAAATAGTTTAGATGTGCGTATACCAGTACGTGAGGACCATGACGGCTGCATCCACTGTAAGAGAGCAGGTGCAAGACTCTATACGAGGATCACTTGTTCTCACCTTCTATACCGTTCTTGTGGCGGGCTCCTGTATAGCAGCGTGGCAGAAGTGTCCCCCTGCCTCCTCTGCTACTTCTATTTCTCCTTGTCGTTTTCATTGCTCCTGAGATGGCTCTCTGTCTGGCCATCGTTGTCTGCAGGTGTCGTGTCGGGTCTCAGGACTGTCAGGTCACATAGAGATTGAGGTCAGCAAAGTCCTTTGCAATGGTTGTAAATACTGCTGCTGCTAGAACTTCTACTTCTTGCTCTGTCTACGCCCCTTTCCCTTTTCGTTCCTCATCTCAGCTTCCAGCTCCCTATATGAGGCCGGGTCATCGACACTGCAGTACGTAGTGGCCAGTGCATCGTCCCAGTCATGGTCGTCCACCTCGGCAACAGTCTTTTTGCCTTCCATCCACCTGTTCAACCCGATCTGTATCGCTTTGATACGAAGACCGTCTAGGTCAGCACCGCTGAAGTCTTTGCATCGTGGATCTCTCGCAACACGTTCTAAACGGGAAATCTCGTCCGAGGAGGAATTGGGACGCGAGTTGAGGAAAAGCGTCTTCAAGATATCGACGCGCTCATCTTCGGTGGGGAGATCGAGGAAGAGGCGGACGCTGAGGCGACCCGGTCGCATCATGGCGGGGTCAATCATGTCAGGACGGTTGGTGGTACCAATGACGTAGACGCCCGACCTGTCTCGTACACCATCCAGTTCGGCCAAAAGGGCGTTCACGACGCGGACGCCGGCATCAGACGACGTACCGGTGCGTCGGGGTACCAGAGAGTCCATTTCGTCGAAAAAGAGGATGCAGGGCGCTGAGGAGCGTGCACGCTGGAACAGCTCCCGCACGCCCCGCTCCGACTCACCGACGTACTTGTTGAGGAGTTCTGGTCCACTGATGAGGATAAAGCTGGCCTGGGCATCGTTGGCCACAGCCTGTGCCACCAACGTCTTTCCGCAACCTGGGGGACCCCATAGTATGACGCCGGAAGGGCGGTTGAGACCCCAGCCTGCATAAATATCGGGTGTCTTTATGGGTCCAATAATCGAAGTGTTAAGCTGTTTGCGCACTTCGGCCAGACCACCCACCTGCTTCCAGCTGACCTTGGGTATCTCAGTGAAACCCTCGTTTCTCAGCAGTGGTACGTAATCCTTCATGGCTTCTTGTATGTGCTCGAATGTCAGGATAGCGTTCTTGTCGGTACCAGGCCTCTCCATGTCCTGGTTGTCCCCATCACCTTTGGCTGCTCGCCTTTGTTGCACGGCCCAGATCCTTGGTGCCACCTGGGCCCTGCCAATGAGAGCCTTTATATCCATACCGACGTAACCGTGCGTCATCTTAGCAAGTTCTGCAAAGTCTATGTCGGTAGATATATTCATGCCCTCAGTGAGAACCCTGAAGATGTCTTCCCGGGCTGCCAGGCCAGGAACATCGACGTTGATTATATTGTTGAAGCAGCCACTATACAGTGTTTCGATGTGAACGTTGGCCAGATTGGTCGTCGTTCCAACCACAAGCACACCTATGTGTGGTGGAAGTTGGTCCAACATTTTCTGCCTTTCTTTCTCAAAGTAGCGGATGACCTTCAAGTGATCGGCATGGTGCGCTGTGTCTTTCGATGCACCCATGCAGTCGTGTGCATTTTCAATGAAGATGATGCAAGGGGCGAGCCGCATAGCCTCATCCATGGCTTCCATGACTGACTTCTCCATACGTTCAGAATCTTGTAGACAATCGGCCATCGACACAATGGGGACCTGAAGCTTGGCAGCCACTGACCGCACCAAAGATCTCTTTCCCACACCCATGGGGCCTGAAAGAAGAATTCCCTGATCTCGATTCCATCCCGGGTCCTGAGGAACCAAACTGATGGACATGAGGTCGAAAAGCCTCTCATAAGTCTCCTTGATACCACCCAATCGCACTTCTGAGATAGTAGGACGGCTGACCTCATGACCATTTGGCTTGGCGGTTTTCTTCTTCTTGGACACCTTCTCAATTGTTGCCGAGATATTGTTTGTGGTAGTTTCCGTCTTTTCGATTGTTGTGTGTGCGTTCGGTGCACCGTTACCGTTGGTGGTAGCTGAGTCTGGCGGGAGTTCGTTACTGCTAGCAGTAGTGTCTGGGGGTCCATCGTGGTCGCTCCTTCCCTCCCCGTCGCCTTCTATGCGTCGCTTTTTTGGTTGCCGCCCGCCCGAGTCGAGAGGTATCGTGGATGGCTCTTTCCTTTCGGTATGCCAGTGTTTCGTCATCTGTCGGTTGAGAAGAAAGCGCTCGTCCTCGGTCTTTTTGGGAAGCATCCGAGCCTCAGCTTCTTCGATAGCGGCGTCGGAATCATCCGAGTCTCGTAGTTCCTCTTTGCGAAATTCGAGAACGCGGTAAATCGAGTCCTCGAGAGGTTTCTTCTTTTGTCGTCGCAAGTGCGAATTTGAGGACTGGATGGCGTCGTACACCTTGCCGATTGTGTTGAAGCTGCCCTCATCCGCACCTTCTAATTTTTTTAGGACAGCGTAGACATCGCGGTCCAGACCTTGTCTCAGAGTTGGTCCTGCCATGGTGCGGCCTTTTCTTTGTTTTCTCGAGAGCAAGAACCTACTATAAGTCGCTGTACTATGTTGACACACTTGCCTTGGCCGAGATTTCCCTATCCCACGGCGGAGAGGAGGGTACTAAAATCCACGGCGGAACATGATCGGAGGTGAGAAAAAAAAAAGCCAGAGGTAGAGCACCACTTTGGTAGAGCGTCATACTGGAGGGGCCCACGTGGGTGCTTATCGATACTTAGCCTCTGAGCGATGACGGAACAAGGTCAACACTTGTACCCACCGACCGAGTAGCAGAAGTCTACGAAGCCCCCCCCCCCCCCCGTCATACTCTCTTTCTACAACATCTAATACCAGAAGACTACGATAGCGGCTTGCAGCGAGAAAACCGGCGGGATTTGATCCCGCGCAGACCACCATGGGCGCCAATTCGAGCAAGGTCACGGCTCAGGACAAGTAGGATGAACCCCTCCCCCAGCCCCCCCTCTCGGACTGTTGATACCGACGACCCTTATGTGCTTGACCTGGAGAAAGATGCAAGGCGCTGATTACCGACGACAACAATCCGTAACAGAGCCATCCTCGACATGAAGACGCAACGCGACAAGCTACACCAGTACCAGAAGCGCATCACGATGTTAACGGACAAGGAGACGGAGATTGCGCGACAGATGCTGGCCAAAGGCGACAAGCGACGGGCGCTGCTGGCGCTGCGACGGAAGAAGTTTCAGGAGTCGTTGCTGGCCAAGACGGACGCACAACTCGAACAGCTCGAGAAGTTGACGTCTAATGTCGAGTTTGCCCTGATACAGAAGGATGTCGTCTACGGGCTGCAACAGGGTACAAGCGTGCTCAAGGAGATACACGCCGAGATGGGCGGCATTGAGCATGTCGAGAAGTTGATGGGCGATACGGCTGATGCTATTGCATACCAAAAGGTAAACGCGTCGCAAAGTATATGGAAAATAGGAGGAAAGAGGACATTTCTTCTCTCTATCTCCTCGTCACAATTTCCAGCTCCTCCCCCCTTGTCTCACACAGCACACATGCTGACACCACCACAGGAAGTCAGCGAGATGCTTGGTGGACGCATATCCAGCCAGGATGAGGACGATGTCGAAGACGAGCTCGAGGCCCTGGAGAGGGAGATGGCACCGGCCAAGAAGGAGACACAACTGCCAACGGTCCCGAACGCCAACCTGCCCCTACCGGGGCGACCGCAGCAAGAGCAGCAACAACAATCCGCGCGCGAGGACAGCGAGCAAGCCATATTGGCGGCTTGAAACTTGAAATCATGCTCCCAGGATAATACCGCGACCATGTTTGTTTTTCATGAACTGTTTATAGATTTATTTTACGATACATTAGGCATTCAGAACGCATGTACACATTATATACACATGTGGGTTAGCAAGGGGGAATGGCGTCGTCTTGGGAACTACTATATATTCGTTTGATTTCTCTTCTTTTCTATTACTTGGCTCTTTCCGTATCTCTCCCTATCCACACCGTCTCACTGTCCTCTATCGCCGTATCTCGCTAGAAGTTTCCTCATGATGGACATGGCACCACTACGGTACCCGCCACCAAAGATGGCAAAATGGTTCAAGTGATGGTATCTGCCAAGACGCACACACACAAGTCGTCAGCCTCTTTTGGCTCAGGCGGTATAAGAATGAGGTTCACTCACAGTTCATATAACAGCACGCGATCAGCCCACTCGTCCTTCGGTTCGGCCTTGGGGACCAGTTTTTCATACTCGCTCCAGAAGCTTCTTCCAAACCCGCCAAACATATTCATGATGCCCAGCTCGTACTCGGAGTGACCGTACACGGCTGACGGATCAAACACGACCTCCTCGCGCCCGCCCACACCACCTACGATCCCCCTCCCGTGGTTCCCATTCCACAGGTCCCCATGGATAATGACGGGCTTCATACCCTTCACGCGGCCGTGGCCGATGAGTCGCGGGACGACTTCGGACGCCGTCCTCTCCACCACACGACCGAACTCGTCGTCCGTGCCGTGGTTCCTCATGGCAGCACGGCTAGCGCTGAGCAGGCGATTCTCAGCGTAAAAGTCCGCCCACGACTCGGTGAACGAGTTGTCCTGCGGCGTCTCCCCGCAGCACGTGGTCACGGGAAAGCCGTACATGGGCTTGTCGTAGCCCTCCGGTATGGGCGCCGGTGTGGTGTGCAGCCTTGCTAGCTTAGAAGCCAGAGACTCACCCGAGCCCGAGTCCGAGCCGTCGGATGCCGAGGGACCGGACATGTCGATGAAGTCGGTGGCGAGAAAGTGCTCGCCGCGCGAAGATGTCATGGGCCCGTGGGCATACGATTTGGGGCACAACGTAGGCACGGCGTCATGGATGGCATTCAGAGAGGCGTGCTCCCCGCGAAACATGACTTCTGCACGCACACCACTGCCAGTCTTGACGAAGTAGCTTGACGGGCGTGAGCTGTCGGATGGCGTTGTGCTGATTCGGAAAGAGGATGCGAAGCCCGAGCCGCCGTGGAGGGAGATCTTGGTGCGGGAGGGATCCAAGCCCAGGGCTGAGATGATGGCGGGGTCTACGGACATGATGGTGTTTCTGGAGGTGTATTGTTGTCGTTGTAATTTTTATAGAGTTGTACGCATCATGGATGCGACATTACTTCATGGACATGACATTGAATACTGTTCAATGCCAAGATTGAGATTTTAGAAAAAAAATTGTAAGAGTTGATGTGACGGTGACTATCAACATGCATGTGACGTCAACCAAGTGACACTTTGACACATGGAACTTTCATGAACTCACTCACTCACTCACTTTATGGATGATTCATTTCAAAGGTGGCGTTTGGACTATATTTCAAGAGGGGGAGGGCGGGTATCTATATGCGAAAGATGTAATAAGAAACAAGACGAAAAAAAAAACGAAAAAGTATGTCCAACAATTAATTCTCTGTTCATCCACGATCATGCTAAAAGAGTGACCAAAAAAAGCTCAAGATGTGATAGCAGCGAGCGGGCTTAGTTTCCGAACGGAACCCAAGGACCCACAACTCCGGGATCAACCCGAGATTCCGGAACAGAGAAGCCCGACAGGGGAGGAGGAGAATATTATGGAAGGAGGAATTGAGAAGTCGTCGAGTAGATAGGAAAATAATTATGACAATCTTGTTTCCATCGGGGGAGTGATGTAGTGTCGATGTGTTGTAAAGACGTGTGTATCCCGGTCATAGTTTGATGATGAGGCGCATCGTGTTTCTCTGCTTTTTTTTTTTTTTTTTTTTTGCTCGCGTGCTCTTTCACTTAACATTTATTGTTCTCGATGTGCTTGACCGTGGTACCGGAGGTTCGGATGGAAGCTGCGTCGCTTCCAGAGTAGATGCTGCTGTTGCTGCTGGACGTGGCATTGGTAGTCTGGTACCAGGCGGCGGGCATCTGGACGCCAGGGTTGTAGAAGCAGTCACCGCAAGGGCAAGCCGACACTCCAGTTGGAGGAGGAGCAGGAGTGCAGTGACGGCGGAACCAGTTGGGGCGGTCTGAAGGCATTTTGGGCGTTTGTTGTTGTTGTTGTTGTTGTTGTTGTGTCTGTCGTCTTGTTCGTTCCTTTCTTTCTTTTTCGGTTGTTGATTGATATCGGAAAACTCTTGGCTTTCGTGAATGGATATATGTGTATGCTTTGAATGGATCAAGAAGTAGGGGGAAGATGAAAACAGCGATGAGAGACAGGTCAAGCTCAACTTATATACAGACCTGGCCTCCTGAGATGAATCAAACACGGGGGGACCGTGTGTGTGTGTGTGTTGCCGTGGGCCGCAATATCCGTCAGACCCGTCCCGGCGCGATGGTGGCATATTGTTGTTTTGTGCAAGGCAGGGCGAGGAGAGGAAAGGATTAATAATTATGGAGATGCAAAGGACGGAAACTAGATGGTTCTACTGGGAGACACGAATTCTTACGAGTGGTCGAGGGACTGATACTCCGTCTTGAATTCTTCCCGCGCCCAGTTATTACCGGGGCTATCCATACTTATACAGCCTCGTCACTCTCATGATTCTCGACGACCATCCATTGTCAACTCTTATGGGGGGGGGAAGGAGAAGAAAAGACACCGTCTACAAAGCCCTGTCGTCTCTTTGAAACAAGCTTCTTTTCATCTCCTTCTTCTTTCTCCGTCCCCCAGTATTGGTGGATATATATCCACGGGGAGGGCCTCTCGAACAGACGAATGGTGGAAGCCACGCGTCTGCTCCTTCTCTTCTTTTCGTCTTTCTTCCTTGTCCCTTTCTAGAACGAAAACTGGATTTCTTTCTTCCAGAAGTCGGAGAGATGCTGAGATGTGATGTGGCAAAGACACTAGTACCTTGAAAGACTTGTGTGTCCCGTAGTTGTTGCCGCGCAAAGCCGCAGCACCCGCCAGACGGACCAATACAAGGTCGAGATTAAGGCCTGTATTGCCGGCTGCATTGCCGACGACCCAGCGAGATATGTCCGCAGTTGAGGTTGTGGGTCATTTGGCTTTCCTGGCTTGTACCGTGATACCAGCGCGTCATGTCCTGTAATAATATTACTTTGCTTATTGTCTGTCTGTTCCAGATCCATCATTCCTTCCATTGGATCAGAATCGTTACGGTCATTGACGCGGCCCGCAATAACCGGTCTCGCCGTTTCCCGCGGCCGCCCTCCTCCGCCGTCGCCGCAGTCTCCGTCCCGGATTCCGGTCTAATAAGTCATACAGTTACTGCATCCACAGTCAAAGCACCTTCCTGTTTCTTATTTTCCCGTCCTGTGAGTATAGTTGCAATGGGGGGAAAAAAAGACACATTTAATTTCTTTTCATTTTCTTGTCATGATGCTAGCTAATAGACAGCCATGTCTAGGAGCCGCCACAGCACGATAAGAACACACCACGCACCGAGTCTAAGTACAGAAATTTGAGAGAGGGGACAAGGGGATGCAAAAAGACAGATGAAAAAAACACAAGGGTCTAATAATAGCCAGTTATCCATCATGGCCCTCCCTCCCCGCCGTTGGTCCTAATCTGTAGAGGACGTAAAAACAAATATTACATGTTGTCGGTTCATATCTACCGTTGTACTTAGATGCCCAGGCTGAACTCGACGCCAACGTCAATGTCACGAGCTACAGGACAAAATCAGTTACTGAAACCTAGAGTTTGGAAGGAATGAAAGTATCATGCAGAGTATCGTGGGAGTGGAGAGGGATGGGTCAGGGACCGGGGCGTACGCAGTGTGATGGGGATGGAGAGGGGGGATGGGAAGACATACCGAGCTTGACCATCTTGGACAGCTGGACAGCCTTCTCAGAGGCGCTCTGGAGGTCATCGATGGAGAAGATCTTCATGCCCGACTCGTTGATGAGCCTGTGGGCCTCGTCGACGTTGGTGCCCTGGAGACGAGCAATGATGGGGATCTTGAGGTTGAGGGCCTCGGCGGTCTGGATGAGACCCATGGCAATGTGGTCGCAGCGGACGATGCCGCCGAAGATGTTGACAAAGATGGCGGAGACCTTGGGGTCCGAGGTGATGAGCTCGAAGGCCTCCTTGATGGCGGCGGGAGTGGCACCACCGCCAACGTCGAGGAAGTTGGCGGGCTGGCCACCGTTCAGCTTGATGATATCCATGGTGGCCATGGCCAGGCCGGCACCGTTGACGAGGCAGCCAATGTCACCGTCGAGCTTGATGAAGTTGAGACCCGACTCGGCGGCGCGGACCTCGTCGGCGTCCTCCTGGGACGTGTCGCGCAGGGAGAAGATCTCCTTCTGGCGGAAGTCGGCGTTGTCGTCGAAGCCGAGCTTGGCGTCCATGCAGAGGACCTGGTGGTCAGACGTCTCGGACAGGGGGTTGATCTCAATCTGCGTAGCGTCCTTCTCGAGGAAGATCTTGTAGAGGCGCTGGATGGTGTCCTTGGCGTCCTCGATGCACTGCTCCGAGAAGCCGAGCTTAGTGGAGATTTCGCGAGCCATCTCGTCGGTGACACCGGTGTTGATGTCGATGTAGGTGGTGTTGATGGCATCGGGGTTCTCCTTGGCCACCGTCTCAATGTCCATGCCGCCCTGCGACGAGGAGACGATGACGGGGCGCTGGGTGGCACGGTCCATCAGGATGGCAAGGTAGAACTCGCGGCGTGCGAACTTGCGCTCGCAAATGTAGACGCTGTTGCACAGACGGCCGCCAGCACCCGTCTGCTTGGTGATGAGCTTGTGGCCAATCATCTGCTCGGCGAACATCTCGGCCTCGGTGGGCGAGTAGATGACGCGGACACCACCCTTAAGGCCGTTGTCGAACGAACCCTTTCCACGGCCACCGGCCAGGACTTGGGCCTTGATCACGAGGTCCTCGTTGCCGATCTCCTGAGCGACCTTCCTGGCCTCGGCGGCGGACTTGGCTACAGCACCCTTGGGGACACCGACTCCATACTGTTCTCACACAAGCTCGTCAGCCATTGAATTGGGCTCCGTGATATTCGATATTCGAGTTATATATATTATATGTGTAGAAAAATATCCTGGGTCTGATTGCTTCTTTACCTGTCTCATGAGGTCGTGCGAGAGGTACTCGTGGATGCTGAGGAAACGCTTCTGCTGAGCAGCGCCGGGAAAGCGGGCAGCAGGGGCGAGCTAGAATTATGAGAGAAGCATTGTCAGAAACATGTCCGATATTTTATATGGTCGATAGAAACATCATTCCATGGGGGGGGGAGGGGGAGGGGGACTCAAGTAGGGGGAAAAAACAGCTCGAATTAAAGAAAAAAGAAAGGGAAATTTTCAGGGAAGAGGACTGCACTTATTTACCTTGGTGGCGTTGAACGCCGTCGCCAACGAGCGGCTGGAGCCAAACTTGAACATTATGACTGTGTGAAGAGGCTCGTCACTAGGAACGAGCTTGAATAGAAAGAGGGTATGAGGAGGGGAGAGGGAACGGTGAAGTTCAAGATGGTAGTAAAGAAGGGGTAATGGTTGTATAGAGAAAGACGCGCAAAATGACGAAGGTTAGTTACGGAGTACCGACACGAAGCTATCAGCAGCTGACCCACCCGACGAATCACGAGCCATTACACGCTCCTTGAACCAGCACGGGCCCATCATCGGCTTCCGAGATTCGCCGGTGCCGGGTTGTGGTACTCCTACGAGGGCTCTTACGGTAAATTGTTATTCCGTCGTCCATCGGAGATGTCGCATATCTTTCTCCTTCTTCCTCGGCAACCCAAAAAGGCGCTTGTCATCATCTGTCCGTCCAACCGATCTTACAAGGCGAAGAGGGGCAATGGAGCTCTCGAAAACGACCTCTGGTCCGAGAAGGCCTGCATGAGACCTCCCCTCGTCTACGATGGCATCGGTCAAAAAAGGGGTCCCTCTCTCTCCCTCTGTCGTCTGTCTCATCGCATCTCCCTGACATGAAAGAATTATGTGGGCTACCCCCCCTGGCTGATGGCCCCACTGCCAGTTCATTTTGATCCTCTGGATGAGGCTCTTTCTTCTCTCCTGTTACCCACCGCTATTAATACCACCGAGTCCTATCCGACACCGGCACCGAGATATTTATCAGATAAACTACCGTCCGGGAGGATATTGGATGGTGGAGCAGGATTGTGTCCGTTTTGAACCGTGAAACACGCAACTTGTCCCGTTGAGATGCAGCCGTTGACGTCGTTTTGATCTCAGAGCTGGTCTGGGTATTGAATGTCATTTAGGCGGTCCTGTCTGATGATGTAAAACGGGTCCGTATAGTAAGTATCACGGCGATGCATCTACGAGTACGGAGTACATTGCCGTAGTCTGTACGTCTTTCACTCCCACCGGTGCTGGCAACCATATGACAACTTGGCGGCCAGGTGACGATGACTTTGGCTGAATGCCATTACCGGCATCGCCACAATTGTAGGATATAGTAGCTTGTTGTCTACGTGATGTGCTGGGCGATTCTGCTGAGCATCGGATGGTTGCCGTCTTATATTCAGCATGCATCCTGTGTAGTTGGTGCTCGCAACATCACCTTGGTATTAGCGGCCAATAACCCCCTCAAGCATATATTGGTCACCTCGGCTCAACTCAGACACGCACACACACACATGCAGACCCCGCATAGGCTTTACCCCGTGGGGAAAGCTGTCTCGTGGGAGCAGTATGCTCCTCTTGGGAAGATGTAAGGTTTTGATGCTTCTCCATCTCTCCTCCTCGGCAATCTGATAGTCGGGTCTACTCAGGTGACTTGAATCCTGTACTCTGTATATCCGGCATCCATCATCTCGATACGCAACCGCTCATTCCTAAGTCAACATCTTCCTGTGTGCACCCGTTCGAGGCCATTTTCTCGCCACTGGCCATGACACGGACAGAGAATCTCGCCCGATGGGCCGCAGCTCTCCGCTACCATGACCTACCCGTCGAGGTCGTTGAGCGCACAAAGGACTTTTTCCTAGACTGGCTGGGCTGTGCCACTGCTGGGCGCAACCACGAAGCCGTGAGCGCAATGGCACGATTTTCAAGGCAGATGGGACCCTCCAGTGGGAAGAGTGAGCTTGTTGATGGATCTGGGAAACCTACGACGACAAGTCCCGTCTTCGCCAGCATGGTTAACGGGGCCTCGTCCCATGTCGTCGAGCAGGATGATTTGCACAACCGAAGTATCATGCACCCGGTATGCGCCAACAGCCACAGAGGACAGTTGATGGTGGTTCTAACCATGTCTTGTCCCTTCTACCATAGGCAACTGTCATATACCCTGCTGCGCTGGCCGTGGCCCAGGACATTGGAGCTGATGGCAAGGCCTTGATCACAGCTTGTGTCGTGGGTTACGAGGTTGGCTGCCGTGCTGGTGAGTACCTTGGTAAGAGTCACTACGAGGTGAGTAGGCAGACCTGTCAAGATTCGAGGAAGGTGGTAGTCAGCAGTAACGTCCCGGTGTCAGAAATTCCACACGACGGCAACAGGCGGCGTCTTGGGTGTAGCAGCCGCCACAGCTCACCTCTTGGGCCTCGACGCCGACGGGATGCTGTCGGCCATGGGGACGGCAGGCACACAGGCAGCTGGACTGTGGCAGTTCTTGGTCGACGCCACCCACTCCAAGCAGGTACACACGGCCAAGGCATGTTTCGATGGCATCTTTTCAGCATACTCTGCGCGTGACGGGCTCCTGGGTCCGCGTGACATTCTCGAGGGCCCTCGTGCCATGGGGGCGGCCCTAGTTCCGGGCGGGCAGACGACTCCCGAGGCAATCGATCGTCATCTAGGCGAGGAGTTCGCCATTCTGCGCTCCAGCTTCAAGTGGCACGCATCCTGCAGGCACACCCACCCGAGCGTAGACGCGCTGCTCAATCTCATGCACTCCCACAACGTCTCGTTTGATGAGATTGAGTCGGTCGTCGCGCGCACATACAGCGCCGCCTTTGGCGTTCTCGGGCTAAGCGGGCGCGGCGGCACGGTCCACCAGAGTAAGTTCAACATGGGGTTTGTGCTCGCCGTTGCCGCCAGGAATGGCCAGGCCATGATCACAGACTTCACCGAGGAGGCCCTGTGTGACCCGGCACTGCGGGCTTTTCAGGACCGCGTGACCATGGAGCTTGATGGCTTCATCGACAGCCAGTTTCCCGAGAAGTGGCAGGGCACCGTGGTTGTGACTTGCAAGTCTGGTGCTGTCTACATCGAGTCTGTTGAGTTTGCCAAGGGTGATCCGGAGTCTCCGTTGACTAGGTGAGATATCGGTCCTTGCCCGTTCTACCGACAACCATGGATGAAGGAGCCTAGAAGCGCTGCTGACTACCCGAATCCTCTCCCTCCTCCTCCTGTTAGACCCGAGCTCGAGACCAAGATGCATGCCTTGGCTAGGTATGGGGGCGTCACGGACACTGCCAAAGTAGACGTGACGATGCGGAGGGCATTCGACCTGGAGAATGAGGGGAACCTTGCAGGGTTCTGGTTTTGAAGTGTAATAGTATCCGCAACATGACATTGAATAATAACGATGCAAGTACTGCAATAACGTGCTTGTGCTTATACGAGAACGAGAGTGTATTCGTCCTACAGGCTACGAATGATTACATTTGTGGGGTAAACTGGGGTAATGTCGTAGAATACTACGAAGTACTCGTCTGTGATCCGTGTATCGTTCAAGACGTCTACCCTACCAATCTTATAATGTCAGTATCAGGACGAAGACTAACAGACGTCCTGGAGACGGAGGCGGGTACTCATTCATGCATACGGAAGCCCTGCTGGGAATGGAGAGTGAGGACACCGAAGAGCCATACTAGCTGACGATTCGAGTATGTATCACAACACGTAGATGAGCTTAGCAGGCGTCTCGCCAAGGTGAAAGAAAATGAGGGTTTGGCTGCCCCGGGCCACAAGGAGGATGATCATGCACAATTCGAATTTTCCTGCTAGCTGTATCTGTACATGTACTGATACTGAGTAGCTTTGCTAATATTGCTTTGTACATGTACGAGCAGTAGTTATATTAGCTGCGTTATCTGTACCAATACTTGGCAGTGCATCATAATTCCCTCCTTCAATTCTGTCCCTTACTCGTACAAGTTTACGTCCAACGGCTTCAATTAGTCAACCATTTGCAATTCCATTATATTTTATCCCGTAACAGAGAGTTCATATGCGTGTTATTACGAAAGACCGCGCAGCTTATCTCGAGTGCTCCACCACACAAAGACGCACGCGCCATGGTGAGAATCATGTAGGCCTCCGTCGAACCAATGGTTGAGGCTCACAAGATGGATGATGCCGCGCTCCACGCAGACTTCGAGAAGGTCTCGAAGTGGGGCAAGATCTTGGCAGAAAGCCTCGACATGGACTAAGGATCTCGTAGAACGCGCGTGGCGTTTCGGGCGCTCGGCGAGGGGGGGGGGAGGAGGGATGCAGTGTGCGCCCCAGTTCTGCGAGATGGGTAATTGGGAACTGATGGCTGGCTTCCTCCAAAGCACAAGAGACGGACCGGGCAGTTGCAAAGAGAAAGGGAACGAGAGGGAGGGGCGGTGGCTGTGCCTTGGCAGCGGTGAATCCATCGAATCGCTGAACAGGCGATAGCCTTGGCGCAATCCCCAAGGACGGACGGGGCGTATCTTGGGACGGCACCTCTCTACACGTATAATTGATTGAAATGCCGTTTGCCGGACGTCGTTGCTGAGAACTGTCACAAGGCCCTTCAGAGTCTCGTGAGAAGCCGTGGTCGATCACGGCTACTCCGTACGTACAACGCACAACTTCCGACGGACAGCAAGAAACGCTTACGATGCAGCTACCAGCAGGGGCCGTCAGGGCCGTCAGCAGCTAAACGGCTCGACTCGGTCGCCCGTGCCTCGTCTCGGCAAGATACGGGAACGCATCCTTTGCTGTCTAGGCCAATCAACAACTAGTTATCTGTCCTCCTCCTCACGTCTCGGCAGCGTGTCCAGCTTGAACAAGCTTATTGAGTACCTAAACCTAGATTGCTCGCCAAGTCCGAAACACTGCCCATCCGCTCCTCTTTTGTCCAGAGTCTCACTACGCCGTGGGCACAGACCAGCATCGGAGGGTACGAGTCTGAGATGACGAGTACCCCGACTGCTGGTACTCGTAGACTCCACATGCTGCTCCGTACTGAGCAGAGTCGTACCATGATTGTTACCCAAGTCCCCTTCCCCGTTTCCCTGCGGGGGAGACACGCACGCCATACTACCTCCGGGCATTGTCACTTGTGACATTACGAGTTTGCCTTACATAGGCTGGTTCGTTGGTGGGACGGCACCTTATCTTCAGGGAATCCGCGCCGCCTTTAATAATAAGAATACTACTCATACTGAACTACTTGTATTGTTGGTCGTCGCGCTCGTACCCTGGTACTTGACTAGCAGTACCCGTACGAGTACATGACTTATATTCTTTGTCGTTGAAGGATAAGGGTGTTGCCAAGACGCGAAAGATAAGAAGCAAGACGGAAGACAACCAGATGTAGTAATGCACGTATGATTGCGACTAGACAATATTGAGAGAGAGAAGAGGAAGAAAAAAAAAAGATGCGCCTTCCCTCCATTACTTTTATTTCCTCCTCCTCCTCCTCCTTCCCGTTCTTCCAAATTACCCCTCTCTGCTCTCCTCTCCTCTCCTCTCCTCTCCTCCTCCTCCTCTTCTTCTTCTTCTCCTTCTCCTCCTTCTTCTTCAGCTCTCCCTTGGTTGTATTCAGTGTGCTCTCTTCTCCACCATCCTCGTTCCTTTTCGTCGCCGTTAAAGGCGCGTGCGCCTGCAAATTCTTGGATATCAGCGCTTGCAAATACGCGAATACAACATGTCAGGATTCATCCAGTCGGCCTCGTCCAGCACTCTACCCTCGACCGGGCAGAGGGACGTAGAGAAGTTTCATGCCGGTGCGAATACGGGCACTACAGATCCCGATGTCGACCACATCCACGGCCTTGAGACGTCGCAGGAGACGTCCCTGCACCGTGGTCTCAAGGCGCGACACATTTCCATGATTGCCATTGGTGGCGCTCTTGGAACTGGTCTGATTATCGGAACCGGCGCCGCTCTCGCTACCGCCGGTCCTGGCTCTCTCTTCATCTCGTACGCTTTCATCGGATGCGTCGTCTTCCTCGTCATGGCCGCCCTCGGTGAGATGGCTTCCTGGATGCCTCTCAGCGCTGGGTTCACCGGCTACGCCACGCGATACTGCCACCCTGCCCTCGGCTTCACCCTGGGATGGACGTACTGGTTCAAGTACATCATCGTCACACCAAACCAGCTCACGGCTGCGGCCCTCGTCATCCAGGAGTGGGTGGACCCCGACGACGTCAACCCCGGAGTCTTCATCGCCATCTTCCTCGTCCTCATCCTGTGCATCAACTACTTTGGCGGCATCAAGTTCTTTGGCGAGTTCGAGTTCTGGCTCTCGTCCATCAAGGTCGTTGTCATCATCGGCATCATCTTCTTCTGCATCATCATGGCTGCTGGCGGCGGTCCGGGCCCTGCTACCGGCTTCAAGTACTGGCGCAACCCCGGAGCCTTTGCCCCCTACTCTGGCGTCGAGCCCGACTCCGTGGCCAAGTTTGTCGGCTTCTGGTCCGTCATGGTCAACGCCACATTCGCCTATCTGGGAACCGAGCTCGTCGGTGTCACGGCCGGGGAGGCCCAGAACCCCCGCCGCAGCATCCCCAAGGCCATCCGTCTCACCTTTTACCGTATCCTCTTCTTCTACGTCCTCAGCGTCTTCCTCGTCGGCATGCTCGTGCCTTACAACTCGGAGGAGCTGTCATTTGCCAACACGCAGACTACGGGTGCCAGTGCCTCGCCCTTTGTCGTCGCCGCGCGCGTCGCCGGCGTCCAGGTCCTGCCCCACATCATCAACGCGTGTATCCTCATCTTTGTCTTCTCCGCCTCCAACTCGGATCTCTACATCGCCAGCCGCACTCTGTACGGGCTTGCCAGTGACGGCTCCGCACCGGCCATCTTCAAGCGCACCGATAGCCGCGGCGTCCCCTGGCCGGCTCTGTTCTTCAGCTCCCTCTTCTGCCTGCTGGCTTTCATGAACGTGACCGACGACTCCAAGGATGTCTTCAAGTACTTTGTCAACCTGACCACCATCTTTGGTCTCCTGACCTGGATCTCCATCCTCATCACCCACATCCACTTCGTCAAGGCCCGCCGCGTCCAGGACGTGCCCGACAGTGCGCTGGCCTACCGCGCACCCTTCGGCATCTGGGGCAGCTACATTGCTCTCTTCTTCTGCTGCCTCATCTCCCTCACCAAGAACTTTACCGTCTTCATCGACGACGGCGATTCCTTTGACTACGCCACCTTCATCACGGGCTACCTCGGTATCCCGCTCTACCTCATTCTCATCTTTGGTCACATCATCTTCATGAAGAGCCGTGCCATCCCCTCAGCCCGCGTGGACCTGTTCACCGGTAAGGATATCATCGACCGCGAGGAGGAGGACTTCATCCAGAAGGAGAAGGAGCAGGCTGTCAACGCCACTGGCTGGGCCAAGTTCTACAACAGATATGTTTCGTGGCTCTTCTGAGTGGCCATCCATTCAGGCGTCAACAATCACCTGTTTATATTCTTCCCATCCCCATCTATACCCACGGCGGAATTTTTTGTCTTGCAGTCGCCGTTTTCGGAGGGAGGGAAGGAGGCTCGTAGTGATTGATATCATGAGTCTGTTACATGGATTACGAGTGTAGGATAGCGGTCAGCGATTTTCTGTTTAATGAATTTGATATATCTTACTGTATGGTCTCTCATGAAGAATGTCCCATTGCACGGTATAGTCTCTATATGGACTACCCCATAAAGTCGTGAGACAAGCTTACAAGAGACAGAAAGATGACCTCACAGTCGACTTACACTCACGCAAGTCAAACCCGCCGGGGATCCCCAGAACAGCACAACACCACCTCGAGAGAACGAGAGGCGATACTATCTCATCACCAGCATCTGGATGACAGACTCGTGCTGCGTATCTATCATTCTTAAACTCGGCACGTTATCGATGAAAGCCATGCTCTCGACCACGTCGGCATGCTCCTACCGCTGTCGCCGGTCGTGTATCGCCGTCGCGGATGATTACCCTATACACGAACCATCGAAACCCAACCAAACCCAACCAAGACGGCTGGAGATGAGAATACTGTAAATTCGCTGCAAGGCCTACCGAGACTCGAGTCACAGATCCAACAAACAATTTTTCTTTGATAACCGGACTTGAACGAAAATTCACCATGACGAAGCTCATGATCACGCGGGATCCTCTCTCCTTCTCTCTCCAATGTATGATTGTTGAGCGCCGTCGTCGCGGAAGATTACCCTGAACTTGGAATTTTCTAGAAGTCAAGTGTGACATGTCTGAGTAGAACTTTTTTTTTTTTTTTTACTTTTTTTTTTTTAAAAAAAAAAAAACGGAACATGTAGAAGTCTGAAGGAAGTATTATAAGGCGTTTCCTGTTTCCTTGATACCCTGCCAGATAATAAAAAAAAGACAGGATAGGAGAGAAAGAGATTTCTTTCCTTTGCCCTCTGGGGATTCCAGTTATATGTGTTGAAAATGAGAGGATTATTGACTCCATGACAATCGATTCTTGTATTTACCACGTCTACACGAACCTGTTTCAGCATAGCTATAAGCATGCTGTACGATGGTGAAATGTAGATGATATTGATATCTAGGTGATTTATAGAGAAGACATGTTAATCGATACCAATTACATCCTTTATCATACCGTAAATTAGAACTCCAGGGTGTATCCGGGTAGTCCGTACTCCATATAGTACTACATCGGACGATATGAGGCACACATATCATATTACGGAGTAATAACGATACAAGTAGGCATGCCCTCAGCACACCGCCCTCGCATGCCGCATTCCGTACAGGAATTCCCAGCAGACAGGACTGGGTCGACTGGACTGGGTCTCGGGGTAGTTGGGGGAGCCCATTGCGGCATTACACGCTCGTACGAGTACATCATGTAGTCGTAATACTCCATATTACATGTCATGATTATCAAACGGGAAAAAAAGGCGCGAGGAAAGAAAAAACGAGAGCATAGACTAAAGACTGAAATTATCCACAACCATTGGTATAGCTAAGCCAATATACGTGGACTGGCACCCGTACACATGTGGGGAGTGACGGAGCCTTTAGTCTATACCTCTACAGACTACGACTAGACTTGATCTTGGCATCCAACGACCAGGGTAGAAGAGCAGAGGGGGGAGTTGGGGGGAGGGAAACGGCGTCTAAGTTCGGTATTATGGGCAGTCCGACCGAGAGAGGTCATTCATCTGACGAATGCGGCGGCATCTATTGTTCTCACATGCGTAGTTCCACGGCTTGTAAATAAGAGCATAGGCCGACCATATATCATCACCTCGTGAAACGTTGGACCAGGTTAGCAGCTGAGAAATGGGTGTCGGCAAAGATCGAGGACTGCCAGCCTGGTTCCCTTGAACTCTGACAGCTAAAACGGCTGCGAGGACGAGTAATATAAGGACGGGCAGTCAACGGCACGGATTGACCGAACTGTTGTATGTATTCTCCGTGTCTGCGATGTCCTCGGTGAGGACACTATCTATGATGGATGGTACGGGTAATGATGATAAATGATAGCCGTAATCATACCTGTAGGATCCCAGACCCCACAGCCATTCTTGTGTGGAGGGAGAGGTTGTTGTAATCTGTACAGGTAGGCCGCTCATGCCATGGTCCCTGGCCAACTTCGTAATAACTCGTCTCGACAATCCGTCCATGTCGACAACAAGACGAGGTGACAGGGGTACAAATATGGGTAACTCTCTTGGCCCCAGGCAGTTGCTCTGGTCGGTCGGCCTGCTCCTTGCTGCGAGCCACCAACAAGACAGGTCGTACTCGGTACTGCCGAGTGGCACTTTCGTCTCGCCCATTCTTCTCGCTTCTTCTCCGCCTCCCTCTTTCTCTGCATTGATCTGTGCAGATTACATGTATCACTTACTCCGTAGGATGGAACAAAGCCGTTACCGTGGGTCCCTACCCGGCGACTTAATAATACTATTACGACGTACTCGTACTAGTTGAGAAGCACCGAGTGCTGGTTGTCGGTAAATACATGCATGCTATGCACCATTACGTATGTGGCACGAGTGATTATTTCAATGTACCCACTGGTCGAAGGATTGCGCAGAACCGTTGAAAACTTGTTTGTTGGATGACACGGTATTTGCCATCTGGTGAAGACGGTTATCAGTTTCTGTCCAACGCTAGAGAGGAGGGAGGACTGCGAGTAGACTTTTTGCGTGCGTATGTGTGTGAGTGGGGGACCTCTCTCTCCCTCTCTCTCTATCTTTTTATTTATGTATTTATGTATTTTTTCAAATTTCAAAGAGCTGACGTTTCCAGGAATAGTAAAATACGACGCAATACATGTATGCATGCTTCAAACCGGGGTCGAGCTTCTGAGGGCCCTTGCAACTTGAGCTGGTTGATGGACCTTCTGCAGTCAGAGTGTGAAAGAGAGGAGGAGAGAGAGAAGTGCAGGGAGAGGAGAGGAGAGGAGAGGAGGGGAGGGAAGCCTGGAGAAGCATTTCCCTCTCTCTTTTATTACCGTGTATTTCCCCCCTTGCTAGCCAGCTGCTAATTTTACTATTCCCCCCTCAGCCAAGACTTGAGGGTAACGTTGAGAAACCTCGATGAGGGGCGGTGGTACTCTTTTGGGAGAACCTCTGGTACTAAAAAAACCACAACTTTCAGATATCTACATGTCTCTGAACATACGAGATCCCTGGAAATCCCTGGGAGGAAAGGGGAGCCATGGCCCATATTTTTCCATTTTTAGTGTCTAGTCCTTGGGCGTGTCCTCCTCTTCCATTCCTTTCTTCTCTTCTCTCGGGCACATAATACGGCAAGGAGGAGAGAGAGACAGAGGTAAGACATAATACACAATGGCGACAGTCCCACTCTTCATCAACGGCAAGGAGGAGGAGTCCTCGGCCACGTTTGACGTCGTGAGCCCCTACACAAAGGGAACGTGCTGGAGGGCGGCGTCGGCAACGCCAAGGGATGCCGTCAGGGCCGTCGAGGCCGCCGAGGCCGCCTTCCCGGCCTGGTCTCGCACCAAGCCGACCGACCGCCGCGACGTGCTCCTCCGAGCCGCCGACCTGCTGGAGCAGCGCCTGGACGAGTGCGCCGGGTACATGCGCACCGAGATGGGCGCCGATGTGGGCGCTTCGCAGTTCTTCGTCGTGCCGCTGAGCATCCGCATGCTGCGCGACCTGGCCGGGCGCATCACGTCCATCTGCGGCAGCGTGCCCGTCGTCGAGCAGGAGGGCCAGAGTGCGATGATTGTCAAGGAGGCTATGGGCGTCGTGCTGGGTATCGTGCCTTGGTACGTTCCTGCCTTTCCCGTCTCATGTACAGCAGCAGCCGCAGCAGCAGCCGCAGCAGCATCGTCCTGATGGTCAGCATGTGTATGTAGGAACGCCCCGTATGTCTTTGGTATCCGAGCCGCCGCCTGCGCCCTGGCTACCGGCAACACCACCGTCCTCAAGTCGTCCGAGATGTCACCCCGGTGCTACTGGGCCATTGCGCGCGCCTTCCACGACGCTGGCCTGCCCGACGGCTGCCTCAACGTCATCTCTTGCCGCCCGCAGGATGCCCCTGCCGTCGTAGACGCCATGATTGACCACCCGGCTGTCCGCAAGGTCAACTTTACCGGCTCAACCGCCGTCGGCCGCAAGGTTGCCAAGAAATGCGGCGAGGCCCTCAAGCCGTGCCTCATGGAGCTGGGCGGGAAGAACAGCTCTATAGTCTGCGCGGACGCCGACCTGGAACGTGCCCTGCGTGAGGTCATGGCTGGCTCATTCCTCAACGTACGCCTCCCACCCTACCGTCATCGATTATCTTTTCCTTTATTTTTTTTAAAAAAAATTTTTTGTTTAAATTATATATATATATATACTTTTACATGGCAACCGCTAACGTCTGGAAATGCAGTCTGGCCAGATCTGCATGGCCACCGACCGCGTCATTCTTCACAAGGACATCGCCCCTGCCTTCATGACAGCCCTCGGGGAGGCTCTCAAGGTTGCCGCCCAGGAACAGCCACCGCTCACACTTGTCTCGTCGGCGTCCAAGGAGCGCGTGGCCAAGCTCGTCTCGGATGCCCTGTCGTCGGGTGCCCAGCTTATCAGCGGACCTCTCGACAGTGACGCTACCCAGCAGGGCGTCCGCCTGAATCGCGTCCTCGTCGGCCATGTCAAGGAGCACATGGCCATCTGGAACGACGAGTCGTTCGCACCGGTGGCAGCCTGCATGGTTGTCGAGAGCGACGACGAGGCCGTCACCATGGCTAACCGGGGCGGTTACGGCCTGTCGGCCGCTGTCTTTACCGAGGACTTGCGCAAAGGGTTCGCCTTGGCCAGGAGGATCGAGTCGGGGTAAGTCAACATGAGGATGGCGGTGTGATCGCATGCTGTGTCAAGTGGTTTACTGATATTGCTTCCTGCAGTGCCGTGCACATCAACAGCATGACAATTCACGACGAGCCCGTACTTCCGCATGGTGGTGTCAAGAACAGCGGCTGGGGACGGTTCAACGGCACTATGGGACTGGACGAGTTCCTCGTAACCAAGAGTATTACCTGGAACGACTAATGCATCTTCTCTTTGCCTTTTCTCCTCTGCTTTAGCTTAGCACGCACCATCTTCAGGTTTTTATATGGTAAGAAAAATGAAAAAAAAGGGCTAGACTTACACGCCTACCATGGAAAGACGGGACAAAAAAACAACGCAAAAGCCACCGACAACACAAGCTGTAGAACAATCAGATCAATGCTTGATGACTATTACTATGGATCCTAATGAAAGAAGCCAAACCTCTGTGTCGATCCGGGTGTTAAAATTCCGCAGTCAGGCACTGTCGGTGCTGGTGTGTATGAGTACATGTATTGTACGCACGGGCCATGATTGCGCGGCATCGCTCTCCCAGTGAAAGAAACCATCTGTTCCTTTCTTCTCCTTTCCTTCCTTTTTTTATCTCGTGCATCCTTCTCCGCAATAAGTAATCGACGGTCTCCAATATTGCCTCTCAACCATCCTACTCTATCCGTCCTAGTGAGTTCTTGTCCGCTCCTGCGTAGTACCCGTATGTGATGCAGTACATGTACGTGCATGTAGGTTTGTGTGTACGAGTATGCGAGAGAATGGAGCGACCCAAAGTAGACTATTGCAGGTTAGAGCATGCACACGCGTGAACACTTTCCAAAAAGGATTCTCTGCTCCGACACTGTGTCCTCACCGATGCACGAACCAAGTGCGAGAGTAACGCCTCCAGCATTAGGTCGTGATATGTGGCGTTGATCGGCGTTGCATACAACCTCCTCCCCTGGGTTCCGTTCCCCTTTCCATCGTCACACCCTCCCCCCCCCTTCCCCTTTTCCGGTTATGATATTATACCACGGGGGCTATATTACGGAGCAGGCGACATATGGAGGCGGGAAACGTACAAGTATTGTCGTAGAAGCACTTATTGCGGCTGGAAATTAAGATTATATCTAGGGTTTTGGTAATGATTGACCATGTCGGTTGACCATGTCGGTTGACCCTTCGCTTTCTCATCCTCTCTCCACACGCACAGATCATGGCTCAAAAAGCTGCCCGGGAACATGGTGTACGGCTTGGCGGTTATTTTCAATGCTTCGTAAGTCGTATGAGGCATCACAAAGATTGCCCAGAAATAAAGCGAAATCGCTGTCACCGAGTAATAATAATACGACGTACTCCTAAAAGTAAAAAAAAGAAATAAGACATAAAAAAAAATAAAAAGAAGAGGAAGAAGAAGAAGAAGAAGAAGAAAGAAAAGGGTCCCCTTGCCCTGCCCTGGGTCTGGGCCTGGGATCGTCCATGCTAGTTAGGAAATTCACCGTTGACGTCAAGACGGCACATGGGTCGAAGAATGATGAATCGTATACTACTGCCATACCTATCCCTCGAGCACAGCGGCACATGCCTATTGATGGTCTTGGCAACCTGCCCAATCAAAAAAGGCCTCTGACCAGGAGACAGCCATGTGTCGTGTTATGTGAAGAATGAAGATGAGGCGGAAAGGTGGGAGGGCGGGAGCAAATCCCTACCCGGTCTGTCCAGAGATCCCAGAGAGCTACGGGGCTGCATTCTATTATGGTAATGGCGTGGAGGTTGTACAAGTCGACATATCGCTCGTACATGTGTCTCTCGACACACGACGTGTGGAGAAGAGGTGAGTTGAGTTGGTTATCAGCTCATATGCTGTCAAGAGTAGCCTGGTTATCAACCTCGAGCCAATAGAAATAGAAGGGACCGAAGGGCTCTTCGTTCATATTGATGATCTCGATGCGATGGGAAAGGAATAAGCGCTATCACCACCCACACCGAACGGTACAGATGTGTCCTCGGTGGTATGCAAAGGAAGAAGCATCTTCGGATCCATGGTAGAATTTTCTTGTCAGGTACCCGAACCTCGTTAATTGTTCCGTACCACTACGGATACACTGTGCACATGCCATGTACCTCTCGTAGTTACACGCGTACAAGTGAGCGGGTTTGTATTTGACAAGAGGATTACAGATATCACGATACGACCTATATAGATGAGCCAGCTGGCGACGAATCAAGCCCTCGCTAGCATTGACGCAAACATCAACTTGTCGCATGCCGCCGTCGGGCTGCAGACTACAGATTACTTAGTAACAAGTACCGTTTATGCTGCGCTCTGCAAAGTCACCACCGACTCAACTCTTTCTCCAAGCCTCTCAAGGATGGGCCCCTGGTCAAGTCGGAACCGGCGGCACGTGAATCGAACAGACCCCTGCCGAAGATCGCGAAAACTAGCGTCGGCGTAGGACGCAGCGCTACTTGGCAGGTTGAACCTTGTTACCGTTTTCCCGTTGAAGTCGTAAACTTGTACCATCGGACGTACCAACTTTACGACTCACTCACCCCCCCCNGCATCGACGGCGATACCAACAGTCCCGTCTTCTCGAGGGCCTCGCACCACGACGGCACCGACTGCAACAACAGCAACAGCAACAGCAACAACAACAACAACAACAACAACAACAACAACAACAACAACAACAACAACAACAACAACAACTACTACTACTACTACTACTACTACAACAGCAGGCCTCCATCTTATTGCCAGTGCCAATCCGTCCAAGAAGATGGACACACACACACCAAGCAGGTTCAGCGGTTACTATGAAAAACGGTACGATACTACCGATTACATACAACATACACGTCTCTTCTACTCATACGCGACCTGCTCGATGTACCTGTAGATTGATCTGTGCAAAATAAACGCCTGCTTGTGGATACACGATGTAAAGAAAAAGAAGAAAAAAAGTGAGATGCGCAGTGATAAACTGGAGAGAAATGGCAGCGTTTGTATGTGGGGGAAGAGGGTAAGACATTATGTGTCCCAGGATACCAAGTAATACTTGATCTCTTCTTGCCTTTGCCTCGGCCCCCCGAGCCTCGTAGAATAATAAATAACACTCATACCTTTCCAGAGACTGTCCACACAAGGAAACACGGACACCACCTCGTTCATCTTTGACGGACGATATGCAGATATCCCCATAATAAATCATGGGTCCGGAAATTCGACATGGCCCAAGACCTCTCAACTTCTTTAATATGGGAACCCCAGGACATACTATATTTTGCCCAATTTGTGTCCCGCTCGTCATTCAAACTTCCTCCTCTTCCCTGTTTCCCTTGCTCTCAATCATGAGATAAATGGTCTACATACAGTATTGCTTCTTCTGAGCCCTTCCCACCTCCCCCACCTCCAACCTGACGGGACTGGATTACAACTAAGCCCATCCGTTGGTTCCGCACGCTCGTCGGCAGCGTGCAATACAAGTATTTTCCGGACTACTCGACCGTCTTGGTCTTACGCACTTTACCGTCTCGTCGCCGCCGAGTAGAGGTAGTCGTCATGGGGCTCACCGGAAGGGGTACGCATATGGTCACTGTCGTGTCCTTGCTCGTTGCTCTGGCCACTCTCGCCGTCGGCCTCCGATTATACGCCCGTCTCAAGCTGCGCTTAAAGGTCCAGCTGGATGACTACCTGTGTATGGGTGCATGGGTGTGTCTCATTGCCATGTTTATAGAACTGATTCTCTGTAAGTCATCGTACGCCTCTGAATTTGCACCATGGACCTCGTGACAGCTGACCAGGCATTCCATCACACATAGGGTGCACTATCGGCGGTAATGGAAGCCACATGCAAGATTTGACGCTCACGGAGAAGTTGAATTTCGGCAAGGTAATGATACCTTTGTCCGATGCGTTGGACCGCGTTGGACCATGTCCAAGGTTGGAAGACGAACAGTCAATACTAACCGCTGGTCGCCTCTCATTTGTAGATCTTCCTCGCCAACCAATTCACCTACTTCGTCCTATGCCCGACTCTGAGAATCTCCATCCTCTTCTTCTACCGGAGAATCTTCTCTACCCCGCTCTTCATGCACATCTCAGCCGGCCTCATCGCCCTCATTACCCTCTGGGGCATCGGCATCTTCCTCACATGCGCTCTCCAGTGCCGGCCTCTCAAGGCCAGCTGGGACCCGCGCGTCGAGGCAACGTGCATCGATACAAACACCTTCTTCATTGTCAACCAGGTCTTCAACGTCGTCATGGACTTTGTCATGCTAGCCCTCCCTCTCCCCATCATCTGGTCCCTGAACCGGAATTGGCGTGAGAAGCTTGCACTTAGTGGAATATTCCTTCTCGGTGGATTGTGAGTTATACGCCCCCGAATGGTTCGACTTGAACAAGAAAAAAAAAGGGCATCTTGGGATTGACGCTAACGATACGGCTCTTTATAGTGTCTGCTTTGCCAGCATCTTCCGCATTGTGGTCTTGTTCTACATCGATCCTGCCGACACGACCTGTATGTTCAACACGATGATCTTGACAGTTGACGTCTAGGAAATCTGAATTGACCAACACCACCGCAGACACCATCTTCCAGGCGACCCTCTGGACACATATCGAGCCCGCCGTTGGCATGACGTGTGCCTGCCTTCCCTCTCTCCGCGGTCTGATCCCAAGATTCTACGGCCGGCGAAGCCGCTCCGACCGCTCGTCTAACAACAACAACAATAACAAGTTGTACGGTGATTCGTCGAGCCGTGACCGGAGATCCAACAAGCGAGCATCCGAGTTCTACAACATGTCGCAGCACCTATACACGACAAGACAGGAGAGCGACGAGAATCTCGTGTCCTGTAAGAGGGGCGATAGCTCCAACGATGCTGAAGAGGGTATCCGCGTCCATACCGACATCAGGGTTTCGAGACAGGAGACTGATTTCAGACGAGATGTCATAACTTCCCCGACCAAGGACGTTTGAAATCAAGAAATCATTACACGGTTATTATATAATATTGCCTATTTTCCTTGTTTGTTTTGTTCTCTTCTCTCGAGACTTTTCTTCCATATACCACTTCATTACCTGGCCAAAAATTATTTGTCCTGAGGGGGGGGAAGGGGGCGGCCTCGGGGGCTACTTTATGACCAACATCCAATTGATGAAAAACGAATTTAATGCTGCCAAAGAAACCAGATGCTTCCCAATATCACGTCGCAAGTGGCCGTAACCCGATAGTATATATGTATGTATGTATGCATGACAGCTGTTTCATGCATGATGAAGGAGATGCCAAGACCTTCGAGACGCTTGGCCCTGAAACCTCCTTTTTGCGTATGTGCGTTGAAAGGGGAGGTGTGCAATACGAAGGCTCTAGGCGACGGCATACCTACTCCTGGAACGAACAGTATGGCCATAAAAGCAAAGGAGATACAGGGTGGGGACGAGAAGGACAAGTATAGACCCGAGAATGGTCAGGGTATAGAGCAGGTGCCCATGTTCTCGTAAAAGGGTATGCCGACGACGGTCATCTCTCCAGCGACGACGTATCTGATGAGGGCGACGAAGGTGAGGGCCGAGGCCGAGTAGATCTCGTAGGAGTCAATGATGTACATGTAGACGCATAGGAAGATACCTGTGATGCCGACGAGCGCAGATAGAAAGATGATGTTGGACAGGCCCTGGTGGATGCCGTACATCCTCTCAAATAAGTATGGCCAGCCGATGAGAAAGGTGAAGAGCACGGCGTAGACGGCGGTGATGTAGCAGGCCATGGCAACGATGATGGGCTCGGTGATCATGACAAAGGGCCTCGTCATGCTGATCCTGAGGCGGCTGAATAGCGTGGCATCTCCGATCTCGTGCTCGCAACGGAACCGGTCGTCGCCCGTCATGGCCCGGTAGTGGGCCGCCTTCCACTGTAGCAGCAGCGGTCCGTACGTCTCAAGCATGAGGAGGCAGACGATGGCCAGCACGAGGCCTGACGAGATGAGCATGCTCCGCTCCGCCCATCGCCAGCTCACCGACTCGGACGGGCCGATGCAAGCGCCTATCATGGCGCCTACCATGGGCCCCACAAAGGCCGTGATGGCGTACAGCAGGGAGGCCGACATCTTGTCCAGGCTGTTGAAGAGGTGGACCATGGACCTGCCCGCGCATACCAGAGGCGTCGACGCGGAGCATCCGGCAATGGACCGGAAGTCGATGAGCGCTCCGAGATTGGGTGCCAGACCGCACGCCATCATCCATATCATGTCAATTACCAGTGACACCAGGTAGGTACACGGCATTGCGGCCAAACGTCTCCGAGAACGGAACCGCAATTAGCGACCCAATTCCCATCACCCCCAGATACAGGCCTATTGTCCTCGCTTTTATCAGCAATCTCATTCATGGGGGATAATAATAAGGTCGTCTTGTCCGTGGAAAGGTGAAGAAATTATGGCAATGCGTACCTGTGGCAAGATGACTGCGCAGCCTCACTCGCTCCGAGTGCCTTGGCGGCCTGGGGAATCACCGTCGCATCTGTCCCCGACACCGCAGTCAGGAACAGTTCGATCATGGCAATCTGCAGCGTTACGCCGATGCGCTTCGCGACAGACTAGTTGTGTGGCATTTGGGGGTCGCCGGGACCCGTCCAACGTACCACCAGGACATGGTCGCCGTTACGGTGACGCGCTTCGATACCCGTCAGCACGGCCTCGAGGGCGTGCGTCTGCTCTTCATCCTCGTCGTCCTCCCCGCCTTCGTCTTGGTCGTCGCGGCGAAGATTAATGACTGCTTCATTATGAGATGGCGTCGGCATCGTCACGCCGTTTGCCTTTTCAGCATCCCGGTCGAGCTAGGTGCGGGCAGCGGCTGCCAGCCGTCTGTGCTGGATCAGCGATTGCATTGTGAAGGATTCGCTCGCAGTAGTCCTGTGCCATGGTCGGTGGGGGGGTTGCCGAGTATTGAATGCCGAAAAGAGCGAGGATTTTATTTCCGATGAGTTGTGGGGGCCTCCTCAACCTGTTGCTATCTCCGTGCAATTTGCGTTGGTCGTTGACGAATGAATAACGAGGGATGAGCCGCAATAGGTGAAGGTGGTCGTAAGAACAGTGACTGGTATCGGAGAAGAATGACATCAGGATGTCCGAAACCGACCCAATTCAGGAAAAGCAGCCTGGGAGATTCCTCGTTGCAGCAACACCTAAAGCATCATCAAACCATTTGACTCATGTTCGTATTACATCCATGAGCAGGTCTTGAGACTTTCCTCTGGAATATTGTGCAGACTGAAAGAACAAGGGCCTCATCACTAGCTGCCTTCGCGGCAATCGAAGCCTAACGGCGAACAATTCCGTCCTGGACACGGAGCATCACAGCCGTGACAAGCAGCAGCAGAAGAATACTGGGCGTGGAAAACGGCGAAGCCCTCGCAGACTGATAGGTTGCGAGCCGTGTCGAAAATCGAAACTTCGATGTGACCGCCATATGCCCTGCGGAACTATGCCGACGCCGAGAGATTGTCCACTGCTGCAAATATCATCGAGGTGCAGACGGCCACCCAGTACTTTACGTACACGGCGCCCATGAGGTTCCACGCCGTGCACGAGCAGGCCTTCCAGGGAGCGCTATAGCCGTCTTCACGCACAGTGGCAAGGCGGACGATATGGCGTAGCTCGGCCCTGCTCTTCGCCATGCTCTCCTCTTCCATGCAGGCCTTGGAGCTCAATTGACCCCGTGCTGATCCAATCAACCAGGAAAGTGGGAGATGCCTTTTTAACAATGGATTTGAGAGAGCATCGTGGGCGTAGGCAGTCGAAGCACAGTTGATGAGATCGTGCCATGACCCATAGTGACGAATGTTATGTAATGTCATTACTATTACTGCAAAATCATTATTATACCCCTTCCATGTTGATGACACCCAGAGTCGTATTGTACTCTCCTCACTTGAAACCCCACGGTGTCCCAATCACCCTCCCGGAAGCATCGAACCTGACGCCCTCCCCCTTGAGCAGTCCCCTCTTCTCGTCGAGCGTGATGCCCTCTCCGCTGCGGGGCCAAGCACCCTTGAACCCGCCCAGGTTTCCGCCCGTAGCCACGACGCGATGGCACGGGACCTGGGGGGCGAACGGGTTGCGACGCAGCGCGTTGCCCACGGCGCGCGGCGAGCTGCCCAGGTGCCGCGACAGGAGGGCGTAGGTGGTGAAGCGGCCGCGTGGGATGGCGCACAAGCTCGTCCAGACGCGCTTCTCAAAGGCGGTGCGGTCCGATGCGGCGATGCGGGCTATCTGCGACGAGGGGTCGTCACCGTTGCCGTCACCGCGTGCCTTTGATGCGGGTGGTCGTCGTGATGCTTGGGGTGGCTTGTATGCCGTCGGCTTGTCTGCCACGGTGGCGTTCATGGTGGGTGACTTTGTATCTTTCATCTTTAGTTTTATCTTTTTCTCCCTTCCCAGGTAAATCGGGAAAGATGATGTTGGAAGAAACCAAACGATCCTGGCCCAGAAGGAGATAGAATAAGTCTTTTTGTGGAATATGTTTCACATCTTGCGGTTTTGTAGCCACCATGAAGCTTGACGTGGTTGGTGCCGCGGCGGGATTCACGCGACATTTGCTCCATAGAGCAACACGTTAAACCCGCCAGGTCAGGTGACCTGCTGCTCGCGGAGCGAAAATGGCCTGATTATGCGGGACTTGATTAGAGTTGAGTGACGACGGATGGGGGACCGGGGAGAGATCTATAGACTATAAATAGAGCTTAATATAATAAAAGGGTTCACCCCTCCTGTATCTAATTGCCAGAGATGCTGTTACATGGGAATATATGCGCGAAGATGAGCTTCTTCTACAGTGTGTTGGCGGTAATATCGGCCCGGACTAATAGTCATGCACGCATCTACAGACTGCGCAGTACTTAGTAGGACTGGTAGCTGTAGAAATGTTTATTTGGGATAATAGTTCATCTTATTTGGACTGAAAGAGTCCAGGGTTGAGTAGCCAATGACAAAAGTAATGGCATGCTGAAAAGAAGAAAAAAGGAAGGGAAAAAAAAATGCGCGGTTTCTGTTCGCCGCGATAACTCCCAACGCCAGGTGATATGATGCTGTTACAAAACAAAAACAAAATTGTGTGTCTCGTCGCCAACAATTCCCCGTTGTTCCCCAGTTGATACAGTTTTCTTTCCCGTCTCTCCTCCCTGGCGAACGCTGATACAAGGTATAACCGAAAAGAATATAAAAGTGTTGAAGTAGTTGTAGGATGGCAGGACGGGCGTGAAATGTTGTTGATGACACAAGAAAGAATAAGAGAAGATACAGGGCTCTCTCGTTCTCTCTCAAAACTCGAGAATAGTTTCGTTTGATCGTGAAGCAAGTCGTCTATACCATGAATGACTCGCCGCAGCCGCATTCCTCCTCTGCGAAGTTCGTTAGCAACCCAGAACAGACACCGACGGATTTCTCGAGGGATGAACTCACTTATGTTTGGGTTCCTGAAGACGAAGCGCTGGTTAAGCTTATCCTCGGCCCAGTCCATCTCGCTGCCAATGATGCTGAAGAGCGCCTTACTGTCGATGAGCACCTTAACGCCGTCTTGCTCGACAGCCTCGTCAAAGGGGCCTGGCTTCTCGACATACTCGAGGTGGTACGCCAGCCCGCTGCACCCGCGGTTCCTCACGCCAACCTTGATGAGCTTGGGCTTGGGCTGGTCGAGGAGTGTGCGGAGCTGCTCGACGGCCGAAGAGGTGAGGGTCATGGCGGCCTTGCGCGGCCTCAGCTTGGGACGCTGGCGCTTCGACTTCTCCTTCTTCTCAATCGGTTTTTGGGCTTGGGCGGCGACCCTTTGCTCCTGCTCCTGTTCCTGTTCCTGCTCTTGCTGCTGCGGCTGAGCAGCAGGATATTCTGACAAGTGATGCTGCTTCTGGGCAGCCGGTGGCGGAGGTGGAGGAGAGAGTGCCGATGAAGGCGGTCGCGTCTCCTGGACTTTGGGTAGGGGCATGTCGGGTAACGAAATGGACGTCTCAGGGACGTTGCCGTTGCGAGAGCTAGTCGAGGTCGACGAGGCCGAGGGCTGGGAGGGTAGCGCATATGAGTGGTAGTAGTGGCTGGAAGGCGTTGTATTGATGTGGTTGTTGGTCGGGGTCGAGGGAAGAAGTGTCGTCGTCGTTGTCGTCGCTGCCAGCGTGGCGACAAAGAGGCGGCCACCTGTCGCACCTCGCCGCAGGGCCGCCCGGGCCACGAATCGGGAGCAAATCATTGCTGCGGGATCAGCGGAGGAAGGAGGACGGGCGAGGAGTTGTCGGGCTACAGCTAGCGTTCATCTGAAAAGAAGGGTTTTTCAGAAGAAGGGAATAATGCCTTGGTGTTGTTGATGATGTTGTTCGTTCTAGTCAAGCCTTCGAGGGGTGGAGAAAGTAGTAGCCGATTTGAAAGCAGCGCAAGTCTCTCTCTAACCTATGGATTGGATCAGTCATCAAAAACCGGTCCCTCACCGGTGGTTTGGGTCCTCATTTTCGCTTGTCATTGGTCAGTCAATGCTCATCGTGTATCCGCAGGGGGCAAGCACCCCAATGGCACTGCGTCACCGGTCCATCTGACCAATGAGAAACTTTCGAGCTCCCCATGACCGTCTGTACGTTGAGCCGAGCGAATAAGCGTGTATGAATTACTCACCTTGCCAGTGCTCCTTCTCGGTTACGTAATACATTTCCCTGCGGTTATTCCGCTCTCGCCCGACGGTCTTCCGAACGGCAAAGATCACGAGGTTGCCCCCCCTTTCGCTCCGTCTATTTTTCCATGTGACTCCCGCCAATTCCCGTCCCCTGTTCTCCCCCCCGTACTGTTCCGTCATCCTCAGGCCACTGTTTCTCGGTTGGGACAGAATACACGAGAAGCATCAGGTAGGATTCCGTAGGAATCATGCCAGGTCAGGCCATCATCAAGCCACGCAGGATTCTCCTTTGTTGCTTTTTATTACTCACAACTGATGATTCATAATTGTCCTTGACATAGTACGGTTCACGTCAATGCTGTTCCCCGGATCTTTTTGTATATGGCAGGACAGCTTCAAGGAAACCCCATATTCGAGGGTTTCGACAGTATGCAAATGTGATGAATGGTAGAAACTTGGATTTGCAACAGTATATCTTGCCTTCTGGGCTTATTTGCAAGCCAAAGGTTGCATGGACAGTTCGCATGTAGAAGAAACGAAAGAAACAAAGTTTTCCAACGTTGGGTCTCTTCTAGGCCTCCGCTCTCATCGGCCCCTCCCGATGGACAAGGGTCCCCGCGAGCGAGTTGCGGCGACAGCCGTGTAGGCCAATGCCCATTTTGGGACCTGTCAGACCACAATTACGAGCCAGGGTTATACCAGTGCGTCCAACAACACCCGTAACTCTGAACTCGGTAAACAGGCTTGGCCTAGAAGGCCTTTCCGTGTAAGTGTCAGCTGGCCTCAGATGTTCTCAATTGTCGTCAAGTCGTCTGGGGTGCATTCCTGACGTGGTTGTCGTCCCAGAATCACGCCACGAACATCCCAAGACTGCGCAGAGTCCCCTGGCCCAACTTACATGATGATTCCGGTTCGACACGATGGGAAGGCATCATGGCTCATGACCGGGACCGCTGCTGTATATAAATCTCTGGAGTTTTGCCTCACCAATGCTGTATCACCCCAGACATCAGTCACACCACATTCACACAACAACTACCACTACTACCACTTACACACACTCTTCTCTTTTCTTGGTTTCACCCATCAAGACAAGCAATCCACCACCACCACCACCACCACCACTATTACTACCACTACCACTACACTTCTAGTGTTACCACCCACTCAACCTTCGCCATGGTTGCCGCCTCCATCCAGCACTCTGCTCCCGCTGCTGTGGCCAGGGCCAGGGCAAGGTAAGATAACAACCACCTTTCTCTCTCTTCCACCACTCTTTTACCACGTCTTCCTTTACTAACACTCACTCCTTCTGTTAGCCCCAGGATCCTCCCTGTCGTCGCAACAGTTGCCTCCGTCGGTCTGGTAGCCAGCTACGTCTACTCCCAGCTCTCCTACGAGAAGAAGGTCATGGACAGCCGTTTCGCCCAGTACAACAATGCCCAGAGCGAGGCCAGCCGCCGCAAGACCTTTGAGAACTCCAACAGCGACCCCAGGACCAGTGCCTTTAACATTCTTGGTCACTAGTCAATGACTTGCAGACTTTTCATCAACCTTTGCATTATCAACCTGTCTTGCCTACGACATTGGGTCTTTCCTTTGTGTCGGAGTTCCGGTTGTTTCTTTTTTCCCTTCCTGTTTAGTGTCATTCATTTGATTCCTTTTCCATATTACCAGCTGGCACTACTGTATATAAGCCAGTCTGCAAGTTTCTGGTTAGTTACTAGATAATTGCAAAAGAACCAAAAAAAAAATTGAACCTCCCTTTTACAATGAAGCTTACTTTCCTCAGTATGTGACTTGTCTCTTGACACCTGCAGGGTCTGGTTTCTGGATCACTTGTCTTATGCACAGCCTTGTACAATTTCAGCCTTACACTTACACAGTTGTTTATTACTTAGAGTAGAAACGTTCAAAACGGCCAGATACCGTTTCTTTTCTTACTATCACAAACCTCCCCGTCCCCCTTATATGAAATTCTCTGCACCTCCATCCACACCACTTCCTAGGCCAACAACCAGCAGCGCAGGCGTAATAGTGGTAATGGTAAAATTCTCCGTTGCAGCAGCGTCGGGGAGCCCTGGGTTCGATTCCCAGATCACGCAGCAGCATAAGCTTGTCCTTTGCTCTCTTTCAAGCGTAATTGGTTTAGTGGTAAAATTCTCCGTTGCCATCCGAGCAACGTCGGGGAGCCCTGGGTTCGATTCCCAGATTACGCAGTTAATTATTTTTGCTTCGTCTGTCACGTATGCGAGTCGAGTATTTTTTTTTTTGCTGCTGCTGCCGCTGCTGTTACTGCTGTGGAAAGGCAAGTGAGGGAGGGCATGCGGCATGCTGACGAAGGGGGGACGCGAAACACATGTATCGTGATACATTAGACATATTATAGGGGATATCTTTAAATCTCGTCCTGCAGAAAACCATAAAAAAGAACAATCATCCAAAAATCCTCCTTTCCACTTTATCTTAGTGCACCTAGGCCTTGGCATCACCCTTAGGCTCAGCCGCTCCGATGACAACATCAGCAACCGTCTCATCGCTAAACTTGAGGTCCTCCTCGATTTCCACCGTGTCCCTGATGCGGAACCAGACAATCGGGAAGGCGGCAATGAGGCCCAAACCGAGGAGACCCCAGGTGATGCCAAACATCTCGGTGTAGTCCATCTTCTGGCTGTCCAGGGCCCACCAGGCGCAGGCTCCCGCACTCTGGATGCCCTTGTAGAAACCGGCGAGGTTGGCAGCCTTGCGTCCGGAGTTGGAGAGACAGCCCATGTACCTTTTTTTTTTTTTGCTCCGAGTCAGTAAATGGGATTCTAGCAGAGAAAGCCGAGGAAGAAAGGAGGGAGGGGAGAGAAACCATACCAATAAATGCTAGTCTGCCAGACGGCATCAAAGAACCCGTAGAAAAAGTAGAGGAACATGGGGCCGATGAACTTTTCACCACCGTCGGTCCAGTCAACGAGCTGGGTATTCTGGTACTCGGCAGTGCTAGCCTCCTTACGGGAAACCTGCTTACTCTCCCAGGCATACCCACCACCCCAGATGGCCATGGTGAAGATGAGGAGGACGACGAAGGAGACCTTGGCGCGGACGCTGCGACGCAGACGAGTAAAGTCGAGTGCGTAGCCCATGAGGATGGCGCCAAATATCTGAGCTAGCCAGTAGAGGAGGCCGTTGAGGGAGCGTGAGCGGATGTTGAAGTGAGTGGCGTTCAGACCATTGTTCTGGTAAGTATAGAAGATGTTGGAAGCGAAGAACATGGGGAACAGGAGGGTGATCCACGGGTCGTTCCAGAGCGTCTCCCAGAGGCCGAAAAACTCGGTGCGCCACGAGGCGTTCTTCATAAGAATAACCTTGGTGCCGTCCTCGCGAATGACCTTGTCGGCGTTGACGATGAACAGACCGAGGACGAGGCCGAGAACCATGAGGACGATGAAGGCGGCGTAGGTGCCGTCGCTGACAGGGCCAGAGGTCTTGTTGACGTTTTGGGCGAGGGGGATCTATGTTTATTTTGTCAGATGCTTTCACTCTCTCTCTCTCTCTCTCTCTCTCTCTAGTCACACACAATGCTACAGTTGCTAGTTGCGACGACGAGAACAGGAGGAAGAACCTACCAAGGATCCAATCACGGCACCCGTGTTGAAGATGATCCAAAACCACGAGATGTAGCGGCCCTTGAGGTTCTCGGTCGGGTAAGCCATCATGATGGCGCCCTGGGCGGTCCAGAGAAGGCCGGCAGAGATTCCGAGGAAAGCACCGGCAAAGACGACAAAGGGCAGACTCTGGATGTGCGAGTAGGCGAGAAAAGAGGAGGCGTACAGAGCATATCCGATACCTCCCATGGCGAGTGTGAGGCGCAGGCCAATGACGTTGGCGATGGTGCCCGAGAAGAAACCGACGACGGCAAAGACTCCGTACAGTGCCGTGTTGGCATAGGTCTGGGCGTCTGTGTCGACCTGGCCACCTCCTCCCAGGCCGCTGAGGGCGTTGAACATGCCGGGGCAGAGGAAGCAGACGATGGAGACCATGAGGAGCTGGATGGTAGGCGAGGCATACCACAGCTCGTGTCCAAACACACGGAAACCCTTGTAGATCCAGCCGGCGGGGCGGTCGACAAACTCACCCGTGTCGCTATCGCGGGTGACTGCCCGCGTGGTGGCCACCTCTGAGGGGGCAACCTTTTGTTCGTCGGACATGCTGTGCGGCCTCTTGTCTCTCTACCTCTCTCCTGTTGTGCTGTGTTGTCTGGTGTGTGTGCGTGTGTGTCTGTGCGCGCGTGTTTGTGCGCGCGTGTCCGGGGATGGGGGTTGAAGAGGAAGAGGAAAAAGGACGGAGAGGTTGGGTCGAGGAAGACTTTAAAAGCAAAAGAAGAGGCGGGTATGTGCGCCGGGTGGGTGTGGGACAATGGATTATTTGAATGACTTGAATCTCAACAAAGGAGCAGGGGTCTCATGTAGGAGGAGGAAGAGTACCCGGCCAAGACGGTGGTGTGCAGGACGGTAATAAAATACTCGGTAGTAGCAGTGACCTACTATGAGTACCAGTAATAGAGTACTCCAACAGTTCTGGCAGTGAGAAGTAACGGTACAAGTATAGATTACCTGCAGCGACAATACTAGACTCTGACCATGATCGATCAGGAGGATCGTAAGGTAGCAGCGCGTCTGTTCTGTGTCTGGCTATCTCTCGTATGTGGGTTGGGGAGGTAGTAGTGGCTCGATTTCTCTGCAGCGGGTTGGAAGCGTTACGTGACAATCAGAAGCGCGCGCAGAAACAACCGAAAAAGAGAGGGGAAGAGGGTAATTACGAGTAGAGGAGGGGGGACAAGATGAAGGGGAAGTGTGCGTGTATGTGTGTGTGTGTGTGTGTGTGTGTGTGTGTGTGTGTGTGTGTGTATCTGTGTATCTGTGTGAGAGCGTGAGAAGTGAGGATCAGGGGACAGAGGGAACGGTGGAGCCAAACCGGGTAGAGACGAGCTGGAGGCTGACGTGACAAAAAAGCAGCACACACAGACACTATCTATCGTATCCCAAGAGGTCGTGTAGGCAGCGTGGTAATACCTGTACGGTATAATACGGGGGGGGGCAGGACCCATGGACGCTAATAATAAATACATACGAACGCCTGATGCTCCCTGTATTCGAACCACTGCATAGCGCTGTAGGGGCGCTGTAGAGGAGTGAGAGCGGAATGGCTGGGGCCAAGGGGAAGTCGTACTCACCACCACTATTGACTACGAGGACTAACACTAACGATAGTCATGGTAGCATGTTGCAATGTTCATCATGACTATCTGACCCCCGTCCAATGATGCCCAGAAGCAACGTGTACTCCATGTGGCGCCGAGTAGCTGATAAGAACCCCCTCACTCACTACGAAGTTTTTGGTATGACAGTCGCCACAGTACGACAAGGATTAATACCACAAGTGTTCGTACGTAATCTACTCACAGAGTTCTCGAGGTAGCAGTCGCATCCCAGACATCACATGGCTACAACTTTCACGGCGTGGAACGGCACAGCAGTCATCAGCATCAATTGTCAATGATACGACAAATAAGAATGCACTGCAGAGTAGAGAAAGAAGGGAGGTATTATTACTAGTGATAGGGACTCTCCAGACCCCTCTGCGTCGGTCGCATTACCCCAGATCCCGATAGCAAAGGACCGAATGGCATGGGGGGGGTTTTACCCGTTTTGGAAGGGAGTGGAGACGGCGCGCTGTGTGTGTGTGCATTGATTATTTTGTCAATCTCTTTTTTTTTTTCTTTTTCTTTTTACTTTTGGGTGGTGCTACTTATTCGCACTTGCCGCTTTGTTTATCAATAGATTTCTTTCTTTCCCACTTGCGCCTTCTTTTTCTTCCAAAGTCCATCTAGTCACATGGTGGAACACGAGGAGCACCACCGTTTGGTATCTTTTTCGTTCCTTCAAGAAGAGAAAGAAAGAGGAGAGAGGAAAACCTCGCTCTTCCCTGTTCCCCCCTTGTCCTTCCCCATAACGTGTGCTCTACTGCTAGTAATGATATCTATTTCACCCGGACTAGTATGTATCAATACACGCACCAACCTCCCGTATCTACCAAGCCCGGCGACGACCCTTGCCAAGGCCCAAGACCAAGCAGACATACGCTCAACACTCAAATGTAACGTTTCCCCCCTACAACACGCGCACACACAAGCGCACGCACGCACACACACGCCAACAAGTTGCGTCTCTCTCTCTCCCCTAGTACCAATGATACGTCTCCCCCGCGTTTTCATTCCCTTCATTTCTCACCTTTTTCCCGTCTTGGTCGGTTTCCCGGCATCCCAACTGCATGCACGATACGTGTATGTATAGTGTATTACAACCCCATGTTACATCCAGTAATCTGTACTCTCAGTCTGGTATAGTACGGCGTAGCAGTCGACCCAACACAGAGGACGATCTGTTCATCGCTCATGAAACCTTTTCCTCTTCTCTCTCCCACCCTTCTCCTTTCTTTCTCATCCCTGGCCATGGTCACTCCCGTACTCGTATGTATCCGTTCCTTCTCATGAAACAGTATGACTACGACTTCCAAGTCTTTCCTTCCTCTCCCGTCGTCCATTCTCCACTTTCTTGCTCTTTTCCCTTGCTACGGGATCTTGACACAGATTGCTTAGTAGTAGTAGTAGTAGTAGTAGTAGTAGTAGTAAAAGAAAAAGTGTAGCCATCATGCAAGTAATACAATCAGACACTTATCCCAAATCATGCTGCAATCGATTCCTCCAATCAGTCATTTAAACTGGTATAAAGATATAAAAAACATCGCTCTTGGTAGCAGCTAACACAAGATGGATACCGTATATGCACATCATGCGGACCTTGACAGCAAACTCGAGTATGAACCTTTTTGACTCTCTACACACATCTCCTAGACATCAAGTGGACATGGTAACAACCCAAGTACGATTTTCTCTCTTCACACTCCTTTATGGACATCGTGGGCATGACAGCAAGTGAGCAAGTGAAGCATCATTCTTGCTGTATCTCTGACCGAGTACTCCTTAGACATGTGGAATGATAACTCTTTACTCGTTGACACGTGAGCATAGTAACTCGGTATGAATCTTTTGTACAGATATATCATGATATACATCTCCGATACTCCCTTCTAACCATTTTGTATTCCCCCCTTCGTCGTCCCATCCAAGATACCCAATGAAACAAAGACCAAAAAAAAAACCAGACAGCTTATAAGCCCGACAAATAAATAAAAAGCACCCATTTGCTCCAACCCGCCTCCCTTTCTTTTCCAAATCCCCGCACAAAAAAGTTTCCCAATGCCATGATATGAAAATCCACAATCAGAATATAAGAGGAAAACGCCAAACCCATCAAACATGAAGAGAGAAGAAAAGGAACCCCATCAAATGTCAAGACGAAAAAGAAAGGCATCCGCCTCATGCCACAGCAAGTGACAATATAAAGAAGAAATACAAAAAAACCAGAAAAGACCCTTGAGAGAGCTTCTTCTCTTGTTACCCAAAACATGACAATAATAATAGTAATAATAACTGCTCAACAGAAGGCGCAAAAGAATGGAATGAGTATAAAACAAAAGTCCGGACCGGACTTGTTTCCGTGTGGTGTGCCGTGTGCACGTCTTTCGTATACAGGAGGCCGTGTGAGAGGGGGGGTATCAACAATGAATCAATATGCAAAACGAGCGTGTATGTGTCAAACAGACAGTAAAAAGACGTGAATGGGGGGAACAAAAGATGCCAAGAATAAATAAAGGATAGGGGGGAGGAGATGCCTTAGATCTGAGCAGGTGTGCTGCCACCTCGATCACGGGACATCCAGCCAAACAAGTCACCACGCGATGAGGCAGTGGTAGGTGTGGGTGGAGGGGCCGTGGCCGTAGAGGGAGTCATGGCCGACGTCTCGCGCGGCTCCAGGAGCAGACTCTTGCGGTAGTACGTCACCTGGACGTTGGACTGGTCGCCCTCGCGGACACGGTTGATCTGCGCAGACAGCCACTCTTGCATGTCGGGGAGTTCCTGCAGGCGGTAGGGGATCTGGAAGCGCTGCAGCTCGCCAATAATCTTGGCCGTGCGCGTGTGCTTGTCAAAGTTGACGACGGTGAGGCCGCTGGCCCGCTTGTTCTCCGTCTCGCTGCCGTGCGACGTCATCTGTTTGGTGGGCGGGTTGCCAATGTCCACAAACGTCAGGTCCGTCAGGTACATACCCAGGAAGGGAAGGCAGGGCGGCACGTGGTCGTGCAGGCGTGTGCGCAGGACCTTGTTGTTCTGCGACGGTTCCACCAGTTTCTGCAGCGTCCGGAGCATCTCTTTGCGCCTCGACGACACAATGTCCCACGTCTTGCGGAGACGGCTGATGGTGCTGCTGTTGAGACTGCAGATGATGGCCATCAGTCCGTCGTAGTTGTGCAGCTCGAGGCAGTGGTTGGCCACCTTGATCCACTGCTTAATGACGGCCGCGCGCTTCTTCAGCTCCGGGTGCTGCAGGATCGTATCCGCCACCAGGTTCGAGATGTCCGTCGATAGCGAGGACATGGCCTTGACGTTTGGGGCCTCAGCTCCGCCATTCTTCATCCACTGGGACGAGAGCAGCTCCTCGGGCAGGATCGACGAGAAGATGCCCATCTGCTTGAGCGTCAGCTGGCGCGCAAGCTCTAGCGGGTCAAAGTCCAGCAGCGACGGGCTCGCGCTCCCGACCTTGAAGGCGTTCAGGTGGTTCTGCGCGCTCTTGGACACGACGGGAGACGGGATCGGCGTGTCTGTCTGCGCAACGGCCGTGTTGGCCCTGCCCATGGCCGACACCAGCCGGGGTACCAGCAGTCCGGCCCCAGACACGCGCTGCACAAGCTCCACGAGACGGCGTCCCGCGGTCGGCAGCACGGTCGTCAGCCTGCCCTCGGCAAAGGGCATGATGATGCGGAGGGCGTCGCGGTCCGTCCGCTCCCTCCAGTGCGTCTCGAGCCAGACCTTGAAGGCATTGTACACGCGTAGGCGTACGGGACTGGCGACGTGCGGGCTCTCACCGACATACTCGAACCTGTCAATCAGGCACTCGGCCAGCTTGGTCGGCGGGCAGAATAGGCGGAAGGTGAGGTAGAAGGTCGACACGAACATGGCGTCGGGGGCGGCCTCGTGGGTCGTCAGGCGCTCCACCAGGGCCGGCAGCGAGCCGCCAATAACCTGGCCCTCGCGGTTGAACATGAGCTCGTGAGCATATGTCCTCTCGAGGAGTCTCGACTCGAGGTCGTCCACCTCCTCGGTGTGCATCGAGCTGCCAGCAGCGCTGAGTTCCGAAATGGAAGGCTGCGGGCGGGGGACGAGGGTGTGGTCGGGCGTCGTAGCCCGGGTGGATGTCTGGGATACCATGCTCGCCTCCGAGTCGCGGCTGAGGTAGGTGGCGCTGCTGCCCGCGCTCGAAGCAAACATGTTATCCAACTGTGCCGGGTGCTGGTGGTACTCGTTGTCAGGGTGAGCGCTGTCCACGGGGCTGGGCTGGGCCGGGGGCAGGAGCGTCGTCGTCAGCTTGGGCAGCGTGAGCTCCGGTCGCGGGGCCGGGGTGGCCTTGGCTTCATCGCGCGACTCGGGCCGCGAGGGAGGCGGCGAGGGGTTCGCGCGAGGTGTCGGCTCCGAAGACGCTTCCTCCATGGTGGGCAGCTTGGGTAGGGGCTTGTCGATGGACAGACCCTTGGCATGCCTCGGGCCGGGTGTGACGGAGCCTGACCTGCCGGTCGACTCATTTGTGGTGGCGGTCGAGTCCGACAGGCCAGCGCTGGACTGCTTCCTCTGCCTCAGCTGCGATGCCGAGTCCAGGACGCTCAGGTCAATGTCCAGACCAGCGTCGCTGATGGCCACCTCAAAGTCGCCGGCGCGCTCGACACCAGCACGGGCCTTGGCGACGCAGTCACCCGAGGCCCTGACGCAGCCGGTGGCGGACATGAGCAGCATGTTGTTGTCCTGGGGCATGATCAGGTCATCCTCGGCGTGGGCATGGACGAGGGCGTCGCGTGCGGCGAAGACCAGGTCGTGAATGTGCTCAAGCATGGCGGTCCTAGCCTGGGTCAGCGCCGTGTTGCTCGTGTTTCCGTGCGCGCAGACGGCGTCAATCACAGCCAGCAGATGGCCGCCCGTGGTGGCACACTGCTTGATGGCTGAGGCGAGCTCGGGAACGGACTGAGACTGCTGCAGACGGCCGATGAAAGAGCCGACCTGCGACAGGAAGGCGTCGTGGCTGCGGTTGAGTCGCTCGGAGATGAGATCCTGAGGTCGGGTGCAGGACGAGGGGCCAGCCAGCGAAACGCGGTGGGACATGCTGGAGTGACGGTTGGCCTGGCTCATGCTGCGATGCGGAATCTGTGAAGGAGGCTCCATAGGAGAGGCGCTTCTATCTTGGGAGGCCTCGGAGGTGCCGTTGGCGGGCTTCTCGGGGGCAGCAGCAGCAGCAGTCTCCTCTTCGGTCGGGGCGACGAATGATTCCTCCTCGGTGACAGTGTCCATGACGGTGACGGCGGGCGGGGCGCGCATCCTCCTGTCCTCATCGAGGGTGTCGACGAAGCGCACGCCCTTGATGACGATCCGGAAGGCCTTGAGGATCATCTCGTCTACAATGTCGTTGACGTCCTCGGGGGGGTCGAGGGTGCCACGCTGGCTCTCCTGCATGCGCTTGGCCGTCTTGACGAGCGACGACAGCTCTGACATGAGAGACTTGCGACTCCTCCGTACAAATTCACTCCGCTGCACAATAGGCGACTCCCTATTCAGGCAGTTTGCGTGCTGCAGAAGGAAGCGTACACCAGCGATGATGCCCTTCATGAACTCCTGGTTACCAAACAACTCCTGGTCATTGACCGAAGAGCTCCTCAGCAGATCCCAAAAGTTGAGCAGGGCATGCAGCAGACTCCTCAGCTCCTCGGGCTCGTAGGCGTCGCAGTAGTTTGTGGGTAGCCAGCCACGGGCGCCGGTGGCCAGGAGAGTGCCGTCGGCCCAGCCATTGGTGTGTATCGAGTGGACGAGGATGACGTCGCCCTCGTTCAGAGGTAGTGTGACGCTGCAGTCGGACATGGCGTAGGTGGGGCTGAAGGGGTAGAATGCACGAAGGAAATTGTGGAAGATGGGAGGGCTGACAGTCTGCATCTGTAGCTGGAACTGGTCGTCGACGTCCATATTTTCTTGGTGGAAGTCATGAGGGGTAGCTGGGGGCGTCATTTCGGACGCCAGAGCGTTGTAGCACTGATTGTGTTGTTGTTGTTGTTGTTGTTGCTGATGTTGTGTCTGTTCTTGTTGCTGTTGTTGATGGTGGCTCTGTGCCTCGCCAAAGACGTCGAGACGAGTCTTACCAAGGTCCAGAGGAGCCACCTGGAATCGGGCTGCCATTGACTGGCTACTCAGCATTGCGACGAGACGCGCACGGCGTTGTAATTCAAATCATGGGTCGGTTCGATGTTCTATCTGGGTGTATTGCGTTGCGCTGGTATAGATTTCCTTGGAGTAAATGGGCGGCAGTGGTAGGTCGGCTAGTTGGTTGATTGGTGATGATGATGGTGAAGATGATGAGGGCGATGTTGAGTCTGTTTGTTCTGTCCAAGGTTAGAGGGAGTTTGCCATGGGCGGAAGAGACAGTGAATAAAGAAAAGGATGGAAGGTGAGTGTCAAACAGAAAAAAAAGCAAAGGTAAACAAGAAGGGAAGAAAGGCAAGGGAGACGCGGCAAGAAAGGTCCATGTCGTGTGTTGTCTTGTTTGGAAGTCAGACTGTCGGAGTGGCGTTGGAATGAGGGAATTGGCAAGAAAGAGGGACGTGACCCAGAGATGGTTGCCTCTATGAGGAATGCACCACAGCAACTGTTCCAGACCAGCAAACCCAGCAGCAGTGCCAGCATGACAAGAGACACCGAGGCAGGCAGACGAGCAAGCAAGCAAGTAGAGTAACTCGCAGAGAGGAACAAGACCAAAAGTCCGATGAGAGACAAGACGTCACTCTCTCTATGCGCATTGATTCCCGTGACTGGGAGGTGTGCATTGCTCCGCCACCAATTTTTTTCCTCTTTGCTTAATATGAAGATGCATTGATGACGAAGGATGAATTGCAGCTTGTACCTGATGACGGGGGGGGAAAAAAGAGAGAATGACACCACTATGGTCTTACCTTTTTTTTTTCTTCGAATAGGCTTGAACCAAGCAAGTACTATGATTGTCGAGGATATGCGCAGCGGTGTGGTAGTTAAGAAAAAAGAACTGCTGCGTCAAGCAGGTTGTAACGAGGCGAGAAACGAAGTCGAGAAAAAAAGGTCACTAGGACTCAGATGGTCGAGTCAACTGCTCTGTATCTCTCTCTTCGGGAGGAGTAAATAAGAGAGAAGAGATGAAAGCACACAATGAAGGAGAGTGTGTGGACAAGAAGAGAGGGAGAGATGGATGGGAGGAGAGGAGGGAATGGCAAGGTCGCGATAGCAAAGTGTTGATAGTCGCAAAAGAGGTCAAGAAGGAAAAGAAGATCAGAGATCGAATCTGGGGATGGTTATGCAATTATTCTATTTCCTCTCTCTCACACTCTCTCTCTCTTTTCCTCTCTACCCTTATTCAGAAACCCAACACACCCATGGAACTGACGACGTGCTAGTAGTAATACATATTATAATACTCCGTATAACTCCATAGTCGTACTCGTAGTGGAGGGTGACACCCACATTACACTTACCCCCCCCCCCTTGACAGTGCCGATACTCGTACACAGACACGCGCACACATAATCAGCATCGAAAGAGTAGCAAAGCAATTAGTTCAGCAGGGTGACTTTCTCCGCCAAAAACTCTCGTGGTTGTGTGGTTCTGCTCTTTTCTCTCTCTCGACAACCTTCTCCACCTTCTGCAGATGCCCCCTGTCCTCATCACTACGCAGACATATTACACGCCCCCCCCCCCCCTCTTCCCACGCTCTGTCTGTCACGCCGTTGGATATCTTTTGGGGGTGGGGGGAAGAAAGAGAAAGAAAAAAAAGAAATCCCCATCATCACTCACTCTTCGTGCTGGGCGCACACCTGAGGCTTGACAGTCCAATAACCCCTGTTAGGTTCGTTCAGGGGTCCTATTTACCAGGGTGACGATGCTTAGCGAGTACCAAGGGGAGCATACGAGTACAGCAGGGGTGAGGGGGGCGCACACACACCAACAAGGGGGGGGGAGGAGAGAGAGAACCCAACTTACGTCGCGTGCGCCACCCAGAAAAGAGCTGCCTTTCTTAGTGACAGGGGAGGAGTTGCCGGACCCCTGCTTGCTTGGCTCGGGAGAGAGAGAGAGAGTGTGTGTGTGTGTGTGTGCGTGTGTGAAAGAGAGAGAGAGAGAAGAGTACGTACTTCTTTTGGCCACCAAAACGGCCCAACGGCTTTCTACGCACATGTATGGGGGGGGAGGAGTAGCTACGGCTATTATTCGTACGCATTGTCAATAGTAACTTGTACGAGTATGCGTATGCGCATACGTATGCCTACAATTGAGGTTGCCACTACCTGTCCTCACAAGTACTGTCAACGCCAGCATCATCATTGGCGGCAATCAAGTACTTCTCCTCAGGATAACGGATCCTGGAATTCCGTCACCCGCCTCGGCGATTAGCATGGGGGGGCCGAAGGGGGGGGGGGGGGGGGGGAAGGTTCCATAGACAAGAGTCAACTTAGACATTCTTCCTTCATTCTTCCTCCTCTCTCTCCGAGTCCTTCATCCCTACGAGTACGTCGTGTTGTAATGTATCACTATTACTACCGGGCCCCACCGTGTGCTCCAACGTCGTGGTAGTATCTCAAGAGTCAGAGGTACACAGGCGCACAGGAACAGGTTTTGCCTGTTCCCTTGGTATCAATGGTGTGGGCGGTGCCGAATGGGTCGAGTGAGATGTCACAATGAGATGTCGCTTCACCTTTCCATCGGGCATGGTCTTGATTGGATGCCCAGGCTGATCAAACTCCAATCCATGTACGTGTTATTTTTGTACGAGAATGTTGTTAGTACTATTACTCCATACTACTACTACCACTATCGAAGTGTCAATACCAGTAATATTTCTCTTCTGTATGTTTGCTTTGCCTCAGTATATATGCGATGCCTAGGCCAACATCGGGGGGGGGATAGGCCAGCAAAAGCAGCATCACGGGAGAATGGGAGAAGTAAGCCATCAGCCAGGAGCAGGATGAATCCCTTCTTGTTGGTTGCGGCTTGGTGGCGTCGTCCTGTACGAGTTGTGTAAGGTCACCGAGGGGTACGAGTGTTCAATAGTACCAATCAATACTAATACAATTCGTCAATATCAATCGTCTCTCCTTTGTCTCTCTTTTTTTCACATATATATACTTTTCTTTTCTTCTCTTCTTCAATGCTAGCTTGCTTGTTGGCTTGCTCACTTACTTGCTTACTCGCTTGTTTGCTTGATATCGTACCTTTAGTTCCTGCCCGGCTATGATATGTACGGTAGTGATGCGTACATGTACTCGTACGTATATGTGCCTTGCTTCCGCCCGTCGCCGCCACCGCCGTTACTTGTACGAGTACGAGAAGTAATACTACGGGTGAATACTTGTACCGATGTGGAGAAGAACGCGAACGCGCATTACTATCCCTTCTCGCTCACAAATGTGATTGAGAGCTCCCAAAAGCTTAACTCGTTTCTTTTTTTTCTCTTCCGTCCCCCCCATCTTTAGACGCGTTTTCTTCGCCTCTCACTCTCGATGAAGAAGGGTTTAACCCTCAACCCTCTGACGATGCCTAACCCTGCTCAACCTCCTTGAAGGGGTTCTCCCTATATCTGATCAGCATACTAGCAGCAGTAGTAGTAGTAGTAGTATCGGGACTACCAGTTATTAGTTATCGTTGCCGAGTTCTAACCAATGCTTAATTCTAGGGTGCTAAATGGTCTCTAATCCTCCCGCGCGCGCGGAACACTACTACTATTACTATGCTACTATTATTACTACTTGTTTGTTTATTTAACGGCGGTGCGTCCCACATATGAGAAAAGGGCGCATACTACTACTACTAACTACTACAAGAGTATTGCATCCTATTGATACTCCGTCACTCGTAAGTAAATAGTTTCGTCTCCCTAGCAATGGCAACACAGTATTGCAACGCGATTCCGAGTGCCGAGAATGCGATACCAATTATTAATATACCGTCAGCGTACCACAACTACTCGTATTACAATCTACGGTCGTATCTATTTATGGGTCTTACAAGAATCCCTCCCGATACCGTGATCCCCCTTCCCTTCTTTGGTCTGATTCTGACTATGGGACGAAGAATAGAGAGAGGTGAAGGGTGGATGTGTAAATTACCATGTGATTCCGACTGCAATGAACGAAATGGCACCCAGGCGGCGGCAACAGCGTGCAGGTCAATTGATTGACTTGAGAGGATCGACGTCACTTTTGGTGGTGATACCATGTGACGAGAGTGGGCTAGGGTGGAGTCTACAAAGCATTATAATTTACGACTGATCTTCACCCGACGAGTATTACAAACTCATGGGTGGTCGTAGTTATGAGTGGTGATTGCACAATGAATATAATCACCAATCGTGGCAGTGGCATCCCAAGAGTTACGCTTTCGTCACGTTTCCCCCCTAAGAGTAAACGAGAAACCTTTTTTCTTCTTTTCTTTTCTTTTTTCTCTCCAGTTGAGTCTCTTCATCCCGTAGATGCACATGGTTGGTTCTCTCTCTTTTTTTCATTGTTGTGTGGAGTTTTTCTCATAGTGGAGTTAGCCATGTGGAGGGTTCAATGGATCTATCCCCCTCCAGGCCGTTCTTTTATGTCATTTCTTTGTGTTGATCATTTTCTCTCTGCATGATCAGCACAAAGAAATGACATAATGGATAGAACCGAAAAGAGAGAATGATAAAATATAATGGGGAAAAAACGAAAAAGGAAAAGCTTTTTCATCAGTCAGCCACTATCGAAGTGGAGGAAGAAAGTGGAGAGGCTGTTCCTTCCTTGATGCTGCGCGTCTTTTTTTTTTCTAGAGGGGGAAGGAGCAACCGTGACAATTGAGCTAATACTGTCTACAGAGAGCTCTTGCCGCCCACAACTCCGAGCTTCAGGCCTCCACACACCCCCTATCAACCACTCACGCTGCCTAAAGTTTTTGCGGGATCCACCAAGAACCTCAGTCATCATCACCTCACCTCGTCACATCACATTATTCCGTGCCGACTTTCTGCATTTGGATCCTGCCCCTGCTTGGTCTCGGAGGGGTTTTTTTTTTTTTTTGCTTTGCTTTACCTTTTTTCTTCATGCGTCAACCTTCTTTTCGCGTGAGTTCTTGCCTATTTTGTTGGCGGGCCGTTGCCGGAGTATCCCGATTGATCGCTCTATTCACCCTAGCAGGATCCTCCCCCCGAGCTGTCG